CTTATCTTCTTATAATAAAAATGTGTTTTTAACCGTGTATGGTATCTGGCTTAATTTTGGAAGGGTTTTTGGAAAGGTATGCTTCCTTGAATTTCAGAGGCCTCAGCGCAGCTAATAATACTCTGACTGACTTGGCTCAGGTACCATGAGAGAGTTCAGTTCATGGTCCCAGTGTTTGGTCTCAATGCAGCTTTAACCAACTTGCTGAAGCTGAGCGGATCTGGTCAGGACCACCTGAGCGTTAGCGACATGTTGGCACCTTGGGTTCCATAATGGAGGAGAGGTAGGATTTACTGTATTTTTCGCTCCATAAGACGCATTTTTTTCCTCCTAAAAAGTAAGGGGAAATGTCTGTGTGTCTTCTGGAGCGAATGTGTGGTCGATCACTGGCTCCCTTTCCAGCCTCGCCCCCTTGCCCAGGCCTCCCTTGTTGAATCTTCTGCAGATGGAGGCTGTTTCCCCAGCGACATGTGACTGGCTGATTAGATTATCTGTCTGGAAACTGTAGAAACGGCTCCCTTTCCTTTCCTAAAGAAGCTGCAGAACTGTGAGTTGAACCCCATAAAAACAAGATTTTTTCCCTTTGCAAAGTAAGCTCAACAACTGTGAGCTGATCCCCCAAAAAACAGGGCTTTCCCCCTTTCTTCCTCTAAAAACCAGGCGCATCTTATAGTCAGGTGCGTCTTACGGAGCGAAAAATACTGTAAGTGCCGGGGGGGGGGGGGAAGTACCATATTTTTTGCTCTATAAGACTCACTTTTTCCCTCCTAAAAAGTAAAGGGAAATGTGTGTGTGTCCTATGGAGCGAATGCAGGCTACGCAGCTATCACAGAAGCCAGAACAGCAAGAGGGATTGCTGCTTTCACTGCGCAGCAATCCCTCTTGCTGTTCTGGCTTCTGAGAGTCAGAATATTTTTTTTCTTGTTTTCCTCCTCCAAAAACTAGGTGCGTCTTGTGGCCTGGTGCGTCTTATGGAGCGAAAAATACGGTATGTTCAGACATATTTCTGCCATAGTGCAATTCGTGGGTGGGGCCTGAAATCCAAGTGCCTTAATCCAGGATACATGAAGGGAGTGTTTGCAGTGATCCAAATGTTGGAATTCCAGGTGTACACAATGCTCTTGCAATTATTTCAACCCCTGAAGACCGACCTTTCTTATTAGGCCTTTGGCTTTATTTCCTAGCCCTGCTGCAACTAAAACTGTGACCAAGCAAAGTATGAATAACAGCTGGAGGGGGTGGGAATCCCGTATTTACCCTTCTGTTGTTTTCCTCTTCAAATTTTAAGATTGTAAGCTCCTGTCCCCTTGTACACTGCAAAAGTAATGCATACTGTTGGCAAGCTACTGGCCAGAGTATTAAACACATTTAACGTGTGAATTCAGCTTTCTGCACTTGGCCAAAAAACATAAAAATTGCAAAGTAGTTGGAAGGGAGGGGGGAACCAGCTGCTGTGCTGAGGACTGGCAATAATAATAATAATAATAATAATAATAATAATAAAATTTGTTAGTCCCTTCATCTTGCCCAAGGCAACCCAAAGGGACTTACAAGAAAAACAAAAAGACCCCCCCCACACACACATACACACATTCCTCCCCATAAGTTTACAAAGCTCATGAGAAATTGGTAGCAGTGGAATTATAATAAAATAATACAGAACCTAATGTAAGCAAGAGAAAATACCAGAAACAAACAAGCTGAAATCCAGCCTGATTTGAGATTAAACCTCTAAATCACCACAACAACTTAAAGCGATTTTAGTTAACTCTTTTTTCCTGATTATTATTATTTATTTTTTTGCAGCCAGTGCATTCAGGGCCACTCTGTGTGTTGCAAAGGGATAGCTCAGTCCTAGAACATGAGAGTCTTAATCTCAGGGTCATGGGTTCGAGTTCTGCCTTGCATGGGATTGGACTAGATGACCCTAGTGGACCTTTCCAACTCTACAGTTCCAAGATTCAAAAGAAACCGAAGCATTTCTGCCCAGGTGCACATGCTTGTTTATGAGAGTAATAATAATAGTAATAATAATAATAATAATAATAATAATAATAATTTTATTATTTATACCCCGCCCATCTGGTTGGGTTTCCCAACAGAATGTTTAAAATGCGATAAAACATCAGACATTAAAAACTTCCCTAAACAAGGTTTCATAAAGCTGAGAGATGTCTTCCAACGCTGACCACAAATACAAAGATCTGTTCACCTACGGGACCTTGTAGCGGCCACCCAAGACTGCGGTGGGTGCCATTTGGAAACACAGCTCAATAAAAGTTGTTTTGAATGTATGTTGACATTTGGCTTGCTTTCTTCAGTTAATGTTGTCTTCCGTGTTGCTTTGTTTGCTGTCCCAATGCGTGGTCGACCGCTTGGGAGATTTTCCTTCTTTGAAAGCATGAAACGAAGAACGACACTAATAAGGAAGGTTTGGTTGGATAACTAGCTCCAAAAGGAGGACGCACCACAACATTGGTGCATTCCTTAAAGGGACAGGATGGCAGGGGGCGGAGAAAGCAAACACGTGGGTTCCTGGCTCCCGTCCTCGGGATCCGTGAAAGGCGAACGTCAGCATGCAGCGAGGGGTGTTGGCGCGCCCGGCATGCACCGCGAGCTCGCCCTTGCCCCGCCAGCGGCCATGCAGAGCCGGTGCGCCCTGGGCGCACGGAGGGCGCACTGCGCTGCGCGGCTATGCGCCGAGCGGGCGCTGCACGGCCGGGAAGGCGCTCCGGGGCAGCCGGCGGTGGCGGCGGCGTCGAGCGAGGCGCTGCTGCGGAGGCTGGTCGCGGGCGGCGCGTCGGTGGTGCCGGGCTTCCTGAGCGAGGAAGAAGAGGCGCTGCTGGCGCGGGAGGTGGAGGCGCCGCTGCGCCGAGGCCGCTACCAGGACGCGCACTGGGACGGGGTGGGTATCCCCGGGGCACCTTGGGCACCCGAGGTGGGCGCGCGAAGGGGAGAGGAGACGGGGGCTTTCCTCTTTCCAAAAAAATTATTAGTTTTCCACATTTTTAGACAAACAAACACAAATCATAACTGAACTTGGTCCAGTATTAATATCAGTTAAATGACTTCCTCAAATTCCCTTGACTGAATTTCATTATGCATCATTGTAACGGTTTTCCAAAATAATATCTCATAAAATTTACTTAATCCTCTTAACATCTTTATCTCTTTTCATCTTAACTTTAAACATATTGTTTTAGAATTTCACATATTCAGATCCTTAGCCTATTATTTTGCAAGTATTTCTATTTAGTTTATCTTAGCATATTTAGATAAATAGTCTTTGAATTTCTTCCATTCTTCTTGATGCTCCTCCTCCTCCTGGTCAATTCTTCCGGTCAGGTCGGCTAGCTCCGAAAAGTCCATCATCTTCATCTGCCATTCCTCCACTGTTGGTATTTTTTGTGTTTTCTAATTCTTGGCTAATAGAATTCGAGCTGCAGTTGTGGCATACAAAAACAATCTAACATCTTTTTTGGGCAACTCCAGACCTATTATCCCAAGAAGAAAGGCCTCTGGTTTCTTAACAAATGTGTATTTCAGCATTATTTTCAGCTCATTATAAATCTTCTCCCAGAAGTCTTTCACCTTGGGGCAGGTCCACCACATATGGTAAAAGGTACCCTCCTTTTCTTTACATTTCCAGCATAGATTATCAGTATTGTGATAAATCTTTGCTAACTTTACAGGGGTCAAGTACCATCTATACATCACTTTCATTATATTTTCCTTTAACATTGTACATGCAGTAAACTTGACCCCTTTCCTCCACAACCTTTCCCAATTTCAGATGTGGGCTTTCCTCTTTCCATTTTTTTTTTTTTTTAAGAATATTTATTCAAATTTTAAGATTACAAAAAAAAAAATAAAGCAAGAAAAACCAATCACATACATCTTACAAAAGAAACACACCATACAAGAAAAGAAAAAAAATACACAAGACAAAAAGTCACAATAAAAAATAACAAAAGAAAAATTCAAATTAAACAAACCGTTTTCCCATTTACTTATTTCCGTGACTTCCTCTCACTTCTCTGCTTTGTATTCTAATTCAAATTGTATCTCCAGCAAATCCTTCTAGCCTTCTTTTCATTTACTTATTTTAACATTTTAACATTCAAAAATATTTAATTCTCCTCTATCTTTTAATTTACACTTCATATTTACTTAATTCCATTATACTCTGTCTGCCAATACGGTGTAATATTTCTTCTCCAACCTTTCCTAATGGGCTTTCCTCTTTCCAGGCCTTGGGCAGGTTCAACCACCGGGGGCCTCCCAAACATCTCACGAAATCTCTTCTCCATCCCGTAGGTTATTCATAGGTACCGCGAGACAGAAAGATCGCATTGGAGCAAGGAGTGTCAGGAGATCCTGCAAAGGGTCCGGGATACGGCTTTCCCCCCGGGAGTGCCGCAGCTCGCTCAAGTTCATGTCCTGGATTTGGATAAAACTGGCTACATAAAGCCTCACATAGACAGTGTCAAGGTAAGGCAAACACGCCAGGTATTCTCCTTTCAGCTTTGCAGAATAGCATCTTGATAACTGGGGAGGGTTGTGCCCCAGGGCAGGGTTGGAAATGGGGGTGGCCTCCGCATGCTGGGGGCTATAATGCCTCATTCCTGGTTATGATCTGTGCTGGCTGGTATATAATAATAATAATAGTAATAATAGTAATATACCTGAAGGAGCGTCTCCACCCCCATCATTCTGCCCGGACGCTGAGGTCCAGCACCGAGGGCCTTCTGGCGGTTCCCTCATTGCGAGAAGCAAAGCTACAGGGAACCAGGCAGAGGGCCTTCTCGGTAGTGGCGCCCGCCCTGTGGAACGCCCTCCCATCAGATGTCAAAGCGATAAATAACTACCTGACATTTAGAAGGCATCTTAAGGCAGCTCTGTTCAGGGAAGCTTTTAATCTGTGATATTTTACTGTATTTTTTGTTTCTATGGAAGCTGCCCAGAGTGGCTGGGGAAGCCCACCCAGATGGGCGGGGTACAAATAATAAATTATTATTATATTATTATTATACCCCGCCCATCTGGCTGAGTTTCCCCAGCCACTCTGGGCGGCTCCCAAACAAGTGTTAAAAACAGTACAGCATTAAATATTAAAAACTTCCCTGAACAGGGCTGCCTTCAGATGTCTTTTAAAGATAGGATAGCTGCTTACCGTATTTCCTTCACATTTGAAAGGAGGGTGTTCCACAGGGTGGGCACCACTACCGAGAAGGCCCTCTGCCTGGTTCCCTGTAACCTCACTTCTCGCAATAAGGGAACCACCAGAAGGCCCGTGGTGCTGGATCTCAGTGTCCGGGCTGGACGATGGGGGTGGAGACGCTCCTTCAGGTATACAGGACCGAGGCTTTTTTAGGGCTTTAAAGGTCAGCACCAACACTTTGAATTGTGCTCGGCAACGTACTGGGAGCCAATGCAAATCTCTCAGGACTGGTGTTATGTGGTCCCGGTGGCCACTCCCAGTCACCAGTCTAGCTGCCGCATTCTGGATTAATTGCAGTTTCCGGATCACCTACAAAGGTAGCCCCATGTTGGCCACCCCTTCCCTAGGTGCCCTTTATGGGCTTCCTAGAGCCAACCCAGCAGTTCGAAAGCATGTCAAAGTGCAAGTAGATAAATAGGTACCGCTCTGGCGGGAAGGTAAACGGCGTTTCTGTGCGCTGCTCTGGTTCGCCAGAAGCGGCTTAGTCATGCTGGCCACATGACCCAGAAGCTGTATGCCGGCTCCCTCGGCCAATAAAGCGAGATGAGCGCCACAACCCCAGAGTCGGTCACAACTGGACCTAATGGACAGGGGTCCCTTTACCTTTACCTAGAGCCACCTGACTGGCCAGGATGTGAGAGATGTGGTACTAGAGGGAACTTTGATCTGGTTGGCCATAAATAGTCCTTATGGATTTGTTTGCAATATGGCAACTTCCCCCCCTTCACCTTGAGCCAGCAAAATGAATGGGAAGCAACATCAAGCAACGGTGACTGAAATAAGTGCAGGTGGGAAGCTGTACGCCGGCTCCCTCGGCCAATAAAGCGAGATGAGCACCGCAACCCCAGAGTCGGTCACGACTGGACCTAATGGACAGGGGTCCCTTTACCTTTAAGGCCTTTTTCAAGAAGAGCACCTGCCTTTTGTTGCTGTGCATTCATGCACGAAAGGTTGGCCCTTAGTTGCTATAAGAAGGCCTGGTTCTCATTGAGAAGGTAAATTTGTGTTTGGACGGCAGCAGTACCTGTGACCGCAGCTGGAGGCTCTTCTCTCTGAATGCTCCATCGGTCAAAGCAGCTCCCTGCATGTCTGGGAAGGATTCTAGCCTCTCATTCTCCCTGACATTCTAGTTTTCTGTGCCATGGGGACTGTGTTTGGTGGAGGATTTCATCGCATGAATTCCTTCAAACTGAATTCAAGGGAAAGAGGTCAAATACAGATTTACCCTGTCAGTGAGAACCAGGCTTGTCTGTTCCCTTCTGGCGTTGCTTTCTCATGAGAATAGATTTTGCTTCAATTGGGGAATTGTTGCTTTGAAAATTTGTGTTGGAATACGATTCCTGTAGCATAATCGTTTGCATGTCTACTCAGACGTGGGTCCCGTTGAGTTTGGTGCCCCTTCTTGGCAACATCAAACCCCAGTCAGGCATTGAGAAAATGTGTGCAAATGTTAGCACCTTTCTCCCCGTGTAAATGTATCTTCCTGCCCCACCTCTCACAGGTGCTGTTGTTTCTGGGTTGTGTTAAAGGACTGGTTGTGATTACAGAATTAAACATTCTGTTTTCTTTTCCCCTTCCTTTTTTCAAAAAACCACCTGCTAGTTCTGTGGCTGCACCATTGCAGGCCTTTCCCTGCTGTCCTCAAGCGTGATGCGCCTGGTCAGTGAGCAGAACGGGCACGACTGGCTGGACCTGCTGCTTGAACGCCGTTCTCTCTACATCCTCAGGTAGTAAGCAGTATTAGTATATTCGAATTGCCTGGTTAGATTACAGGCAGAGATACCATCCTGCCTCCCAACAGATGCCTCTGAGAAAGTACGGCGATGAAAGCAAGAGTCCTCCCTTGTTGTTTGCTTACCTGTCAAAATCCCCTTGCAAAGCGTTCTTTGAGGGGAGCACTAGGTTCCTGCTTCCGCTTCTCTGCATGGCCACAAGGCGTGCTTCAGAAGAATTTAAACACCATTCCCTGTTACGCTCAAACTCAGGGGGACGAACCCCACGCAGATACTGGTTCTCGCAAATCACGGTTCCCTGCTTTTTGGGTGTTACAAGGCACTGTGTTTTGTTCAACAGCAGAAGCTTCTGATCCCCAAAAAGAGGGGAGAGGGGGAATATATGAGCTCAAGAGTCATTTGTGGATCAAGGGACCGTGGCTTCATATTATGTGTGAACCAGTCTGATGTCTTACAGGAATTCATGAAGGTCCTGAGCTCTTCATATACATGAAGTGCTGTGAGATGTAGACTAGTGTGTTTTGTGTGTGTGTGTATCTGCAGACTGCATCTCTACAGTTAGTGTCTGCAAACAGAAGGTCTTCTTTAGGATTGCCCAGTGAAGCCAGATATAAAATACCCAAGTCCTGGTGCTGAGCCACAGAGACCCAGTTGGGTGGATCACAGTGTCTCTTTTTCTGCCTGGAGCAAAATTCTTTCCATTCTGTCTCGCCAGAGTGGTGCATGCTCTGGTTATCTCCTGCTTGGACTACTGCAATGCACTCTACGTGGGGCTACCTTTGAAGGTGACCCGGAAACAACAACTAATCCAGAATGCGGCAGCTAGACTGGTGACTGGGAGCGGCTGCCAAGACCATATAACACTGGTCCTGAAAGATCTACGTTGGCTCCCAGTATGTTTCCGAGTACAATTTAAAGTGTTGGTACTGACCTTTAAAGCCCTAAATGGCCTCAGCCCAGTATACCTGAAGGAGTGTTTCCACCCCATCATTCAGCCAGGACAATGGGCTCCAGCTCCAAGGGCCTTCTGGTGATTCCCTCACTGCAAGAACCAGGCAGAGGGCCTTCTCGGTAGTGGCGCCCACCCTGTGGAACACACTCCCATCAGATGTCAAGGAAATAAACAGCTATCTGACTTTTAGAAGACATCTGAAGGCAGCCCTGTTTAGGGAAGTTTTTAATGTTTGATGTTTTCTTCTGTTTTTAATATTCTGTTTGGGAGCTGCCCAGAGTGGTTGGGGAAACCAAGCCAGATGGGCAGAGTATGGGTACGTTTGTGTGTGTGTAAATAGTAATTATTATTAGTTATGGTAACACACTGGTATCTTGTGTAATTTCTTCTTTGCCTTAAGGGGGCCAGCTCGCTATGAATTCACTCACGAGATCCTTAAAGATGAGGAATCCTTTTTTGGTGGAAGAAAGATCCCCCGGGAGCGGAGGATCTCTGTCATCTGCCGAAACCTCCCCTTGCCATCTACTCCGCCGTAGAACCTGACTTTCTCCATTTGGAGTATCTCTTAAGCACTCATCTGGTGGGAGTGGGGCTGCTTCTGAAATTGTTGCTCTGCCCTGCCCTCCTGGCTCCATGGGACACAGCTCTGCAGCCAGGAGTAAGTGATGGGCTTTCTCCTCAGCGCACCAGAAGGAGAGTCTGAGGATGGTCAAGATCTAAGGCAGTTTTGCCCTTAGCAGATGGGAAAGAGGGGCGCCCTGCAAAGAGTTGGAGAAATGGACCGAAACATACTTCATGAATGTACTGTTCATCTCAGGGAATAAAAATCTTGATGCTTCTTCTTTGATATGTTGCTCTCAAGTTTTTTGCCTGCATTCGCTGTCACACAGCCTGTTTCAAAATGGCGAACTCAAGCAAAGGAGGCTGAACAGGTGTTGTCCAATGGAAGGTTACAGGCTCTCTAACTAACAAAAGTGGAGGTCATGAGGAGAATCACACACCTGGTCCGTGGCAACTCGCTGGTGTGAACAGAATGGCAAAGCTTTTCTTGTTTTTCCCCAATTCAAAACCCAAATCGCCTGAAATTTAGCTTTTTCTCACAGCTGGGATTTGCTCTCCGTTGTGTGAGGTGTGTCCCTCAAAGTGGGCCTTGCAAGGACCTGTCACAAGATCCTCAACAGTAGCTTGAGTATTCATGTGATCTAAAAATAATTCAGAGGCTAATTCAGGGTCCTCCTAGACTGGGATACTGGACAGGTGTGCAAAGAGTGGAAATAGAGTAGAATAAAAATCCTGCTTCTGGCCTGTGGCACTGAAAGTCCATGAAGATAGCTGGCAATTGAAACATAAAAATGGAAGACAAGGTGCAAATTTGATATTGGCTGTGGAAAGAGAGAGAGGGGAGACTCTATAGTGCTCACAAAATTTCCACTTTTTACACTCCTATCCATAGCTCACATAATCCTTGAATCAGTTGGTGGTGGTGCAGGGAGGGAGAATTTAGGAAAATGCCTGTCCACCGTTTCAAGACCTTGGACCCACCTTTAACTCCAGCCTGCAAGAAAGGACCCACTTTTTATCTATATGATGCATATGGCCATCTTCCTCCTCCTCTGACTTTTCACCCTTTACTGTCCTTTGCTGCCTCTTCTTCCCTCCCTCTCTCCCTCTCTTTTTAAATAGAAAAAGATTCATGATGCTTGTGGAGCTGGGATGATTGAGAAGCACTTTCCTTTTTAAAACTGTATATGTTTTTCCTTAGAATGTAGGCTTGTTGCCAGGGTCTCTTTCTGATTTTTATATTCTCCTTGGTTCCTCAAATAGCATAGGTACCTAATAATAATAATAATACTATTATTCATCAGGTATTGCTTTTGCAGTACATTGCTTTTCTATACCTGGCATTGCCTGGGTCACTGTGCAGCAGTCTCTTATCATTTGGCTCAGGTCATCCATTGGGGAATAATAATACAGTGGTACCTCAGGTTACATATGCTTCAGGTTACATACGCTTCAGGTTACAGACTCCACTAACCCAGAAATATTACCTCAGGTTAATAACTTTGCTTCAGGATGAGAACAGAAATCATGCTCCGGCAGCAGCAGGAAGCCCCATTAGCTAAAGTGGTGCTTCAGGTTAAGAACGGACCTCCGGAACGAATTAAGTACTTAAACCGAGGTACCACTGTAATAATATATTATTTATACCTAACCCATCCAGTCTTTGCTCCCATGAAGCTAGCAAGCAACCTGTCCTCCCAGTGTGTGCTGGTAACCCCAAAACTGTAGACACTGATATTTCCTTGCTTGCTCTTTATTGTATAGACACCAGTATTTACAACTCAGTCATTCTTATTGCATGTCTGGGACTAATACCCTCAAACCTCTTAACACGAGAAATCAGCATATACATTATTATTTTGTAACGGGGAGCTCAGTTTGGACAAAGGCCAGCACAACTGCTAGGCCTTCCTCCTGTTCAGGGGAAGAAATAAATTAAATAACTTAGAAATAACCCATAAATATATCCGCTTGCTCAGCCCTTGCGGTGCTGCCCCAGCCTCTCGGACCTAATTCGGAAAGGATCCGGTCAAAACACCGCATGTTTGTAAAGTGAAGTGGTCCTAGGGAGGAGCAGGGGACCAGTAATGGTGTGACACTCCTTAGGCCGCTCCCCTTGGCTGTGAGTTATGAGGAATGGCTTTGCACTTGGAACTGGGGAGCAGCTTGGCGGGCTGGGCACCCCTTGCTGGGACGTCTTTGTTAGTTGCACGTTAATTGGTGGCTAAAAGCACATCTCTGAGCCATGGACTGCGTTGGTGGGGCAAGGTGGCCTGTTCTACTGTGGGCTCTGCTGCTGCCCCATGTCTGCTTTCATTTATCCCTCCCCTCGCCCCCTCAAAAACAACACCACCATCAGCCCACACAGCTGCAGGCAGCGGCCGAAAGCTGCTCCACCTCCTGCCACTGGTGACTGTCATCCAGGAAAGCCACATCCTCATAGTGTGTGGGGCGGCAGCAGGGGTCCCCCAAGGCCGGTATCTCACTCCTCTGCAGCAGAGCGGAGAGGGTCAGGTCATGGTTGCTGCGGGCCTTGGGGCAGCTGCCGCTGCAGTACTTGAAGAGGATGGTCTCCTCGGAGCTGTAGCCCAAGCCTAGGTCCTTGACGCGAACCTGCAGGCTTCGCAGGCGGCACTCCCGGTCCTCAGGCCTCTCCCATGCGCGCCGCTTGGGACGGCTCCTGGCTGGGCCAGGGAGTGACTTGAGCAGGCTGTTCTGGAGGCCTGCCGTGTCCAGGGATGCTCCTTGGGAGGTCTGCGCTTCTGAAACGAGAAGGAAAGGAAGAATGGGGGAAGGCAGGTGGGGGATAATTATAATAAAATATTATTTATCTCCCACCCTCCCCAGCCAAAGCCGGGCTCAGAGCGCCTAACAACAATAAAAGTAACAGCATTCTAAAATCAATTCATTTTAAAATCAAATCAAAATCAAATTAATGGCAACCATTGGGCTAGAGTTCTGTGAGGATTACCAAAGGAGCGGGGTCAGACTGTGCCTTGGCCAAAGGCCTGGTGGAACAGCTCTGTCTTGCAGGCCCTGCGGAAAGATGTCAAGTCCTGCAGGGCCCTAGTCTCTTGTGATAGAGTGTTCCACCAGATCGGGGCCACAGCTGAAAAATCCCTGGCTCTGGTTGAGGCCGGCCTAACCTCCCTGTGGCCCGGGACCTCCAAGGTGTTTTTGTTTGAAGACCGTAAGGTCCTCCATGGGACATACCAGGAGAGGTGGTCCCATAGGTACAAGGGTCCTAGACCGTATAGGGCTTTAAAGGTTAAAGGTAAAGGGACCCCTGACCATTAGGTCCAGTCGTGGCCAACTGTGGGGTTGCAGTGCTCATCTTGCTTTATTGGCCGAGGGAGCCGGCGTACAGGTTCCGGGTCATGTGGCCAGCATGACTAAGCCTCTTCTGGCAAACCAGAGCAGCAGCGCACAGAAGTGCCGTTTACCTTCCCGCCGGAGCGGTACCTATTTATCTACTTGCATTTTGACGTGCTTTCAAACTGCTAGGTGGGCAGGAGCAGGGACCGAGCAATGGGAGCTCACCCCGTCGCGGGGATTCCACCCGCCAACGTTAAAACCAGCACCTTAAACCTGATCCTGTACTTAACCAGGAGCCAGTGCAGCTGGTATAGCACCGGGTGAATGTGATCCCGCAGCAAGGACCCTGTAAGGAGCCTCGCCGCGGATCCAGTTTAAAGCAAGAAACGTCCTGCTCCCATAGTTTGACACCCAAGCCCTCCCCCTCCGCACACCTCCAAGCTGGGATCACTTCCAATATTTAAGCCCCATCTGGGAATAAGATGCCTGGTACCCTTGGGACAATCAGATACCCAACCCTTCACTGGTAGCCTTTGCCTGCCTGTGGCCCTCCAGATGTTTGGGGAAGTCTGTTCTCCATGACGGGGCCAATTCTGCATTTCAACCCCCAATGAATTGTTGCCATCCTACCTGATCCTTGCGCACTGTGCTATGTCAGTTATAGTGGTCAAAAAACTAGAGCGCTGGTACAGAGACCTAGGTCACAAATAGTGAGCAAGCTTCTACAGTGGTCCAGGTTTGTATGCACAGTGGATCTGGCTATTCACAGCTGGGAATGTTTTGAATTGTAAATAACTGATACGTCAGCCGCACACATAGAACAATGACTTGGACATTTCTTACCAAATAAGAAATATGTACAAAATCAGCTTGGGAGGCAGGAGTACAAGAGAAGCTCACATTACTTCCTCTCTCTCGGCATTTCTATCACTTATCTAGGGTGTCCCATCCCAAAGCAATGAGGGTGGGACTCAACCAAGTTGTTGCATGCACAAAACAAAGTCCGCTCATGCAACGGGATCCTCCATGCCCCCTAAATCTGCTCTGGAGGGTTACGGGAACTCCATAATAGAATTAGGGGGTGCAAGAGGAAATTGCATGGAGTGAGGAGCCCTTATTCCATTTCCACCCTGTATGTCCGCTGTGTTTTCAAACACCGGTTTTGTGTTTTTTTAAATAAGCCCCTTCCATGCCACAAGCATATTAAGACAGAAGGCTTGCGTACACTCAAAACCTAAAACAATGTTTTACTGAACTTTCCCCTCTCAGTACTAAATGCTCCTTTTGCGTTAAGCCGTAAAGTAGGGGAGGGGAACCCGTGTGGCCCTCAGCCAGCATAGCAGCAGGTGCAGGGATGATGGGAGTTGTAGTTTGACAACCTCTGGAAGTTCCCCATCCCTGTTGTTGCTGCTGCGGCCGCTTTGGTTGGCAATGGATCAAGAAAAGAGACTTCAGAGAAGAGAACTGTAGTGCCTTTTGGGAAAGGGGGGGCCATGTTTCAGTAATTATTTAGTACATTTTTATCCTGTCCTTCCAAGGGCAGCACACATGGTATGTGTGTGTGTTTCTGCCACCACCATTTTATTCTCACAACTACCTAGTGAGGTCAGAGAGAGAGCACCTGTAGCTGAGCTTCATTGTTAAGTAGTAAGAAGAAGAAGAAGAGTTTGGATTTGATATCCTGCCTTTCACTCCCTTTAAGGAGTCTCAAAGCAGCTAACAATCTCCTTTCCCTTCCTCCCCCACAACAAACACTCTGTGAGGTGAGTGGGGCTGAGAGACTTCAGAGAAGTGTGACTGGCCCAAGGTCACCCAGCAGCTGCATGTGGAGGAGCGGAGACGCGAACCCGGTTCCCCAGATTACGAGACTACCGCTCTTAACCACTACACCACACTGGCTCTCTGGAGGTTTAGCCTCCAAATCTTAACACTTAACTGTCTGGCTTTCCTAGGAGTGAATCTTTCCAGGCATAGGCAAACTCGGCCCTCCAGATGTTTTGGGACTACAACTCCCATCATCCCTAGCTAACAGGACCAGTGGTCGGGGATGATGGGAGTTGTAGTCCCAAAAACACCTGGAGGGCCTGGTCTAAACATTGCTCTAAGCACGGTCTTGCTTACAGCTCTGGCCTTAGCTAGGCCCTCTCAATGCTCCATCATGCTCTTCCACCCAAACTAGTACGTTCATTCATCCAATGTTTGGTACACCAGACGACCTTCATGACATTTATATTTCTGGAGCCCTGGAAGGGCTGTTCATGATGGCACATCGCGAAGATGCATGCCACAGAATCTCTTGAAAGGGCACAGAATATGAGCTGCTCCTTCCAGCTCCTGTTATTGTCATCGTCATCAAACCTTTTATTGGCATCACATACAAAAAGTGAGAGATGCTGAGAGACTGCTTTGCTAATGCCCCAAAACTCTCGTTGGCCGATGCAGCCGTTTGTTCCAGCAGGCTACTGCGATATTCAGAGACACAAGCGTTGTGCTCAAGGCCACAACCGGGGATTTTCCAGAAGAGCAGAAATTTGAACCCACGTTGCTTAATTCCAAGAGGGCACCTTAGCTCATTCTAGCCCACCAGCTACAGCTAGAGCCACCACCAAACCCAAGCATGGCAGGATCCCTTTACTGGAAGCACAATTTAGTAGGAACTTCTTAAGAATTCCCGAATGGTTGTCATACCTAGTGGTCTCTGTAGCGCATCTCCGATTGCGGTGCCCAACGATGTCTGCATTGCCAGGCTCTTGCCTTCAGTGAGCTGAGAAGGAACTATTTGGATCAATAGGACCAGAGAGAGGAGCTGAGGGGGCCCCATCCTTTACCCAGTGAGCAGGGCCAGGTTCTATAAGGAAGACGACTCCTTCCCCCTCATTTATATCTTCTTTGGAACGGGGGTGGGAGGGGAAGTAGCATGTATGCCGGCTGGAAGGAAAAGCGTTAACCCTTGTGCCTTGAAAACTATTACAGATCACGCAAGTGATGTTTCCTGCACGATGGGCTTAGAGGCTCAATCGAGAAGGCGCTCATAAATCACTGTCGCTTCGATGAGATCCCTGTAAAGGATGCAGCCTCTCTCCCCGCAGCCTATTACCCTTTCCTTGAGATGTTTCTGGAAGCCCTCCTTGCAGGAGGCGGGCAGAGAACCACCCTAGCTGCATCTGAAGGCAGGCTCCCAGTCCACTTTATTTTCTAAGTACCAGGTCAGCCAGCTAGACAAGTAACCCACGTAGTGACTTGGAGCAGAAATACTCCAGGGGTACCAATGCAAGAAGTTTTGGGGAGGTTGTCCTTGGTGATGTTGTGCCTTGCAGGACGTAACATTGGGGTTAGGTGCAGCTCTACACAACCCAAGTGTCTTGCCCACTCTCTTCTGTGTCCAGTGCATTTTTCTGGTAGCATGGCTGCGTCCCGTGGCTTTGATGGAAATTGGAACCATTGGTGTTTCTGTCCAATGCTGCCCTTGGCTCCCCATCCGAAATGGTTAAATCTTTAAGAGAGCCCAGAATCCTTGAATGGAAATTCCTGGAGCTTATTCTGCCCAGATCCCGCTGTGGTGAAATGCTTTTGGGAGGAGCTGCTGACAGTGGCGGCTGGCAGGGTGGGTGGGGAGCGAAAAAGAAGGGCAACTCCATAAATTATGTCTTCAAGGAACATACCAAGCTGGCTGGCTTGGCCCTGGCTTCAGAAGCAACCTAGCCTGCAGTTATCGGACAGGATGTCCGGAAAGAGGGACTCCCTTTCTCCACACTGATGGATGGTGAGGAGATGGAGCCAAACCTCCCTTCTTGAGAGAGCGGGGTGATGGCACTGATGCCAACACCACTGTGCCTCACAGGGCACCCCTAGAGGGACAGAGAACAGTGCCTCTACTATCTCAGAACCACAACATGCTACACACAAGCTCTTCCTCCACTGTGAAACGACACTTCTAGGCTGTTGCACAATCCAGACTTGGCCCTGAGGGACATGCCCTTTCTACAGCTTAATGATAAGGGAGCAGCGCAAGGTGGGCAGCACCAAAATTTGTCCTTATGCAGGTTTGTTTCTGCACTCGCTTCAGCACAGATCGTGATGCTTGGGGTGGCCTGCACTGAACTTGAGCCATGTGATGGGGCAGAGGAGGATGCTCAGAGTTCACTGGCTGCATGCAACCAAACAGGACTTGACACCTTCATCACAAAAACAGGGAGGTTGTAGAGGTCAGCTGCTGCATAGTTCCCTCAGTAGGACCAAGATGGGCAGCCAGGGCCAGCTAACCTTTCAGCCTGTTGCTGCGTTGACCTGAAACATCTCAGAGCCGGCTGTGGCTGCTGCAGGGTCAAAAAGACACCTGAGACTAATGGCTCCAAAGAGCTTTCCCTTGATGTGTTTTGTGCTCTCTGGGCTAGTGTGCGACTCCAGACCAGCCACTTCCATGTATGCGAGCATTCCTGGAATGCCGAGGGAAAGGTCAGCAAAGGGGGAAGAGGAATTTGGGGCAGGCGAGCCGTCGTCTGGCTGTCGGCTTAGCCCTGTAGAGCATGGAACATCTTCTTGAGCCCCGGCGAGGCTGGGAGCGCTTGCATGTGGCATGACAGCGCTGATAAATCACCATCAAGCCGACACAAGAGGGATCTCCGCTGTCTGTGCTCGGCCTCCAAGCACATTCCTTCCACTTGGCATGGGGAATACCACAACAGGGCCCAATGGAGGCTTAGCAGGAGTGGAAACAGTCTGGAGAATAAGGAGGAGCGGAATAACAGGCCAGAGGGCAACACGGATGATCAGTGGATGTGAGTTGTGCGGGTGGGCAGAAGGGAGGACACCCAACTTCAACCGTCTAATGTGCCAAGTGAACAGTAGTCATGGGGAGCTTGTGGCCCTCAAGATATTTCTGGACTAGAACTCCTCTCATACCCAACTATTCACCATGCTGGCTAGGGGTGGTGAGAGCTGGACTCCAAAACCATCCGGACGACCACACAAGTTCGCCTTCTCAACTGGATCTGGGCACATGGAGTTATGCGCGTATGCATGTGTATCAAGAATGGTTAGAGAAGCAGCTTTCAAGCTGTATTTATTTCCAAGGAATGTGTATCAGGAATGGTTGTGTAGGCATGTGTATCAGGAATGGTTAGAGCAGCGGCTTTCAAGCTGTATTTACAAGGGAACCCTGAACTTCCTCAGAGTTTTACTGAAGGTTCCTCTATGTGAAGATCATGACCACTAATGAATGGCATGGCAAGCTCTCTTTCAGGGAAGGCTGTCTGTCCATGTTTGAAGAAAACCTCTCTGCCACAACAGACCTTCTGTGCAACGTACAGGCATGGGATTGTTCTAGGTTTCCACAGGGCTATGGGTGAGGCCCAACCAACTTAGTCAGGGCCTTGTGTGAACAGAATGTGTGTCCTAGCACATGGTCTAGATTATCCTCTGGGACATTCGAGGGTTCAACAGACAATGCAGAAAGGGTTTATTGAGAGCAGGTTTTTTTTAAAAAAATCTGGCATGGAAGCTGAGAGTCAGTCATCTTATCAAGCATGTGTAGGGAACAGGATTCAGTAAGCCTGCCACAAATTCACTTGAAATTCCACTGTTCCACTAGGCCATGGGTAGGCAAACTAAGGCCCGGGGGCTGGATCCGGTCCAATTGCCTTCTAAATCTGGCCCACGGACGGTCCGGGAATCAGTGTGTTTTTACATGAGTAGAATGTGTTCTTTTATTTAAAATGCATCTCTGGGTTATTTGTGGGGCATTGGAATTTGTTCATCCCCCCCCCCCAAAAAAAATATAGTCCGGCCCCCCCACAAGGTCTGAGGGACAGTGGACTGGCCCACGGCTGAAAAAGTTTGCTGACCCCTGCACTCGGCAGTCTATGACTCCGATTCCAACCCCTAGGCCTGCCTTTCTCAACCTTCTTAAATTCACACTCCCTTTTAGCTAACAAAAATCCCATTTGTCCCCTGAAATTGGCTCTCGCCTGGGGGGGGGGGGGTGTCAGCACCTCCAGGACAGTGCAAAGGGGAAGAAGGAGGATAGTTTTATTTGGCAAGCTAAAATCCTTGTGCAGATGGAACAGGTAGAAGAGTGTGATGTTGAATTCCACCCTTTCTGTGAAATGGTCCTTTCTACTCCCCATCACTTTGAAAGAAAGCCTCCCCATGCCTGATCTAAGAGGGTACCCCACAGCCACCTGAAACAAGGAAGTGTGGCACGTACATCTTTTTATTCCAACTATATAATTATCTTTTTGTAGTGGGAAACTGGGGAAGGAAATATTATTTAAGAATTCGCAACCATCTACCGACAATGTCCAGTTAAGGACTCACTTAGGGGACTAGAGACAGAGGCCCACATCCCTTTTGTCTGACGTTGCTGGCTGCTTGGCATTTAAATGGTCTTGGCATTTTAATTTAACACTGTGCCTGATGCAAAATAGGAACACTAGACCCACAAACACAGTGGTGGCAATTTATATTTACAAACAAAGACTCTAGCCACTGAGAGAAATCCTACTGACGCTTTGCTATGCAGTGGATATCAATGTGGCCATCTTGGCAAGGCCTGAGAAGACTGTGGACCACCTAGCTCTGCCACAATAGCGCACAAGAAGGCTTTGTGCACCAAAGACCCACAAGCCACCCAGGACACTACTGGCACTACTCTGCTTCCGAGCTGAGCAACATATTGGCTTGCAGAGACATAACCAAGACCCGAAGAGGTGGGACCTAGTCCGAAAGGGAGGCCTGTGCCTCCATGCAGGTGTTATCTCAAGCATGTTATTTTTAGCCAGGACATCTAAAGATCTGCTCTCCTGCCAACAGAGACCGCAGTGGGTAGTGGCATGCAAGGAACAATTTGAGGAATGCTGGGGCTGCTCCAGTCTGGAGGATAGGGGATTTGCGGAGGATAAATCACAACTGGGCTTCCCTTGATGCTCCTGAATGGATGATGGATGAGGAAACTGTATTGGAAGGGTAAGGGATCAGTGCCCAGAGGCTGGGGCAGAGGAGAGAGAGCACAGCAGAGCATCGAAGACGCAGCACCTCCTTATGCCAGTGCAGGACCTGCAAAAACATTCATGTGCATGGAATCATAGAACTGCAATTGGAAGGGACCACGAGGGTCATCTAGTCCAACGTCCTGCAATGCGGAAATATTTTGCCCAATGTGGGGCTTGAACCCACAATCCTGAGATTATGCTCTACCAACCGAGCTATAAATAATAATAATAATAATAATAATAAATTTTATTTATACCCCGCCCTCCCCAGCCAAGACCGGGCTCAGGGCGGCTAACACCCGATATAAAAACAAATTGATTGAAATACAACTTAAAAACAAGATTAAAATACAACATTAAAACATTAAAATACAGCCTCATTTCAATGGAAACTCAAATCAAAAACTTTTTTGGGGGTGAAAACGTCAAGTCTTCACCAAGACTGGTCCTACATGGGCCAGAAAAAAGCCAGGGAAGTCCCCAAATAGGAGTTCCAACACAGGAGGAGAAAGGAAAAAAGAAGAGGAGGAGGAAATCAAATTGATACCAAGACGAAGGCCAGGAGGAACAACTCTGTCTTACAGGCCCTGTGGAAAGAAATCAGATCCTGCAGGGCCCTGGTCTCATGAGGCAGAGTGTTCCACCAGGTCGGAGCCAGTGTTGAAAAGCCCCTGGCTCTGGTCATGTCAGTCTGTTGGTTGTGAACTGGCTTTGCGCAGATAACTGGTGGTATTTATATCGACCACAGAATAGTTCTGAAAGGCACAGAACTCTAAGCTAACAACATATTTATGAGAAGAAGTTTACAATCAAGTAGACAAAATTACAAATGCATAGTATAGGCAGGGCCTAAAATTTGGACCACTGCAGTTGTGCTATTGGAATCGAGTAACTATTTGAGCAGATAAACATACCTGACTTTCTCCCACGAGTGAAAACTGAAATCAGGGTCTCGAATTGTTTCCAGGTTGTGCGGTTGACATGTGGATCCTACCTTAGAAACTAATTGCACTCACTGGTAATAGGAGTGCTTGTCAATTCCTCCAGGGAAATGCTTTTGCAGTTATCATCTCAGGAAGCTAATTGAAATAGGACAGCCTGCCTGCTGTCAGCTACTTATGAGTATTCTTCCATATAAGAATAATTATTTTTTTGTGCTCTATGGTTCTTTGCAAGCCTCACTGAAACTTTATTTAAAAACTTTTCATAATCAGTATATTGCTGTTATATTGCCTTGTAGCACTGTTTGTGGTTATAGTATCGAACGCTGCCCTTGTATGTGATTTGGTATCTATATTGAGCTAAACATGCAACTAAATGCACCAGCTTGCAGAAACCAGAATACAAATTCCCATAGTAGTATCCAAGTCAGATTAGGAATATTGTGAGTGGAGGACCAGGCTAGTTTTAGAGATACCACAATATTGCTATGAAGAGTTAACTGGGCCTATGCATTAAATATGAGGTTACCTACCTTTCTGGACCTGTGGGCACATTTTGAATATTGAGGGACTGCTGTGGGCGCCAGTCACAACATGACTGCCATGGGGGCATGGCATACAGCCATGGTGAAGCTTTCTCCATAATCACATTCCTATACAGTACTAGAAAAGACGACTTTACCTGTTCGGTTTCTGTCTGCCATTCAGCTGTCCCCAGCCAGCACAGCCAAGGATTAGGGGTGATGGGAATTCAACATTTGGAGACTGCCTTCCCCCTTTCAGGCCTACAGAAATGTTCTCTGTACTTATTATGCTATGTATACTGGTTATCTGAAAGGGTTGCAATAAACTATATAGACCCATTTTCAATGGCCATTAATTTCTGTGGGTCTACTCTGAGTAATTGCTAGTCAACTACATCCTCATAGTGCAGCTATGTAACTTGTAGGCACTTGCCCTCTCCTTGCTGGCCTTCAAGGGAGCCCTAAAGACCTAAAGCCAGACTTAAATAGTTTAATGGCACTGTTTTTAATGGCTGTTTTAATTGCTAGTTTTAATGTTGATTTGTCCCACTTTTAACTGTTTTACTTGCTAATGCAATTTCATGGTTGTTGGTTATTTTATTGTTCTATTATCATTTGCAATGCTGGAGGAGATTCTTGAGAGTCCCATGGACTGCAAGAAGATCAAACCTATGCATTCTTAAGGAAATCAGCCCTGAGTGCTCACTGGAAGGACAGATCCTGAAGCTGAGGCTCCAATACTTTGGCCACCTAATGAGAAGAGAAGACTCCCTGGAAAAGACCCTGACGTTGGGAAAGATTGAGGGCACAAGGAGAAAGGGACGGCAGAGGATAAGATGGTTGGACAGTGTTCTCGAAGCTACCAGCATGAGTTTGACCAAACTGCGGGAGGCAGTGGAGGACAGAAGTGCCTGGCGTGCTGTGGTCCATGGGGTCACGAAGAGTCGGACACAACTAAACGACTAAACAACAACAACAAATCATTTGCAAACCACTTTGGGATAAGTTACTCTGAAAGGCACCTTTAGCAGACATACCAATATATTATTAGCCTTATCCTTCCTTCCTCTTCCTTTAATCTCATGCTTTCATTCCGTTAAGTTTTCTTGGTCACAGCAGTCTTCTTTAAAGAAAGTGATTTTCTACAGACTTACGTGCTTGCCTGCAGGCACATAAGACTATATATGTGAAATGATGCAAGTTGACCATATTCATCAGCTGTTGGGAATACCAGTGTGGAGCCAGGCCTACTAACTCTGGAAAACTGCCATCCCATATCTTAAACTCAAGAATTAATAGGAAAAAAACTAGACACAATAAAGGAACTGATTGGGGCAACCACAGGTTCTTGAGCCCCAATAATCTTGTGTAATGTGCTTGCTTAGTTTTGATCAGGTTGCTTATTTAGGTAGACCATTCTTACCCTGCTTCTTTCACTCAGGCCATTTCCGATGTCATACATTTCTGCTGCTGGGGCTGTACTGTACATATCCTCTCCAAGTACTTATTCCTTGGAGGCTTGGACACAATCTGTGCCTGTCGTGGATTAGGAGTGGCCACCAAGACCATATAACACCGGTCCTGAAAAATCTACCTTGGCTCCCAGCACGTTTCTTAGCACAATTCAAAGTTATGGCGCTGGCCTTTAAAACCCTAAACGGCCTCTGCCCAGTATACCTGAAGGAGCGTCTCCACCCCCATCGTTCAGACTGGACACTGAGGTCCAGCTCCGAGGGCCTTCTGGTGGTTCCCTCCCTGCGAGAAGTGAGGTTACAGGGAACCAGGCAGAGTGCCTTTTTGGTAGTGGCGCCCGTCCTGTGGAACACCCTCCCATCAGATGTCGAGGAAATAAACAACCATCTGACTTTTAGAAGACATCTGAAGGCAGCCCTGTTTGGGGAAGTTTTGTAATGTTTGATCTTTTATCATGTTTTTAATATTCTGTTTGGGAGCTGCCCAGAGTGGCTGGGGAAACCCAGCCAGATGGGCAGGGGCATAAATAATAAATAATTATTATTATTAGGACAAATGTGTGCACAAAACAGCAACTCCAGATGTGTGCATACACACAACAGTTCTGGCTCGGGCTGCATGAATGGATTAAGAGTGGAGGCTGTGCTGTGGTCACAGAGCTGTCAAGCATGTATATGTCCCTGTTTAATGCTTTGGATAACATCATCTCCAAATCGTGCTAGCATTCCCATAGAAGGCAACGGTGGTAGGAGACTGTGGGGGCCACCACCCAGAAGTACTGTCATCCCCCCTCCCTCAAGAGCCCACAGGACACAAGGATGCACAAGGATTCTTGGCACACACCACTGAGCATTTTTAGCCAATTAATCACAACACGCCAGGCATGTTGTGAGAGTGTGAGACATCCGGCTTGAACGAGAGGTGGCGGTGATGCAAGGGCCAGAGAGGTCAGCAAGCAGCAAAGCTGTCGAGGCACCAAAAGGGGAGCCCCCGTACTTCCTGAGACAACTATGACAAGACATGTTTAGGCAGTTGCTTTGCTAGAGTGATAAATCTGTGGAAGCAGGTGATCCTCAGAACACCAAGGTTTGATACATCAGCAGCACCAAGTACCGTGTTTGACGCACCTGACCATAAGACGCACCTAGTTCTTAGAGGAGGAAAGCAAGGAAGAGCCGCTTACACGGCTTCTGTCCCGCTTTGCGCCGCTCTCATTTTGCTTGCCCATCCCTCCTCCTGCCTCGCTGTAAAGCGCGGTGACGCCGGAGAAAGAAGAGGAGGCGGCGGCACTGGGAAAGGTGCTTTGCTTGTTTTACAGCGAGGCAGGAGGAGGGATGGGCAAGCAAAGTGAGAGCGGCGCAAAGCGGGACAGAAGCCATGTAAGCGGCTCTCGCTTTGCTTGCTCCCGTCCGTCCCTCCTCCTGCCTCGCTGTAAAGCCAGCAGAGCAAGAGCCGCTGACTGGCTCTGTGCGGCTCTTGCTTTAAAGCAAGAATAGTGAGAACTGCGCAGAGCGTGTCAGCGGCTCTTGCTCTGCTGGCTTCACAGCGAGCGACGGATGGGAGCCATGGCTCTGGCTGTGGAGGCATCCCTCAGCTCACGACTGAGGCAGCCGAGGAATCCCTCTGCCATCCAGTGCATTCGCTTCATAAGACGAACAGACATTTCCCCTTACAGTGGTACCTCGGGTTAAGTACTTAATTAGTTCTGGAGGTCCATTCTTAACCTGAAACTTTTCTTAACCTGAAGCACCACTTTAGCTAATGGGGCCTCCCGCTGCCGCCGTAGCACAATTTCTGTTCTCATCCTGAAGCAAAGTTCTTAACCCGAGGTAGTATTTCTGGGTTAGCGAAGTCTGTAACCTGAAGCATATGTAACCTGAAGCGTATGTAACCCAAGGTACCACTGTACTTTTTAGGAGGAAAACAGTGCGTCTTATGGAGCGAAAAATACAGTACTTGATAGCAGCACTGTAAAGGCAGGCAGGCATTACGAGGAGGGAGGTTGCTAAAGATATAGTCATGGCGAGAGCTGGCTTTTACACCCATAGTGTTAAAATGCATACCAAGGTATGAGGAGGGATGGGGTTTAGGTGGTGGACTCTCCTTCACTGGAGGTTTTAAGCAGAGCTTGGATGGCCATCTGTCATGGATGCTTTAGCTGAGATTCCGGCATTGCTGGGGGTTGGACTAGATGACCCTGTGGTCCCTTCCAACTCTATGATTCCATGACCTGACATGCACTTGACTGGACCTGCAACAGAGGTGCTTTTGACAATCTTGTGTGCACCCATGCGCTCCTCTGAACTCATGTTCCGCATTGGAGGGTACAGACTACTTCTCTGGAGAAGTGGTTCCAATCAGTGTGTGACATATAGGAATGGGACAAACGAGAGCAACACACTTCCTCAGCTCTCTGCCTACGTTCACTGTATCTGAAGGAGCGTCTCCACCCCCATCGTTCAGGTCCAGATCCAAAGGCCTTCTGGTGGTTCCCTTATTGCGAGAAGTGAGGTTACAGAGAACCAGGCAGAGGGCCTTCTCGGTAGTGGCACCTGCCCTGTGGAACGCCCTCCCATCAGATGTCAAGGGAATAAACAACTATCTGATTTTTAGAAGACATCTGAAGGCAGCCCTGTTTAAGGAAGTTTTTTAATGTTTGATGTTTTATCGTGTTTTTAATATTCTGTTGGGAACCGCCCAGAGTGGCTGGGGAAACCCAGTCAGATGGGTGGGGTATAAATAATAAATTATTATTATTACTATGTTTGTGCCCATTTGGAGCACCAATCCAGCGCTGCACAAAACATCTTCTTTGTAGTAATTCACTGGTGTAGGGGAGCAATCTAGAATCCAGCACAGAAGTAGGTGAATCATGGAACTATGAAGTGCTCAGAGAGCATGAACAGCAAGCGTGTACATGCAAATAATTCAATTTGCTTAATTTATTCCCATTTTGTGTCAAATCTGGAATCCCAAGCTTTTACCCCCAAAAAAAAACCCATCCCAAAAACTTTTTCAGGGCAGACTGAAAACAACTGGATGCATCCAGCTAGAGGAATCCAGTCACAGCAGGGCAGGTTGAGCAGTGTCTTTCTCTGTTTGCCAAAGCACACACAATTTTAGACTGCGTTAAAAAAAAAATACAAGGAAAAAATATTTGTGTACCAGTAATGGCTTACTCAGAGTCTCTGTGATTTCGGGTGAGGGAGGCGAGGGGAGAAGAGTGGAACTGGTTGCAAAACAACTCGCAAAGGAGAATGGTTCCAGCATGTGAGAGAACACACAAGGTGTGGGGTGGGTGTTTGCGGATTGTGTGTAAAGAGATTCCCCTGTTTATTCTAAAAATGGCAGCATTTCATTTGTGAACTCCTCCACATGATAGAGAAAAGTATTCCTGTTCAGAGAGATCGTGGCTTCAATGCCTCTCACGAGACTGTCCTGGTCTTCCGCCCCCTTTCGCCACCCCCTGAATCCCAAGGGGGCCACCAGTACATAGGCGGGATAATGGCTCTTTTGCTTTCCCCAAAGGGTATGAATGCCAGTCCACATGGTTCTAGGATGTAGCCACCCCCAGCTACTAACCAAAGGTAAGGGGGCTCAGAGCTGCCCAGCAGGAGGGTGGATGCCAAAGGACAGTTTGCTTCTGGCCCAGCCGCTGCCCTCCTCACTCCTTGAGGAAGAAGTGCATCTTGTCATTGATGTTCTTGCGCTCGGGATTGAGGCGCTTCAGGATCTGGGCCAGCACATTGACCGTCTGCTCGCTGCTCAGCCCCGTCTTCTTGGTCTGGAATTTCTTCAGAAGATCCTTGGTGGTCATGGGCTTTCGAGTCAAGTAGCGGCGCACGGCGTCCTCCGTCAGCTGCACATCGCTGCAAGGAAGCAAGGGCAGGTTAATGCAGAATGTAAAGAAATATACAATAATAAGAGTACATTCATTTGTACAAAAGGAATATACAACGGGATAGACAGGAAGTCTAGTGTGTTGGTATGTATATGATTTTGGGTGGAAAATTGTTTTTGCTTTTTCTCTTTGTTCTTTTTTTTTTGTTTCATTTCCTTTCTAGGTATATAAAATTTGTATATAATTTTTGTAGACATATTGGAAGTTATATTATAGTAAGTCGTGTAATGTAATATGACAATGTTTACCGGTGTAATATAAGAATGTTAACAAATAAAGTGCAAATTCAAAAAACTAAAACTAAAGGGCAGGTTAATGCAATGGCAAGAGGCAGGGAAGAACACCGCGGAAGAGGAAGGACTTTTCTCCACGGCTCTCGCAGCAAAATCTAAGTGCAGGAATTGCCCCACTGCCCTTCTCTGAGGCGTGCAGCTGGCCAGGACAACCACAGCGCTTGAAAACACAGATGTACTTCTAAACCTCTCTATAATCTTCAGGCCCTAAGCTTTGCAGTGCCCAGATCCTGAACGGCGACAGTGACTATTTAAAATGTTGCTTTACAAAGTGTTTTCAGGTATTTCTCATAAATTCTCACATCAGTCCCTCTTTTAATCATAGAATCGTAGAATCATAGAGTTGGAAGAGACCACAAGGGCCATCGAGTCCAACCCCCTGCCAAGCAGGAAACACCATCAGAGCATTCCTGACATATGGTTGTCAAGCCTCTGCTTAAAGACCTCCAAAGAAGGAGACTCCACCACACTCCTTGGCAGCAAATTCCACTGTCGAACAGCTCTTACTGTCAGGAAGTTCTTCCTAATGTTTAGGTGGAATCTTCTTTCTTGTAGTTTGGATCCATTGCTCCGTGTCCGCTTCTCTGGAGCAGCAGAAAACAACCTTTCTCCCTCCTCTATGTGACATCCTTTTATATATTTGAACATGGCTATCATATCACCCCTTAACCTCCTCTTCTCCAGGCTAAACATGCCCAGCTCCCTTAGCCGTTCCTCATAATCTTATTAGCTTATTCATTAGGTCTGAATATCTGAGATAATTAGATTATCTGCCCTAACCATTTGGCTTGCCACCGGCTTTGTTGTTGTTGCTGTTATCTCTGAGCTTTTGGAGAACTTGCTATTACTGCAAAGAAGTGGGCAATAATGTGCCTGGGACAACAGAGTTTGGGGCAAGTGGGTGACAGGCCTGAGCTGCCCTGATCACTAGTGTCACACCTAAATGAACGTATGGCATGGGGGGGGGGCATTGACTGCTGTGGCCTCTCTCTGGCCCATCCTTCAGTTGGCAAGACCTGGACCGTCATAGCAGCTCACTTCCCCACCTAGTGGTGCTGCTGGAAAAGCACTAGGAGGAGTTCATAATAAGACGATTCAACTATAAATGAAGCAGCTAAGCTGGTGCTTTACTAAGGCCATGGTGGGCCTGACCTGACTTAGCTGTGTCTCCCTTAGCACAGCACTGGTGTAATTCCAAGGGTCAGGGTGTAGGGGTCTTCACCATTCACAGAACCCCACGTCTTCCATCAGTCTGCTTAGAAATGGGATCTGAGGGCTCGTACCCCTCACAAATACTGAGGAAACAGCGGCTCACCAAAGGCAGCCATTAGAAAGACTGGAGGGTGGGCCATGAACTGATCCTCACATCCTGCATTCTTAGCCATGTACATCGTCATCCGCTATGGATTAGGGAGTTAATACAATCGCTTAATTCTTCAAACTGCTTCTGGAAAGCTCATGCCCCACGAAGGACTTTAAGGTCCACAAATGACAACGTTTTGGAGGTCCCAGGTCACAAGGTGGTTAGATTGGTTTCAACTAGGGCCAGGGCCTTTTCAGTACTGGCCCCGACTTGGTGGAACGCTCTGTCGCAAGAGACTAGGGCCTTGTGGGACTTGACATCTTTCTGCAGGGCCTGCAAGACAGAGCTGTTCTGCCTGGCCTTTGGTTTGGATTCAGTCTGACCCTTATGTTGCCCTCCCCTTATGGTCTTGATCTATCGGCTACTTTTAAAATGAGGCTGCATTTTAAATTGCATTTTAACCTGTATTTTAAATTGCCCCCCCCCATTATGTTTTTGCTGTGATTTTATTGGTGTTAGCCGCCCTGAGCCCGGCCCTGGCCGGAGAGGGCGGGGTATAAATAAAATTTACTATTATTATTATTATTATTGTCAACAGTGATGCGAAGTGTGTCATCATAGTTGCAGAAGGGCCCAATGCACAGCAAGGAGCCTCCCCACCTCTGCCCAAACAAAAGCCAACACTTGTATGCGTAAATAAAAAAGGTAAAGGTAAAGGACCCCTGGACGGTTAAGTCCAGTCAAAGGCAACTATGGGTTGCGGCGCTCATCTTGTGTTCAGGCCGAGGGAATTTGTCCATAGACAGCTTTCTGGGTCATGTGGCCAGCATGACTAAATCACTACTGGCGCAACAGAACACTGTGACGGAAACCAGAGTGCGCGGAAAGCCGCTTATAGGGACGTGGGTGACACTGTGGTCTAAACCACTGAGCCTCTGGGGCTTGTCGATCAGAAGGTCGGCAGTTTGAATCCCTGCGACGGGGTGAGCTCCTGTTGCTCTGTCCCAGCTCCTGCCAACCTAACAGTTCGAAAGCACGCCAGCGCAAGTAGATAAATAGATACCGCTCCAGCGGGAAGGTGAACTTGTATGCTTACCCACTGCTGGGTGTTGACTTGCCCGACTGTGGCTGTGGGGTAGATTTCCCAGAGGTGGTGGAGGCCTGGGGCCCAGCGTCCAACTTCAGCCTCTTTGCTGCAGGTAGCTCACTGGAACCTGCCTGCCGCTTTCCTGTTCCAGGGAAAGAAAACCAGCTGGCCTCAGGACAACCATTGCAACACACCTTCCCTTCCACCCCTGGAGCCCGAATGAATGAGGCTAAAGAGGGAATGTATGCCTCAGTAATTTGTGTGTTCGTTGGTTTTGCTACTATTCATTTACAGCCGTACCTTGGTTCTTGAACGCCTTGGAACTTATACGTTTTGGCTCCCGAACGCCGAAAATCTGGAAGTAAGTGTTTCGGTTTTTGAATGATTTTTGGAAGCCAAACGTCCAACACAGCTTCTGCTTGAGTGCAGGAAGCTCCTGCAGCCAATCGGAAGCCACACCTTGGTTTTTGAACGTTTTCGGAAGTCAAACAGACTCCTGGAACGGATTACATTTGAGAACCAAACTACGACTGCATTGCTATTTTCTAACTATGGGATACAAAATACAGGTAGGTAGCAGGGTAAAAACAAAAACAGAAGTCCCCAGACCCTTATCTATAGTGAGAGGGTGGGGAGGGGTATTAGAACCTTCTATGCAAGATCTCAAAGTAGCTGTCATATTACAAAAGAATTTCAGAAATAGACTGGAAAGAGAAGTTGCTGAATTACAACTTATTACCAAACTTAAAACCATGGAGAGACCTCGTCTGAATAGAGACATTGGATTCTTATCTCATTACACATGATAAAGCTATTTTTGGCCATCTCATTCCTTGTTTTTCCCTGTTAGACTAATTGCAGTCGTTAACAGTCATCAACTGGTTTACCACACCTATCAGCCAATCACCCATTCCCACCATCCTTCTGAGTAATAGCCCCCCACCCTCTCACTATATATAAGGGCCAGGTGTATCAGAAGAAGTGTACATGCACACGAAAGCTCATACCAATAACAAACTTAGTTGGTCTCTATGGCGCTACTGGAAGGAATTTTTTTTATGGGATACAAAGAATGGGAGGAGAGAGGGACCACAGGCCACAAAGAAGAGCGGAACAGGTATGGTTTTCAGCCTCGCGGAGGAGCCCTGCCCATTGATCATGGGAGCCGTTTGCCTGTTTTCCAAAATACATACAAGGTCCAGAAATTTTCAAGAAGCAAAGAAGAGGGCACCCATTTCAGCTTATACAGTACAGTGGTACCTCGGGTTAAGTACTTAATTCATTCCAGAGGTCCGTTCTTAACCTGAAACTGTTCTTAACCTAAAGCACCACTTTAGCTAATGGGGCTGCCGCCGCACCGCCGGAGCACGATTTCTGTTCTCATCCTGAAGCAAAGTTCTTAACCCGAGGTACTATTTCTGGGTTAGCGGAGTCTGTAACCTGAAGCGTATGTAACCTGAAGTGTATGTAACCCGAGGTACGACTGTATACAATACAAAGCAAGAGGCAGAGCTCAGAAGCTCCTGTGGGCCCACACTCGGCTGTACCTAGCTCCAGTTTGTTGGCTGCGGCCCGCAAGGTGGATGAGGTGCCGGCATCCACCAAGGGCGTCCCTGGACGGCTGTTCCCTTGTGAGCTGCTAGCCGAGCCCTTGCGTTCCTTCTTGGGAGGAGTCTTCTTTTTCTGTGAGGGCAGAAACAGAGGCTCAGCCAGGGCTCCCTTCTCCACTCAAGCACCACCAGTGCGTGTGGCCCTCCATACGCTGTCTGTTGAGGCCTACAACCAGAGTGCTGGGGAGCGTGCAGGCCCAGGCTGTGCACCCAAAAGTGGGGGTGCAGGGAACAAAGGAATGACTTTCGTTTTGAGGAGAGAGGACGTGTTTTCACGATGCTGTTCGCTGTGATAGATAATGGATACTCTGCTGTGAATAGAACTGCTTTTAGCTGCTAAGATCCTGAGTGGACTTTATTTAAGCACACTGAAGCATGCACTGGAGTTTTTGCAGCTTTCTCTTGCCGCTGTTGATCTCTGCTTTGCTTAGAGCATCGGAATGTGGACTTTGGAATGCAGAGGCCTGGCCGGCAAGAGCTGTGCAGCCGAAGCGTGCCGGACGTCAGGCTTATCTGAGCAATAAATCAATCTGCTTCAACACTGTCGGGCCCATCCATGAAGCAGGTTGGAATGACAGAATTGTGAGGTGGAAGGGAGACTGGACCAGTTCAGTTGGCAGTTGGGAGGAATATAATAATAATAATAATAATAATAATAATAATAATAATAATATGCTTTCTTGTATTGATAAAAGAAATCCATGCAAGTCGACCCCTGCAAATCTACCACACTGGGGAGAAAACTTGCAACTTCCTTGCCTGCAGGAAGTTAGTGCGAGCGGACATTCAAAAAAATTGATTTCTTCACTGCCACTGTCAGTGTCACACAGTCCATTCTACCACATATGGGGACCAGGGTTAGGCCGGAAATGACAGCTGTTCTCCAAACAAGGTCCAAACCCCTGGAATGCCACCCCCAACCCAACTGCATCTGGGCTTACCGTCATGAAGAGTGCTGAAGATGCTTCGCTGTCAATGTCGCTGTCCTCAGACGTCTCAGACTCATCACTGGTGTCTGTAAAACAGAGCCAAACCAAGACAATCTGGGCTTTGCTGTCTTTGTGGCAGACTTCAAAACAAACAAGTCACAGGCAGAACCCATTTGACGCTGGCACATAGATTCTAGGTCAGGCTGCTGCTTGTTCACCAAGGCTTGTTCTCAAGGAACAGGTCAAACTCTCAAGGACTCAGGTCAAAAGTAAAGCACTAGGCCGGGGTGGCTAATATGGTGGCCTCGAGTTGTTGTGGACTCCCAGCTCTCACCATCTCTACCTATTGGCAGTGCTGGCTGGGGCTTCTGGGAGTTGGAGCGCAACATCTTCATTTGGAGGGCCCTAAGTTGGGAACTAAACTATCTCCCAAGGCCAGAAATAATGTTTTGATGCTCAAGCTTCTGCCCCTTCTGGGCTTCCAGGTGTGTCGCTGGAGACTTATGTCAGCAGGTCAGGGTTGGGCGCATGCTACAACTGTCGAAATTCTGCCCCAAGGAAGCAAAGTTCTGAAGTATAATTGTTTAAATGCACAGTGAAACAGAATGTCAGTATGTGTGTTGTGAAGGGTTTAGCAGTGGAAAATTCCATTGGGCCATACTGAAGCTCTCTAAGCTTCTGAGTTGATAATTAACTGTTGTTCTCTGCTAGCACTCATGTGAGTGTTTAACCTTAGATCACGTGAGGGTATTCAACTGCAAGTCTCAGGATGCCACAGAGACAACAAAGGGGGAGCTGCAAAGTCTTAGGCCGGATGCAGCCTAATGCAAGCTATGGGAGAAACAGAGCTTTGATTTTTGTTCTGATCGTATTTATGTTATATATTTAAGAAGAATCTATGCTTGAATGTGCACATGCTTTATACAACTTTCTGGATAAAGCATATGCATATGCATATCACTGATTGTTTTTCTACCTGTTTTGAAGTTCTGGTTAATAAAGCTTTAAATAATACTTATGGGTCTGGACAATTTTTATTCCAAAAGCATTCCGTTTTTTGCACCTCATTGCTTCAAGCAGCACATTACTAATATCTGCAATAAGTTCTACAACCTAGCTATAGGGAGACATTAGCTGCTATAAAGGCTACTCTAGCCCTGATTCCAACAGCCAACACCCACATTCTTTATAGCATGTCTTTGAGGCCATAAAGGCTTATAAGCCTTGGTTTTTTCAACAAGTGAAAGCAAAGATCCTTGGGAAATTGAATGCTATGCCCACTGCCATAGCCTGTGAAATTGCAGCATAAACTTAGTTCTGCCTCTCTTAAGTCTGACTAATAATAATAATAATAATAATAATAAATTTTTATTTATACCCCGCCCTCCCCGGCCAGGGCCGGGCTCAGGGCGGCTAACAAGAAATATGAAATTACAATAAACGTAATAGGAAAACAAACAAACAACAAAGTTAATTAAAATACGGCTTAAAATACAGCTTAAAATGCAGCCTCATTTTAGTAGTAGCCCATAAATCAAGACCATAAATGCTTCCCCTTTCCCAGCCTTCTGTGATATGCCGCTTCAATACTTGAGGCTTTTAGAATCACAGAACTGTAGATTTGGAAGAGACCACGAGGGTCATCTAGCGCAATCCCCTGCAAAGCATGAATCTCTTGCCCAATGTGGGGCTCAAACCCGCGACCCTGAGATCTCATGCTCTACCAACTGAGCGTTACCTTTCTTTTTCTTTTTATCCTGGGGAGTCGGGGCCTTCTTCTCTTCTTCTTCCTCTTCCTTCTCCTCCACCGGCTTCTCCTCCTCACTCTCTTCACTGCTCTCGCTTGCTTCGTCTATACCTGCAAAGCAGAAAGGCAATGGGGTTAGGAGGCAACAGATTTGGGGTTGACTTGTTTCTGGGCAAATCCGCTTGACAGTTTCCCATTCCCCTTGCCAGTGCTGGCTAAAAGGAAAACCTAACCCGCCTATGCCAGATCAGTTGCTGCTTCCCTCTCTGCAGGGAAGTGCAGCTCTGAGAGGGGTGCAGAGTGGCCCTAGAGGTCTTTGAGCAGAGGATGATCAGCACCCACGTCAAAGTACATCTCTGAGGATTATTGGGGGAAGCCATGCCATGCAAGCTGGCAGAAAACTGGGTAGATCTAACTCAGACGAGGACAAAGGCAGAACAGAATCTCCTTGCAGGTCAACGTCAGTATGCACACCAACATGCATCTTGTGGGATGTAATCCAATGGCACAGTCAAATGCAACATTCCTTATTTCCCTAGAGTGGGCACAAGCAGGGGTCATCCAGTCAGTGTAATTTCCTGTTCCACTGGTCTGGAGCTTCCTCTCCCTGCATGTGACCAGGGAGATGGGCATCGCTGTGGCTGACTCCACAAAAGAGCCATGCAGCCATTTTCTCAGTTTGTCTTGTCTCTTATTGTTCTCTTGCTGATCTTTTGCTGCCACGCTGCTCTCCTGCAGTCATTTTGTCCTATTAATGTAATTTTGCTGTCTGCTGGCTCTCAGCCAGCAGCACGTGAGTTCAGTCTCCCTATGAGATAAACTCACTCTTTCTTTGTGTAACTATTAAGTAAAGCCTGCCTTTCAGGGATCATATCGTGAACTGAAATGTGAGTAAACTTTTGTAACTTTACTCAGAGAGACTCTCGTCTTTATTCTTTTAAGAGGGGTCAAAGGGGACACCAGGAAATAATCGCAACTAAGAGATTCTAATGAATCTGCAAACTAGCTTCCAGCTATATTGAAGGGAATCTGTTCTGCTACATACTAGAGTGAGTGAAGGAAGGATAATACTTATCCAATATATCCTTTCTTACTTTCCTTAACATTCCCACACATCTTACAGAGGAGATGAGCAAAACAATGATCAGGGCCAACAGATAAAAACCACCAAGCTTCCAATGGGCTGCTGCAGGTCTTGCTGCCATCTTGAACTTTAGGATTTGTTCATCTGCATGACTTGCTCAGCCACATACCTTTTGGGATGTCTTCCTCTTTAGTCACCTTGGGCTTCCCCACGGCTTCTTCCACAGAGCTGCTGTAAGAGGACAGGGAGAACCCTCAGTGCGAATGGACACAACACATAGAGGCAACATGAAGTTTTGGCAGGGAAAGCCACCCGTCCCAACAGGGGGAATAGGAAAGAGAAGCAGCAGCAGACTGACCACCGGGGTGGCCAGGCAATGCTTGCCCCCCCTTGCTGGGAAAACCCCCCACTTCCCGTCCACTGTGGTGCCCACCTGGATCCGTCAGACATGTAGTCAACCTCTTGCCCTTCAAAGTCCCCATCATCGCTGTCTTCAAAGGCTTCATCATCAGATCCCTTCTTCTTCTTTTTCTTCTTCGTCAGAGGGGCTTTCTTCTTGGGCTTGGTGGGTTTCTCATCTAATGAATAACGGGATGACGTTAAACACTTTTCTCCAAAGGCAGAAATCTCACTGGAAGTGGTAGCCCAGAGGTACAACCCAAGAGGAAGAGGAGAGAAAAGAAAAGAAAAGAAAAGGGGTGCACTTTTGAAGGAATGATCGCTGGGTGCGGAGCACACTTCCACCCGCAGACAAAGCCACAGCTGTCTGAACATCATGCCCTCTATCTAACCTTTGCTCTCTTAGCGGTCTACCGTGCCCTGTCTGTGACCTTTGTCTCCTTCATCATACATTGTTCAAGGGGAAAATGACGCGGTGGAAACAGGTGCCAAAATAACTTTGTACCACCCCAAGATCTCGGGATTGGAAGATGTGTAAAGGTCACAGTCCAAAATGTATCTGACTGGTTTTGCATATTGTGCTAATAAAAGGAGCCTCTACAGAGCTAGCCGGCAGCTTGTCTTGGAGCATGTTTGCCAGCGTGTTTCTGCACAGCTCACCTGCATCCAACCTCCTGTCGCCCTCCGTTATTCCTACACACTTTATACAGCACAGAGCAGGGGGTGAGGAATCTGGGAGCCTCCAGGTGTTGCAGGCCTACAACTCCCATCATCCCTGACCAGGCTGGCTGGGGCTGGTGGGAGTTGGGAGTCCAGCAACATCTCGAGGGCCACAGGTTCCCCACCTGTGACAAATAGCAAATGCACAGAATCTTCCGCCGCAAATTGATTTTTATGAATAAGATTATATGCACAGAGCCAGTGTCAAAGGAGATCCACCTTCTGTGTGGGCCATAAACTCAAACAAGGAAAAGACCTAGCAATACCAGAGACAACAGCTGCACAAGAGTGCTTCAAGGTTTGCTGAAGCCCAACCTCTTTTGGAAGCACTCCAGCTCTTGTTGTATGGCCCAGATGTGTCACTGCTACCTATCACAGTGACTATGCCTTGCCTCTCCCATCCCTCACTGTTTCACTTATAGGATGTAGCTGTCCTTTTGGTCTTTCCTGAAGCCTTGCAGAAGTTTGCCCAAGCCTTCCTCCACATGAGAAAGAAGGAAAGCTCAGTGGGGATGAAAGGGAACTCATTATAAAGCTAGCCACTGTCTCTCAGAGAGGTCCTTCAAAAATCCAGGTCAGAAAACAGGAATTTATTGAGTTTTTTGAAGCTGTTATTAAAGTTGCAAAACTATGAAGTACGGGGTGGAACAATGGAGAATTTCTGAAACAACAATGGGATATTAGCTCCTCCGCCCAAGGGATGATGCAGAACAGCAACAACCAGGAAAACATAGACATAATATTTTACAAGGACAGGAAGAAACACCACGGACAGAATAATTGCCACACACAGGAAGAACAAGGATATAGTTTGAGTGCCTCACTTGTAGCTTTATAAATCATTTAATGTGTCAGTACGAATGGAAATTGTTAATATTGCAGTTGTTGTATAAGGGATAGTTATTTTGACCGGAGTATAATTGAAATTAGTAAGATTTTGGAACGCAGAAATAAAGTAAATCATCAAACCATCAATTCTAGCATGCGGGGGGCCACCTAAATTATATAATTTGGTATCTGAATGATTGGTATCAGTAATTATATTATAATTTGGCATTGTTATAATGTGGCTATTATTGGATTATTGTAATTGAAAACTAATAAAATTATTATATTTAAAAAATCCAGGTCAGAGCTGCCACCCCTTCCCCTTCGCACCATCCGCATCGCTGAACTCGCTGTCATCCGAGCTCATCTCCAGGTCATCTTCCAGGTCATGGATTTTTAAATCGCTCCCTTTCTTTTTGCCTTTCTTCTCCTTCTCCTCTTCTTCTTCATCTCCTTGGTCTTTCAGCCGCCGCTGCTGCATGATGCTAAAGTGGTTCAGAACCTTGTTCCGCCTGCAAAAGGCAAAAAACGGGGGCCGCACTCAACCGGGCTGCTCCTTAAAGCCCCGGTTCCCCAGGACACTGTGGTTGGGAGGCAAGGACCACATGGCACAGGGACTTGCAAGAAACCAGGCTGGAGCCTTAATGCGCCAGGCAGGGATGCTGCAGTTCCGGGGCAGGGGACCAGAATTTTTTGTTTCTTATGCACATGAAAGATGCTATACAAGTTATAAGATGTGGGTGGCGCTGTGATCTAAACCACTGAGCCTCTTGGGCTTGCTGATCAGAAGGTTGGTGGTTCGTATCCCTGCAATGGGGTGAGCTTCCATTGCCCTGTCCCAGCTCCTGCCAACCTAGCAGTTTGAAAGCACACCAGTGCAAGTAGATAAATAGGAACTGCAGCAGTGGGAAGGTAAACGGCGTTTCCGTGCGCTCTGGCACTTGTCACGGTCCTCCGTGCACCAGAAGCAACTGCTGGCCACATTACCCGGAAAGCTGTCTGCGGACAAACACCGGCTCAAGCAAGATGAGCGCCACAACCCCATAGTCGCCTTTGACTGGACATAACTGTCCAGGGGTCCTTTGCCTTTTACCTTATAAGGGTAACAGAAGCACTGGACCCAAGGTGAGAGACATCGCCACACCCTGGAAGCTTCCTAAATATCTCTCCACTGGGCTAAGAGGAGGCTGCTCTAGGGCTGGGCGATATCAGCTTTTCAACATTGCAATATATTACCAGCCAAACACTGTGATGTAATGATACACTGCGATGTTGAAAAGTAAGCAGATGGAAACATAGGCACTTGTAGTGTAATAATTACTATGGACAATATAGATTGATATAAAAGTTAGAATTTGGAAGAAGATGCAGTTTTAAATGTTTGAAATGGGACCCCATGGAGCGGGGGCAGGAAGTCCAGAGGTTCAGAGAAATATCTGTATATGGATATATGTTTGGATTTTCACAATTTGTTATTGGTAAAATCAAATAAAAATGATTTCATAAAGAAAGAAAGAAAAAGAAACCAGCACAATGATTCCTGCTAGCTCAAGAGGACTCTCCTGCCACCACGCACTCCCCAAATCTGATCTGGAGGGTCAGTTATTATTACATCTGAAGGATTATTATTACATCTGAAGGCAGCCCTGTTTAGGGAAGCTTTTAATGTTAGATGTATTACGGTATTTTAATATTTTGTTGGAAGCCGCCCAGAGTGGCTGGGGAAGCCCAGCCAGATGGGCAGGGTATAAAAAATAATAATATGTTGTTGTTGTTGTCGTCACAGTTGAACCCCTCCACAGTAGGGAGGAGATGGGGGATAATTCCACCAGACAAGCAGAGATGAATGACTTGATGGAACGATCTCTTTACATTGAATTCCACCCCATGTGTTGTAGTCTACTAGCTTTCACTAGGAATAGACCCCATGAAATTAACAGGCGTGCCTAATTTAGGCCCCCTGAAGTCCCTCTGCTCACCTCTCCCACTCCTCCTCAGCTTCCTCCGCAGTCAACGTGCGGTGCTTGGCAATGGGTGTGAAGTTATACCAGTTGTTGACTGGGAAGGCTTCAAAGGCGCCGTCTGGACACTGGGTGAAGATGTAGTAGGAGGTGTTTTCGGTCACCCCACCCTTCTTCACACCTTTGAACCTGAGCAAAAAGAAACAGGATGAAGTAAGAAGCAGCAGCACTCTAAGTATGCCAAAGGTTTTAATGTTAGCGATTCAGTCCAGAAAGGAGCAAGGCAAGTTCAGGAGAAGACATGCCTCTTAAGGTCAACTGCCCAAATCCAGGGATATGATTGAAACACTAAATCTGTTGATTTTAGCTTCTGCTTAAGAATTTTAGCTTCTGCTTAAATAAACATGTATTGTTATTATGAAATCCTCCACTTGCCATAGTTGTTAAAACTGGAAAATCACAGGTTCTGGATGTAGGAACAGTTTAGCTCCCTGCTATATATGTATTTTAAATTCCAAGTTATGCATTTCCTTCCCCACCCCCAGCCCTGCAAGTCTGGAACCAGACTATTCATAAGATAAAAAATATTTAACTGTCCAGAAGGCGCACATACGGGTTAGCCTAACTTTCTAATTTTGAGACTTAAGTTTTTCCAGTTGCAAATGTTTAACTAGAGCTTTCTAGATGTCAAAGTTGCTCCATCCCCTGCTCACGAAGCGGGAGAGGCTCATCACATGCTCCAATTCTAGACTTTACCAAGTGCAAGCAAACTGAAGAGTAACGCTAGCCCAAACTCCCAAACTGGTAGTAGACCAGTATAAAGTAAGCAGCACATAAGCGGCACAGAAAACACTAAAAAACCATTCTATGTTCTAAATCTTATATTAATAATCCAAAAATTGAGAGAGCTATGTACAAGATCTACTACAGAATACAGTCTTTAAATATCTACAGGATACAGTTTTTAAATATCTACAGGAGCCTGGCTAAAGGAACATTTAAAGACTGTATCTTCCTTTTGGACACAATTTGAATGAGTTTTCTGTTTGTGGCTTCTGTAGTAGATCTTGTACATAGCTCTCTCAATTTTTGGATTATTAATGTCAGATTTAGAACGTAGAATGGTTTTTTTAGTGTTTTGTGCTGCTTACTTTATACTGGTCTACTATGAGAATTGGCAGCATAGGTTCATTTCTTCAATACAAACTCCCAAACTGAGCTGCGAACCAAAACCCTGCTGGGCAAAAAAGCACCATCAGCCACTCACTTGCGCCCAGTCTTGCCATTCACTTTCAGGATCCAGGGCTGGTCTTCAAGCTTGAACTCCTTCAAGATGATGCCATATTTCTTACGCCTCGCCTCCTCACGCAGCTTGCGGTTGAACTCGCTGCCAGCTCCCGACTCCGGCATCTCTTCTTCCTGGTAGATCTTCTTATTGCTGAGGTCTCGCTCCATCTTTGCCTATAAGGAGGAGCAGAAAAGAAAGGGCCAAGGTCAACCCATATTGTGTTGTCTCTAATAAAGGGGAGGGGGTGTGAATTTGCTCTTAAGCAGCTCCAATTCATTACTAAAGGTCTGCTAGCACAAAGTATGGATTCCAATTAAGTACAGTCGTACCTCAAAAGTCGAACGGAATAGTACCAGAAACAGTACCTCGGGTTAAGAACTTTGCTTCAGGATGAGAACAGAAATTGTGCAGCAGCAGCGGGAGGCCCCATTAGCTAAAGTGGTACCCTCAGGTTAAGAACAGCTTCAGGTTAAGAACAGAGCTCCAGAACGAATTAAATTCTTAACCAGAGGTACCACTGTAACACTTGTAATGTCACAAACACTATGGACAATATGCACAGATTCAAAACATAATTACGAAATAATATGCAGTTGAAAATGTTGACAATAGGACCTATGGAGGGGATGATGGGAAGTCTCGAGATTCAGAGGAATCTGGATATATGGATATGTATTTGGTACTGTTTTAACTCTTTATAAAGAAAAAGAAAACTTTAGCAGCCTGAGCGCAGAGTCCTACCTGGTGCCAAGTTGCAAAGTTCACCTTGTCAGCAGCATTGAATGCCATAATGTTATATTTTTTGGAGGTGTTTCTGTGGAGAAAGGAAGCAGAAATAAGTCAGATCACTGCCCAGTATCACAGGTTGGAACCAAGTGGGAATGCGCCACCAAAATAACTCTTTTTCTTCTGGTCTAAGGGAAAGCCCATCCCTGGACCCTGCAGAGAAGCACGAAACATGCCTACAGTTCAGTGCTACTGAGGGCCACATTTCAATGTATGCATAGCTACAGCACGCCCAGAATACCCAGATAAGGCTTTGCTTCCATGGGTAGACATTAAAATCTAACAACCTGACCACAATGCACAAAGGCCAGTATGGTCAAATGTTTCTTCTCCAGTATTCCTAAACAGCTCCCTAGGGCTGGTTTTCTCTTTTGGATGATTTCCAATGCATGCTTCACTTCCTTACTCAGGAGTAAACCAGTAGGACTTATTTCCAGGTAAACCTACAGACAAGTTTTTAAAAGAAACAGGCACTCTCTTCAAGTGGAGAAAAACTATCAAATGAAGAAGATTCAACCACAACACCAAAACGTCTGAAGAAAGAAAGCAGGAAAAAGGATTGCACTTACTTGGGAACACGGACCACATATTCAGTTGCTGTCTGACTGCTGGTCCCCTACCAAAAAAGCAACAGGGATTGCTCAAGTGAAAAAGGATGCAGAGAGGAGGCTGGTCAAACTCAAGGGCATTCGTAGGTGACAAGTTTAGCACAGGTCACAGGAAATATATAAGATTTTTTTTTTTTTTGAGCAATATGCTCCTACAGAACATTAAGAACTGCTCTGCTGCACGCAAACCACACCAAAGACAAAATGCTGCAAAACAGCAGAGAGGAGTTAATTTGTAATCCAGTGTCATCTCAATGGCTAGCCCAGCTGGTGCTAATTACCCAAACTGCATGGTCATCTATGGCCTGGCCATGTATATTAGACCATATAATAAGCTAGGAAGCTAGAGTTGCCTAGTAACAGTATATGTTTTCCGGTCACAGCTCCAGGCTGGAGGCATGCAATGAGATGGGAAGAGTGGAGACGCATGCTTACCCTCAAGGTTCAAGCCTAAGCAGATGACCATCGTCATGTCTCTGTCACTCTTAGGGACAAAAAAACTGAATGCATTTTTGCTGAGGAACGGGCTCATCATGTTGTACTACAATACGCTGTAGGCACTAGGAGATAAAACATGGAACCCAACTGGGACTTGGGGGGAAATAACAGGTGGCCATTTTGAGAACAGCTTTGCCAAGTCAGGCAGGAGAGAGAGGGAGGGATCAATACATCCGTCTGCCTGGGGAAGATAAGAGCTGGTGGTGTGTGTGTAATAATGGGCTGTCCAGTTTCAGAAAGCTGGTACACTCACTAACAGTGTTTGAAACTCCCATTGTTCTAGGTGCATTTTGCGATAGGGAATTTCACTAGCGTGAGCAGTTTCTGAACTCTGGGAGCAGTACTGCGCCTGAGATTTCAGATTAAAACTGCAGAGTGGAAGGAAAAGAGGACCTTTTTCTTCCTCCCCACTTCCAGCTACTCTCTGAAGACTGGAGAAGAGACCCTCTTAAGAATATTAAGGGGGTGGGCAGGGGAAGGACTAAATCATGTGGAAAATGAACATAATATTTTAGCTGCAGTTCGTTCATTTTCAGCTTTGAATTCTTCTTATAAAAAAGTGTGCCTAGACGTTCCATTGTTGCGCCCATAACCTAGGTTTAAGGTACCATTTAGCTCCTAGCTTTCATATCTCAGTTTCTAACACTGCTCACTAATCTGGCTGATGTTCTGAAGCTGTGGAAGCAAAAGAGGTCTGGGAGAAGGCAGGAAATAGCCGACCATGCCTTTTCAGTTTGGGATGCCAAAAATTAGTGGGGATTCCCAGAACTGAACCAGGATGAGACAAGCCCAAAGATTCAGACAACTCTTGGCCTCCATCCCAGAATGACAGCTCACCAAAGAAGTCATTCCTGGATGTGCTGCGCAGGTATCCAGCCGAGCCTCTCCAAAAGCACCTGTCTGAGGAAGAAAGAGAATGGAAGAGTTAGTCCCACATGGAGGAATGGAAGAATTGGGGGAGAAGTCGGGTGAAGGGCTGGAGAGAGAGAGGACTACCACTTTCTGTTTTCAAGGATCCTTGGCACCTCACAGTGTCCCTTAAGATGTGTGCCGGGTGCCTTTATCTCCAAGCAGGGCTGTCCCACCCACCATAACAGGGCAGAGTATTTCTGATCATGCACAGAGGGCCTCTTCCTTTCTGCCAGGAAGCTGCTTAAAATAAAAAAGCAACAGAAAGAGGCAGAAAGTCTGGAACGTAGGGGCAAGGCTAAGAAAGAATGGCGTGACTTTGGAAGTGCCTTGGAGAAGAGGAAGGAGAAGAGGGAAGGCGAGGCTGGCTGGCGGGAGGGTCGTGCAAACCTGCCTGCGCACGTGTCTCTCTCGTTAAAGCTGACAGTTATTTTCCCATAGGCCGGGGAAATTGAGGATACTAGGCCACGGTCCACAAGGGGTTGCAGCTTAAAATTGTCGTGTAACAGAGTGCGTGGAGGGGAAAGTGGCGGTGGCAGTCACGAGGGCATTGCACCTAGTGGCCTGTCTCTGGGGTGTTCCAGTATGTGGACGTTCCATTTGCAAAATGCGCCCAATATGCCTTTTTGTGCTGGAGGAGGCTCTTGAGAGTCCCATGGGCTGCAAGAAGATCAAACCTAGCCATTCTTAAGGAAATCAGCCCTGAGTGCCCACTGGAAGGACAGATCCTGAAGCTGAGGCTCGAATACTCTGGCCACCTCATGAGAAGAGAAGACTCCCTGGAAAAGACCCTGATGTTGGGGAAGATGGAGGGCACAAGGAGAAGGGGATGACAGAGGACGAGATGGTTGGACAGTGTTCTTGAAGCTACCAGCATGAGTTTGACCAAATTGCGGGAGGCAGTGGAAGACAGGAGTGCCTGGCATGCTCTGGTCCAGGGGGTCACGAAGAGTCGGACACGACTAAACAACAACAATGCCTTTTTGGGCAGAAAGTAACAGTTGGTACTGTGTGAGTGCTTGTTGCTTTTACGTGCTCTCCTGACCCTGTTCCTTCATAGAGGGGTAAGCTGGATATTGCAAACCTATTCTTTAGGCACCAAAAAAACAAAACAAACACCACGACTACTTAAAGTGCTTTAAATGTGTACTGCAGATGAGGCCTCAAACCCCTGCTTTTTCTTGGACCATCTGCCAACATGCAGCAGTCTAGCAAGCGACTCGCTTACAAAAAACTGTCGCAAACCTAAGTTCACTTTCACCCTGATCCTTTGAAAATGGAAATAAGCCCCAGTTAGCTCAGCTTAATTAACTTTCAAATAAGTATGCAGAGAATTGAAGCCTTGAGATGGTTGATCTATTTATTTATTTATTTATTTATTTATTTAGATAAATTGATGCAATATAGTGTATAAAAGACAGGCCCCAAAAGCAAGTACAACATCCTAGCGCAGACCTTTCCAAACTGTGTGTCGCGGTGCATTAGTGTGTTGGCTGCAGTGTGTGGGTGTGTCATGCAAACGCTCTCCACATTCTTCCCATGGCTGGAAAGGGGTTAGTTTAACCTCTGGTTTGGTAGTAAAACTGAATTACCCTGTTGCGAAATGATGCATCTCTAAATGCGTTGCCAGAATGAAAAGTTTGGAAAGCTCTGCCCCAGTGGTTGGATGAACTTGTCCGACTATGATGCATGCGTATGTGTGCGAATGAAGTGACATTAACAGTTACATGGAAAGGGGTGTTGTGAAGGCAAAGCTCTGTGAGGAAGAGAAACAGAATTTGTTGCTACCTCTACCCCATACACACAAGATAGATCAGTGGGTTAGAGCATGGGTAGGCAAACTAAGGCCTGGGGGCCCAATCCGGCCCAATTGCCTTTGAAATCCGGACCATCCAAGCACGTCTTTACATGACTAGAATGTGTCCTTTTATTTAAAATGCATCTCTGGGTTATTTGTGGGGCATAGGAATTTGTTCATTCCCCCCACCCCAAATATAGTCCGGCCCCCCACATGGTCCGAGGGACGGTGGGCCGGGCCCTGCTGAAAAAGTTTGCTGACCCCTGGGTTAGAGCGTGGTGCTGATAACGCCAAGGTTACAGGTTAAATCCCCCGGATGGAACAGCTGCCTGTTCCTGCATTGCAGGGGACTGGACTTAAGATGATCCTCAGGGACCCTGCCCACTCTACAATTCTATGGTGGTGATTTTTATGTTGATATTTTCTGTGAACTGTCCTGAGACCTCCGGGTATAGGGCGGTATATAAATTCAACAAATAATAAAATAATAATAATACAGTGGTGCCTCGCAAGACGAAATTAATCCGTTCCACGAGTCTCTTCGTCTTGCGGTTTTTTCGTCTTGCGAAGCACGGCTATTAGCGGCTTAGCGGCTATTAACGGCTTAGCGGCTTTAAGAAAAAGGAAACAAACTCGCAAGAACTCGCAAGACGTTTCGTCTTGCGAAGCAAGCCCATAGGGAAATTCGTCTTGCAGAACGTTCCGACTCAAAAAACGCAAAACCCTTTCGTCTAGCGAGTTTTTCGTCTTGCGAGGCATTCGTCTTGCGGGGCACCACTGTAATGATGATGATTCTATGAACCACATATGGGATGTACACAGGCCCCTCTCCTTTTTTGGGGGGCAGTAATTCAGCAGGTGGGGAGAATGTGAGTCATTGAAACTAAAGTGCATTTGCTAACTTAGATCTGTACCACTGTAATGGGTTGCTCTGAAGTCATTTCAGCACCCGGTGGTGCTGGTGGTGGGGAATTTCACCCCGCCCCATATCCTGTCCTGTCCTTCGCAGGTCAAAAGTGGCAACCCTAAGCCACAGAGGGAAGAATTGTCCACCAAAAAAGATGAAGAAATTTGGCAAACTAAATTATTCAACTATGCAGGACAAAATAGACAATTTGAAACCCAAGAAACAAAGAGACTTTGAGTTGTTTTTTATTTTTGTTTTTTCTTAAAAAGGGCAAATGTTTAAAGCATATCTTTTAAGCTTTCTGTATAGACTTCTACATTAGCATAACTTTAAAAACTCACTTGTAATAAGATGAAGAAGGTTTTAAAATTGGCTTGTTAGGAATGTAAGGTTCTATGGACGGGCGTGAACAAGCATAAAACAATGGAACCAAGAGGGGGATTGAAGTCAAGCAAAAATTATGGTTTAAAAAATTGTTTATGATGTTCTTTTTCCCCTTGTTTTGTAATGATTTTGTATTGTTGTTGTTTTCTTTTTTTCTGTTATTTGGGGGAAATTAATAAAATGTTAACAAAAAAAAGAAAGTGGCAACCTTAAAAGGCGTTGGGGTTTGGGGGCGTTTTGGAGCTGGAGGGCGAACCTGTCCGAACCTGAGAATCCCCTGCAAGGACTGACCCGGTGGGTGGGGGTGGGGCACCCGGACTCCTGGGTCCCTTCCAGGGAATGGGGGTGGGGCAGACCGGGGCGCTTCCGTCCCATGGCAGCACTTGCTGGAGTACCGTATTTACGCGCGCGCCCCGCACCCGCCTCCCGCCCCGCTCCTTCCTCGCCCGACACGCAGCCTCCTCACCTGCCCGGCAGCAGCACACCGGTCTCCTGTGCTTTCCCCGCCGTCGCCACCCACGCATGCGCGAGGACCAAGGGAGGCGTCTCCGTGGCTCCATGGTCTCTTAACACTTCCGGTGCCCGTGTGCCAAACTCATTGGCGCCCGCCATGAGAGGGGCGCAGGAACTAAGGGGAAAGCTCAAACTAGAGCAGCAGAGGATGGGTTTTCTATTTTTATTTTTGGCGCCCGCGGGAGTTTCCCATTTTATTGCAACGTTTTGGAATAAGTACAAGACAATAACAACAACAAATCATTAATATAATTAAAATCACATTTAAAATTATAATATAGCTCGTTATTATTTTGTTTTTGTGCGTCAAGTTTTGCTTGGTCTTCTTCGTCTTTGGCGATCACTCGTAGCCGAGTAAGATTGTCTTCCACGAACACAGTATGTAAGCAACTGCTAGTTTTGGGTTCAGGTAGGTAGCCGTGTTGGTCTGACGAAGTCGAAATAAATAAAAAAATTAAAAAGGGTTAGTCTCTAAGGTGCTACTGGACAATTTTTTAATTTATTTCGACTGCTGGTTTTGGGCTTCTACTAGATGGCCATGCGCACATTTTGTACGATTTCTATATGAAATACTTCCCCTGCTTTTTGCGTTGCATCCTAACCGGAACCTTAAGTCGCGGTTGCGTGGAGCTTTGTGAAGCACCTCTTTGACCGCGACCACACCCGCCGGCTGAACTGAGCATGCGCAGAAGCGCCGGTTCCCTTTTAGCGGAAGTGGGGGGTCCGAGGCGGTTGCTGTGGAAACCGCGCCCATCGGAAGGGGCGTGGCGTAAATGAGCACCTCCTCTCGCCTTAAAAGGCAATCCTGTGACGCGCCGAATGCGGGCTGAGTCTATCATGGTTCAGATGAGCGCGGATTAATGTCGCCTTTATTGGCCTGTCAGGAAAGAGCTTTGCAGCTTCTTGATAGACAGTCAAGTGTTCGCAACTGCTGTTTAGTTTTTAAATTTCAGATTTAAAAATCCCTGTTCTCCAAGGCCAGGGCAGCATATATGGGGATTACCCTCTTCAAGCCTCATAATAACCCTGTAGGGTAGTGTAGTAAACGAAAAATTGTCCTTATTCCCTTATGGGGGACACAAGAGCCCTTATTTTAATGTTTCAATGTTTTAATGTTGTATTATAATCTTGTTTTTAAGTTGTATTCATTCAGCTTGTTTTTATTATTGCTTGTTAGCAGCCCTGAGCCCGGCCTTGGCTGGGGAGGGCAGGGTATAAATAAAATTATTATTATTATTATTATTATTGAGTCCTTTGCAGGTTCTCCATCAAGAAAATAACAACGGCCAACCAGAGAATATTGAGAAGCAAAGCAGTTTGTAAGCCTGATCTTTATTGAACTGTTGCCCTTCACACGCAGAAGGAGGACCTGGAACCAAGGTGTGCCTGCCCTTATATAGATATTTTAAATTGCCAGCCCTGGAGTCCAAGACCACCCGCAGAAACATCATACATACATCACAGAAGGGGTGTAGCTCAAGACCACCCCCCAGACACATCATACCTACATCACAGAAAGGACGGTCTACAACAGAAATCTAAGTGCGTTGTTTACCTCCTGTCTGGCAGGTTACCTGTTAACGTTTACTTGATTGGATACCCTGGGGAGCATGGCCAGTCTTTTGTAATGATAAATACTTAATTCCTGAGCCAGGTCACAGGCTCACCCTGTTCATACACAGACATACCCTTAAGACAGGATTTGTGTATGAAAAGACAATGGGGAGGCTTTTCCATTTTCCTTGACCTTCCAGAGAAATCATTTGGTTAGTTTGGGAGTCAAAATGGTACCAGGGCTGTTTTCCTGTGCTGCTTCAGACATGTGGTTTATATATTTATGTACGTGTTTGCTTGGTACATTTATGAACATTTATTATATATATAAGACTTTAAATTTTTTATTTCAGTAGGCTAGGTGCGAGCACGTGTGCGCGCACACACACACACACACACAAATAAATGAGTGGCTGGCACAAAATCTCCTGTTCAGAGACCTGAACCCTGGTCTCTCAGTCAGACTTTATTTTAATCACTCCACCACAGTTGTCTGCAGTGCTTTTTTTCCTGGGGGTGGGACGCATATCCTGAAACATTTTGTGAATTTTAAGTTTGGCCTCATTGAGGGGCAGTATTTCAGTCTGAGTAGGAAAATGAGAGTACCCCTAAACATTTTTAAAGAAAAAAAGCACTGGTTTTCTGTATATCTGTGTACCTCCTTGGCTGGAGAGCCAAACAACACACACACAGACACACAGGTAAAGGATCCCTGACAGTTAAGTCCAGTCACAGATGACTCTGGGGTTGTGGGCTTGCGGCACTTATCTTGCTTTACAGGCCAAGGGAGCTTGTGTCTGTCCGCAGACAGTTTTTCCACATCATGTGGCCAGCATGACTAAGCCGCTTCTGGCGCAACTGAACACCAAAACCAGAGCAGCGCATGGATCGGCAAGCCCAAGAGGCTCAGTGGTTTAGACCACAGCGCCACCCACGTCCCTTAACAACACACTTAACATTACCTAAATGTTAAAACGCGAATGTCTTCTTGATGGTGGGCAAGTGCATTTTGATGCGGTTTCAGGTTTACCAGCAGTTAGGTCTATGGTGTGAAGCAGCTTGTTCTTCTTATTTCTTTTGTGTGTCCCTCTTTGATGTGATTGCAAAAGCAAATACCTACAGTATTATCCTATATTCATCTGTCCCACAGGAAAACCATGCAGAGAAGTCCTGCCATGAACATGTTTGTGTGCATCTCTGTGCAAAGGTGGGATGTTCCCAAAGCACATCTACCCAAAGCCAGAACTTTATAGCTGACGGATGATTGCATAACCAGCAAAGGCCTTGTGTGCTCTTTGGTGACCAGCACCATTCTAGGGTAGTGCTGGGGGATCTCCTGCCCCTGGGCCTGATTAGGCTCACCAAGTCTCCTCCCCCCCCCCCCAATTTGGTCAATGCCTTTGGCAAGCCACACACACCTGCCCTATAGCTGATTGTAGGAGCCTGCGAAGTACGGTGCCAATCAGCAAAGTCCTGTGCGTCCTACATCATCATGGCTGGCCTGAAAGCCCTGTGCAAAAAAGCTGTGACTAGTTACTGTAGATGGTGACAGCAGCCACGAAATTAAAAGACGCCTGCTTCTTGGGAGAAAAGCAGTGACAAACCTAGACAGCATCTTAAAAAGTAGAGACATCACCTTGCCAACAAAGGTCCATATAGTAAAAGCTATGGTTTTCCCAGTAGTGATGTATGGAAGTGAGAGCTGGGCCATAAAGAAGGCTGATCGCCGAAGAATTGATGCTTTTGAATTATGGTGCTGGAGGAGACTCTTGAGAGTCCCATGGACTGCAAGAAGATCAAATGCATCCATTCTTAAGGAAATTAGCCCTGAGTGCTCACTGGAAGGACAGATTGTGAAGCTGAGGCTCGAATACTTTGGCCACCTCATGAGAAGAGAAGACTCCCGGGAAAAGACCCTGATGTTGGGAAAGATGGAGGGCACAAGGAGAAGGGGACGACAGAGGACGAGACGGTTGGGTAGTGTTCTTGAAGCTACCAACATGAGTTTGACCAAACTGCGGGAGGCAGTGGAAGACAGAAGTGCCTGGCATGCTCTGGTCCATGGGGTCACGAAGAGTCGGACACGACTAAACGACTAAACAGCAACAGTCACTTGATTCCCTAGTCTTGTGGGACACTGTGCACCAGGCTCCACAAGCTGTGATTGTCAGGGCTTGAGGAGTCCGGTCTGGAACAGTGCTTTGCAGGTCCTGAGCCTAGCAAACTGGTTTTAGAAGAACTTATGCAGGAAGAGAGTACTGAGGACTGAATAACTTTTAAGCAGCCTGATGTAAGAGGGTCCAAAAGCTGTAGACAAGAAACAGCTGAGGGAGGCCAAAGCTGAGACTACTTCCATACTCACCCAATGGCACTTGCCTTGTTCTGCAATGCAATAATAGCAATTGTCAGGATGCAGCCTTCAGTAGCCTACTTCCCACCCCCACCCCCGTGGGAGTTACAATCAAGGAAAGGAGACAGGTACTTCCTTTGCTGCTAGCCAGCTTCAGATGGTTTATTTTATTCACTATCAAACTGAACACGAAGTCCAGATATGAATGAAATGCCAGTTTCTCAGTTTGTCTCCAACCTTCTGTTCTCTGTCCCCCTACCAAAGTAGTTCAGTCTAGTTGTCCCAGTTTTGCTTGCCATAAAATCTATGACATCACATGTCTGTGACATCAGAAAGACAGCTCAGGGGAGTCACATATCAGTTAAGCTGAAATGGCCAAATTATTTTTTTATAGGAATTTGAAGGTTGCTGGACCAGTACCTGCAGATCCCTGGATGCCCACAGGGATGGGGATTTGCCAGGGCAGCCTTCCAAAATCCATCAAGCCCTTGAAACGTGAACTACAAGGTAACTGATTGCATTTCTTTCTGTTTTGTGCTTTCTGCAGGCTTTCAAAACAATGTTATCAACAAGCATTCCAGTCAATAGATTTCCCTTAGGTTTTACTCCCAGGTCTGGGGCAGAGAAAGGCATCCACCTCAAGCCCCGCCCAGGGCACAAGCCATCAGAAAGTTCTGCACAAGTTGCAGAAGAATGAACACAACAGTTCTGGTTCATCCAACAGGGTTTGCACAAGAGAAGTCTGCAGTGGATAGTGCCCTGTACAGTGCTGGATTTACGTATAAGCTAAACAAGCTATAGCTTAGGGCCCGACTCTCCTGGGGTTCCTCCAAAAAATGTAAAGGGAAAAACACCTGGATGTAAATTTCTAAAATATAAGATAAAAAAGAAATAAAATAAGACCTACATACAGCAACAGTGTTTTGTGTTGTGTAGGCTCCTATGATGTAAGTAATGGGCCCCGCCTGCTAGCCTGCTCCCTAAAATATCGCTGGTTTTCTCATTTCTATATGCAGGGTACCTACATTCTGCATATGCAAATGGCTTTAGATACCTATTAGGTCCATAAATTGCCATATAGCATATATTCAACACAAAAAGCAGCGACAATTTGTTGTTGACAAAGGACAGCTGGACATATAAAGGGCCCCTACCTTCAGTAGCTTAGGGCCTCATCAAACCTAAATCCGGCCCTGCCTGTGGACTAGACCTGTCTCCCATTTCATTACCTTGGAGCCCTCATTTTGCTTCCTGATGCAGTTTTTGCTCCACTCGTGGTAGAGTTTACCTGTTCCTATTCACAAACCAAAGTGGTGCTCTTGCATTGCTAGTTTCAGTGGGGGCTGCTAAGGAGAACGGACTGGTAGCTTGTGCCCCATGTTAATTAGCAATCCATTTGGATTTTCAGCCTCTGGCACTCAACCATTTTGGACAGCCCAACAGAAACTAGCCCAGGCAGAGGCAACCTTCGGCCCTCCAGATGTTTTGGACTACAATTCCCATCATCCCTGACCATTGGTCCAGTTAGCTAAGGATCATGGGAGTTGTAGGACAAAACATCTGGAGGGCTGAAGGCTGCCTATGCCTGAACTAGCCCTTACCAACCCACCTAATGAGGGACTTGCTGGGGGTTCAAATAGGTGTCTAATGAGGCAGAGAAGGCAGTACCAAAACCTGAGACCAGCAACACCTGAGGATGTCATTGCTTCCATGAGATTGAAGACCACTCTCTTATTTATTTCATAACATTGGCACCATCTACCAGCAAGATCTTCACAGTAATGTAGCATCTGCACTCAGCTGTAACACTGCCCATAAATAGTATATTTCAATAGTATATTTAGAAAACAAAAATGTCTGTAACACAAAAATGTTGAACCTGTGTTTAATGCCTTGAAAGCATTCAAAATGTTCCACCTAAGGTGGCCATCCCCACGCTGCTTATTGGAAGGGCTGCCTCAACCCCCGATTGCAGTGATTTAATTCTTGCGCCTTATTGCTAAGTAGAAAGTCCCCTTTCTTATACCTCACTTTCTTTCACTGCAGAGAAGCTGCAGAGTCCCATCATCATTTTTATGGTAGGTGGTCCAGGTTGCGGCAAGCAGATACAGGGTCACCGGCTGGCCAGCAAGTATGATTTCTACCACGTTGGCATCGGAGATCTGCTACGAGCGGAAGCCAGCAGGCCTACCCGGAAAGGAAAGACCATTAGGGACATCATCCTGAAAGGGGCTCTGGTGCCCTCGGTAAGAAGCCCCCACACCTGTCACCTGCAGAACCCCTTTCCATTACAGTGGTACCTCGCAAGACGAATGCCTCGCAAGACGAAAAACTCGCTAGACGAAAGGGTTCTTCGTTTTTTGAGCTGCTTCGCAAGACGATTTTCCCTATGGGCTTGCTTCGCAAGACGGAAACGTCTTGCAAGTTTGTTTCCTTTTCTTAACACCGTTAATACAGTTGCGACTTGACTTCGAGGAGCAACTCATAGAACGCGGTGTGGTAGCCCTTTTTGAGGTTTTTAAAGACTTTGGTGATTTTTGAAGCTTTTCCAAAACTTTCCCGACACCGTGCTTCGCAAGACGAAAAAAATCGCAAGACGACAAAACTCACGGAACGAATTAATTTCGTCTTGCGAGGCACCACTGTAGATTAGATAATCATTTTAAGCAGTGTGCATGTTGTGTTTCGGATAATTAAACCCTCAAAGGAGAAACAGAAGGATCTATATGGCCCAGTCACAGCCATACAGAAATAATCAGTGTAAGTAACGTGCTGCCATCTGCCTTATTGCAGGGCAGATTCGAGGGTAAACCATACGTGGAACAAGTCTGCCCCTGCGGCTTTGTTACGCTGCCGTTTCTACGGGGATATACGCTCGATATTTATCACTGCTGTTATACAAAAATCTCCAAATGGGTCCGAACTTCAATGTCTAAAACTCCTGGTGGAGGACAGGGATCTAGAGATCACGCTAAGGGTGGCCAAATTCTGTGTGACTGCCATAAAGCTTAGGGAACAAGCTGTACTACCAAAACAATTAAGGTTTTAAATGACAATTTTAGGCTATATTTTAGTGATCAAGATTTATTTTTATTTTTTTAACTGCCGCTATATCTGTATTTTCTCAGCTATACCCAATTGCAATTCAATGTATACCTGTTGTGTTTTATGCTTTTCCTGATATTGTAAGTGAGCCGGAACTGGTCTGTGACCGTAATAATAAAATTCATTCAATGTAAGTATTAAAAAAGGAACATGCTTGAACTGACATTCTGAATGTGAACAAGAGTAGAGTAGCTCCATGCAATAAGGGACCCTGCTTTATAAGGGTCCTGGGCTGCAAGGAAGGTTCTTATGAAGGAAGGAACTTATGTAGAAGCCCCTGCAAACATTCCCTGTGTACCTGGGGAAGGTCAGGGACTTGTATGAAGATATTGGGGGTGGGGCTTGCCTGCACATCCCTCCCCGTCCACATGCCTTCTAGTACTAAGGCTGCAATCCTATACAGTGGTACCTTGTTTTGCATACATCTTGGTTTGCATACGTTTTGGATTACAGACATGTCAAACCCGGAAGTGCGTGTCCCAGTTTGCAACCTTTTTTTTGGATTACAACCCTTTTTTTTATTACGAATAATTTTGGGGGAGAGGCCCCATTGGCAAAAGCGCGCCTTGGGTTACAACCTGTTTTGGTTTACAAACGGACCTCTGGAATGGATTATGGTTGTAAACCAAGGTACCATTGCATAGCCTTATCTGGAAGTCAAGTCTCATTGACTCAATAGAATTTACTTCCAAGCAGATATGCATAAGTTTATGCTGCTAATGAAATAATACCATTTTTGTGAAAGGTTTATTCCTTTTGATGTGTCTTTCTGAAATCTGACCATTTGGGAGTTTCAGCAGCAGTAATACATTAGTATCAATGAGAGTTTGTTCCCATTTGAATATAGATGGATTATTTTTTATAAAGAATATAAATTAGATTCCTGCAACAATGCTACATAAAGTTAGGTGTGCCATACATTGTGGCCTCTATGTCAAAACTTCAGCAAAATTCAGTCTGCGTATGCCTAGAATTTGGACCAGTGAAATGTTTCGATTTATCTATTACTATTTCACTTTCTCTAGGATCAACTCAGCAACAGTTGTTAGTATGAGACTGCCTTTTGGAAGTTTTGCCTGCCAATGATAGCTTGCTCAGCTAGGAGACTGACTGATTTGTCTCAGACTCAAACCCTGAACGTTCTGCCCTGTCCCGCTGAGATCACTAGATTTATATACCAGAAGCAGTTTGCTCTTTTATTCCCCTCTGAGCCCTGGTCCAAATACCTTCAACTCCCATTTTGGCATGTGCTTCAACTAAAATGTTCATCATGCCCCTTGGGCATAGCAAAGTGTCACACGTTGCATTTAGCTAGCATGAATATATACAGTACTTGACATTTTGGGTGGAAATTGGCTGGAAAATTGAGCTGAAATTTGTTGCAAATTTTTAAATAGATCTAATTTCAGTAATTTAATTTTTTTTTTGCAATCTTCTAAACAATGAATGATGCTGGAATTAGACTTTAAAAAATATTAAATGAAAGAAAATTAAGTGTAACAGCACTGAATTATTTAGAACTATAATCTAGTGAAAAGTATATCAGATTATTTTTTTAAATGAACATTTTTGATGCTAGACTTGATGGCCTCTTGCTCTAATTCAGTAGGGGCTCTTATATTTATTTACATCTCTATCCCACCTTTCTTGTGCCATGGAGTCCAAGGAAGTTCCCAAGGGCTCACTCATCCAGCCACTGATCTGACCTGCTTAATATCCGCTCAGATCACACCCTGGGATATTATGTGTGCCATACATTTATAAGGCATCTAAGAGCAAAAGGCTTTAAGGGAGGATTAGACAAAGTCATGGAGAGAATTATGGAGAGCTATGATGCCTAAGTGAAATAGGTAGTTTCAGAGACATTATGCGGGAGAATATTTGCTGCTTTGAAGCAAGGGCAATAAGTGTTGCTCTCCTGCCTCTCCTGCGGTTTTCCTGAAGGCATCTGGTTGGCTAGAGTGTGAGACACGATGCTGAATTACCTCCATGTTCCACCCGCATTCCTACAACAATGGGAAAACCACTTGATCAGTTCCGTGGCCACCCTTTCAGCTGTTCTTCTGAATAGCAAGAGCAGAAGAGTGTTGATTGTGGAGCACACTGGAACAGAAGTGACAAATATTGTACTTTCAAGGGGGAGCCCCCACCACCTGAACACAACTGCAGCCGGCCTCTCTTTCTCTCTCTCACACACATATTTTAATTCTCCCTTTCTGAAAGCAACAGTGAAAATCACACTGAATCCAGGGCTTGGTTGCCTTGCTAAGCTCAGACCAGATTCCTGAATTTGCCCAGTTAGTGTTGGCTAAATGTTTATGGCTACTGCTGATGGTTTGCTTGCACGGTACTTCATAAGCAGGCTGCCTGCCGGGATGCAGTCTAATCTATTATAGTGGGAAACTGCTCCCATAGGTTAGTTCTTTCTGGACTGAAACCTAAAAGGCTCTTTGGAAGGACTTAAATATGGCCAGAGATTGAGACCCTCAGAGGACATCAGAAAGGTGGATGAAACAGCGCTAAGTTGGGTGGTTTATTGTTGCATTTATCTGGTGTAATAAAGCTCTTTGACGATGGAGATGACTGTCTCTCCAGGGCTACATCTTGGAACTGCTTACTGACAACATGCTAAAAGCCGAAAATGTCAAAGGATTCTTTGTAGAAGGCTTCCCCAGGGAAATCAATCAGGCCAAGCTATTTGAAGAAGTGGTAAGTGTGGCCTCTGAGTGGGAGGTGAAAGGGAAAGAGAGGCTTGACCTGTGCCAAGGAAGGAAATACTCCAGAGGCTCTCAGGTTGAAACGTGCAACATCAAATGGGTAACTTGTGGCTTGGCAAGGAATACATTCCCAATACAGTGGTGCCCCGCAAGACGAATGCCTCGCAAGACGGAAAACCCGCTAGACGAAAGGGTTTTCCGTTTTGGAGGTGCTTCGCAAAACGAATTTCCTATGTGCTTGCTTCGCAAGACGAAAATGTCTTGCGAGTTCCTGCGGGGTTTTTTTCCTCCCCCCCCCCTTTTTCCCAAGCCGCTAAACCGCTTATCAGCTGATGGCTAAGCCGCTTAACAGCTGATGCTAAGCCGCTTATCAGCTGATCGTTAAGCCGCGTATCAGCTGATCGTTAAGCCGCTTATCAGCTTATCGTTAAGCCGCTTATCAGCTGATCCACTAAGCCCGCTAAGCCGCTAATACTGTAGCACTAATCCGCTAAACCGCTAATGGGCTTGCTTCGCAAGACGAAAAAACCCGCAAGACGAAGAGACTCGCGGAACGGATTCTTTTCGTCTTGCGAGGCACCACTGTAGTCCAGTGGCTGATTGGTTGCGTGCCAGATCTTTGGGTTCTGTTTCAAACTCAAAGAGGGCTAGGGGGAAGCAGCTCAGTATAGATAGCGGAAATGCAATAATCCTGTGCTTGTAAATTTTTTGTCAGGTCAGATGCTAAATTAAAAGCTGGTTGGAAAGCCACAATGCAAATCCCTAGTCAGGTGATGCTGTGAAAATAAAGTAGTCAAACCTTGGTTGTTGAACATAATCTGTTCCAGCCCATTCGGCTTCCGAAACGTTCGACAACCAAAGCACGGCTTCCGATTGGCTGCAAGAGCTTGTGGCACTCAAGCGGAAGCCGCGTTGGATGTTCGGCTTCTGAAAAACGTTTGAAAACTGGAACACTTCTGGGTTTTCGGCGTTTGGGAACCGAGGTTTGACTGTATAGCTCAAAGGGTCTGGTCCTTTTTGCCTAGGTTTGTCTTTGTTTTTCAGCTCTCTCACAGGTCTTTATAATTTGGACAATACTTACTACTATTTGCGAGAGGCATTCTATAGAGGCACTCTATCCCTGTCACTGCAAGCTCAGAGAAGTAACTGTACCTCCAAATCATTCTGAGTTGAGAAGTACTAACCTTACCAGACCAGCATGTTGTCACGTAGAACACCACATTCATAACTGTTTTGCCTACAGAAGTTTGCCTATTTCACACCAAATATTAAGTACAGATTGGGTGGGGGTGTCAGCCAGACCAGCAGCTAACTCCTTACAGCTGGATCTCAGACCACATGCTGGACTGTGTCTTGAAGTAAGGTTACCTCCAGAGGTTTCATGTGGCACTTTGCATGAAATAATGTCCAGAGAACAGCACCTGCTTACATGTCAATCAGCTCCTATTGCTGTGCTGCCCAATACTGTGACCCCCCCATTTTTACCCCAATTATCATTTTGCCCCAAACAATGAATCCATCATCTTGTTCTCTAAATCCTATTGGCTTCTATGAGTTTAGAAAAGAGGTTGGCAACCTAAGGCCCATGGGCCAGAAGCGGCCATCAGGGTCGCTTAACTGGCCCATGAGCCGTCCCAGAACCAACTGCCCACTCGGCGAGTCCCCCGCACGCTGCGCTAAACTGGTGCAGCGCAGCACAGGACTCTTTTCCATAGCTCCAGAAATCACTTCTGCGCAGGCATGATTTCTGGCATCTGGGCATGCGTAGAAGCGATTTCCAGTGCCACAGACATGATTTCTGGCATTGCGCTGTGCCGGGCCAGCCCTGCTCATGGAGGATCTCCGTGGGAGTGATCTGGCCCATGCCCGGTAAGCCTTGCCAACCCCTGGCTTAGAACATTAGATGAATTCATGGTTGGGGCCTATCAGTGACTAGTAAATGAGGTCTAAATGGAATTTCACATAGAGGCAGTATACCTCTGAAGATCAGTTGCTGGGGGAGGAGAACAGCAGGGAGAGCTGTGGCTTTCATATAGTCTGCTTTTGGGCTTTTACAAGCATCTGACTGGCTTGTAGAAGCAATATGGACTTTGATGGGAACGGCCTTCTCGGTGGCTGCTCCCGTGGAACTCCCTTTCTAGGCTAGCTCCTTCTCTGCTTTCCTTTTGCCAGCAGGCTTTTGTTCAGACAGACTTCTGGCCACTAGCTGGTTGTTGTGGCAGTATGTGTCTTCTGGGAGTGGCTGTGCCATATTTTCTCTTTGCTGTTGTGCTTTTAAGTGTTTTCAGCACTGTTTTTACTTAATGTTTTAAAATTTTATATTGTGCTTTTTTCGCTGTATCTGTTTTAATTCATGCCGTGAGCCGCCTTGGGTCCTGCACGGAGATAAAGGCGGGATACAAATGAAATGAATAAAGAAATCTGCTCCCCTCCATGCCTGCCCTGAATCCTGGCTAGGCTCCTCAGTTCCTACGCACAACAGCTTTGCACACCCAAGGCAAACCAATTAACAGCCGAGTTGTATGTTTCATGTTGCAGGTGGGGCGTGCACCCAACATCGTGATAGTGCTTGACTGCTCAACGGAGACAATGGTCCAGCGACTGCTGATCCGAAGCCAGATGGGCGAGAGGGTGGATGACCATGATAAAATCATCCAGAACCGGCTTGACACTTACTATACACTGTGTGAGCCCGTCTTCACCCACTACCTACAGAAAAGCCTACTTCGGCATGTAGGTCTCAGAGAACTTGGCTGGGCCCCCTTCCTTGTCCTTTCCCACAGAATCCAGGCCTGGAAGTCCTGGCAACTTTGCAAGAGGGCAGCTTATTTGATTCTGATGTGGACAAGCAGCCAATGCAGTCCTTTCAGAATGACTCTCTCTTGTCTATTAACAGGGCCATTTGAAAGGTTGCGTCCAATAGGCAGCGAGGCAGGAAGCATTAAGACAAAAGGGCAGGAGGTTGGAAACAGCCATATTAGACCCCAATCTTCTTATTTCAGGGAGGAGGTCTTCCAGAAATGCTCATGGAAAGGTTATACTGGAATGCAAAATCTCAAATGCACTCACTCCTCAACCAAGTAATAGGATCATAAGCAGAAGGGCCCTCTAGTAGATCATTTGCTACAATTCCCTTCCTTGAAGCAGGATGGCAGATATCAAAGAACTTAAAAGGATGCTGTCCTGTTCATCCTTGACTACCACAAAATGATTTCCCTTAACTTCTTCCAGTTTGCCACTAGCAGTTTCCCCTGATTTTGAATGTTGTGTCAAAGTGCAGTTTATCTTGGACACTCATCAGAACTGCCAAGAAGAAGAGCTGGTTAGGTACTGCACCAGGTCTGCTTCTTGCTCTAAAGAAGCCACTGAAAGCTGCTTTCCAGGAGTAGCTCTATCTGATGAGAGCTGCCAGGGTGGGTTGCCCCACTCCCCTTAGATGCCCAAGGGCAGCTGAAGAATGACAAGGATACATCCCCCTTCTAGAAGGGAGCAAAGCCCCATCCATGCTGATGACAAGGTATAAAATCCAGTTGGACCTCTTTACCAAAGAAACTCTTACAAAATAGTGAGAATGTTTTTGAGCTCTCCAAAATTCATTAGGCTGGTTGTTAAGCAATGCAGGGGGTAGGAAGAAAAAAAGTTGGCTCAATGGAATATAAACTTTATGGCTACTCCGTTGGTTTTAAATACGTTAACTCCTACAAAACTTCAGTTCAATCGGATTAGGCTTGATTTGGTATTGATGGGTTTGAAGATGCACCTCAATATATTACTCAACTGGATTTTTTGCATCTCTTCTTCTAGGTCAACAAAGGTTTCTTTGCTTTTTGTATGCCATTTTGTCACATGTGAATTAAGCCAAACAGAATCTAAACAGAAAGTAAACTTCTTGCTCTAGGGCAGCTGGGGTCAAGGAGTATTTTTGTCTCCCCTGTTAGCTGTGACAGTAGATGTGGCCTGTTTTGCACAAGACCTCTATAGGAACCATTAAGTTAAACTGAGCAAAGAGGCTACAGTTAGGAACATGGGTTTGTGTGTTCTTTCACCCCATGAGAGAGGGCACAAAACACATTTGGCCCCCACAGCAATTTGCTTCTTTTTCTTATCTGTGGGACTATCCCATGGGAAAATTTTAATAGCTGCACCAAGGTCTAGTGATGACCATACCTACTCCAAGTCCTCCTAAAACTGGGCAGGCTTCCTTTCATTGTCAATGTCTACCCCAGCGTGGGGGTGGGTCAGCAGCAAGTGTTGTTTTCTGCTGTGTGCTTGGCATAATTCCTTATAAACAGAGGCATGCTCAGGCTTTCTATACACGGTGGTAGCAACAGAAAAGTCTCCTCTGTAAGTAGTTGGCTCCAGATGTGCCCAAGAGCTCTTCATTCGATTTATTTACAGATCCTTGGGGAAGAACCACCAGACACCATTTTTACCAAATCCTGCAGTGTAGTCGATGAAGTGATAAAGGCAGCTACCACTAAATAAAGTGCAAAGCTAGGTATCTCTACGTAAAAATAAAGATTTATGCTGCTGGTCCATCACCATGTCCTTTGCAGGATTTTTTTTTTTAAAGTCTCAGAGCTAGTTCACACACACATATATACAGTGGTGCCTCGCAAGACGAAATTAATCCGTTCCGTGAGAGTCTTCGTCTAGCAGTTTTTTCGTCTTGCGAAGCAACCCTATTAGCGGCTTAACGGATTAGCGCTATTAGCGGTTTAGCGGCTATTAAAGGCTTAAAGGCTTAGCGGATTAGCTGCTAAAAGGCTATTAAAGGCTATTAAAGGCTTAGCAGATTAGATAAAGGGGGGGGAAAGCAAAAAAAAAATCTCAAGACTTGCAAGACATTTTCGTCTTGTGAAGCAAGCCCATAGGGAAATTCGTCTAGCGGGTTTTCCGTCTTGCGAGGCATTCGTCTTGCGGGGCACCACTGTACGTCACTTGATGACTTGCAGCTTAGTTGCAAATTCCTTTGGAAAATTGTGTGTTATGATGGTGCATTCATCAATCAATGAACATGTATGTGTTTAATACCCCTTGGCTAGCAGGGCCCAGTGCAGGCCAAAGGATGCAGCTCACAAAAATGCCCAAGCCACATGGCTAGCACCTACTTCAACTGATCACAGGGCAGTAACTAGCACAGAAACATCCTTACTGTAAATGGAAGATGTGATACATACTGATAGTTTCTTCAGTAAGTACCTACTCCCCTTCATTTCCTGCTACAGTGGGCCATTCACACCTGTTATTAGCTGCTGTATACAGTGAGTGTTTTGCATTTCAAGATCAATAAAGACCAGGCTGTTGCACCATGCTCCAGCAATCCTTCTATGACTTTTCTTCTGAGTAGGCAAAGCTGAGCCACGGGATTAGAAACCTGTAAAGTTACCAAGCAGTCAAGAGGTTCTACAACTGGCACTGAAGCACACTAGGAAGATAAATGCAGGCATGCTTCACGTATTTCCTGTCACGTAGCCACGTGTCTGTCCACCTCCCCCTTTAATAAAGATTCCTTCTCCATATATATTTCCTTTTGAAAGTTGTAAAAGGAAATATATGTGAAGAGGGAATTAGAAAGGGGCGGGTGGACAGACACATGGCTATCCAAAAGGCTATGTAGTGCTTTTTAGCACTGAGTGCTTACTCCAGCAACAAAGGATCTCTTACACAGCCTACAACTGAGGATGTATGGGAGACTAGGAATAGCAAGCAGCTCAGCAGAACAAAAGCCATCAGCAGCACTTACCACAATCCTCCCCATTTCCCCTTTGTATAACCTGACACAGAAGAATAAGAGAACCATTGCATCCAAATATAAACAAGTGTTTTGCACTGGCTCAACCCTTGGAGACCTGAGAATATTAGTTGGGTCTTCAAATCTACTGCATCAGCCTCTGGAGCCAGAACTCTCCCAGAACGCATCGGCACCTTTTATGTTGTAGCCATGTTTTTGGCACATCACAAAACAGCTCAAGGAGATGACGTTGCATGTTAGTGTCAGTCAAGACATTCAGATCCAGCAGAAAATCTTAAGTAACGCAGCTGAGTGTCATCAAGTCACAAAACGATGAGACATGATCTATTATAGGTGGCTGAAGCAGCTAAGGGTTCCAGCAGCTGGTGCAGTCTTCCAGAAATTTAGATTGTGTAACACTGCAGCACGCGCCCCTCCCCCCCATATTTGTAAATCCAAGTAGAAGACTACTGTTATTTTCAAACTGTCAAGAGATGATACACCAAATGAACTGAACTTGCAGGAGTCCCCAAAACCAAACCAAAGCTTAGTCTACTAAAAAGCTCCCCGGAGAGGCAACTTTCCCCTGCTCCCAAGCTCAGTATCATCCAAAGGTCAGAATCTCCTTCTCATTCCCAGGGCTCTTGTGGTGAAGCTAGAACAGCTCTCTGGGGCCCTACCTTTTGAAACACACACGGTTGCATCAGAGACTTTAAAACAAAAAAGCATTTTATTCAACAAAAATGCACAAATGCCTGCTCAAACTATAAAAACACAGGAAGCTCTTAATTCATGACCATTATCAGGCTTTTACAACAGCTATATTGTGAACAAACATCAGCTTCAAAAAACCCTATGGACAGAGAGAGAAAAACAGACACCACCCAGCAGACACGGGGGGATGTTTTGTTATCATTTATTTGTGAAGTTAAAAACGAGCGGTAAAAAGTAAAAATTGAGCATACAATTTCTTGTTTCAATCTCCTCTTGAACAGACAAAAAACACGACAGATCAGTCCCAGCAGTGGAGAAATGGAGGGCCGGGGCAGGGTTTCTCTGAAACACCAACACCTTTGTCCGAGGAATGTTCCAACTCTAACTAAAAAGCAGAGTGACTTTTCCTTGTAAAGTTTATTTTTTAAAACGAAACAGAAAGAAAAGAGGAAGTGTTACCCTGAAAACTGAGGTGTGTGTCAGGCAGGATAGGGTCTGGCGGCGGCGGTTTTAGTCGGCTATCTTCTACAGCTGCTGGCTCAACATTAGGGGTTTGGAGATCTGGATTTATTTTAAGAGAGACTTGAAGGCGGCGTAGCTGAGATTCCCAGGAGAAACCCAGCAATCAGAGCAACAGGCCAGCTCCCTTCCCACCCTGTCACTTCCTGCAGCAGCCACCTCTTTCCAAAACAAAAGGTTCTCAGAGATGGGGAGGTTCACATTCAACTCACTGAGCCTGTTGAAAGGAGAAAAACATGATGGGAACCTGTTACTGAAGCTTGAAGCAGGAAGCAAGAGGGGCAACCGCAAGGATGTGTATTCCATGGACTCAGGTACGGAATTTGGCTATCTGGAACGCAGTTGCTGCCTTTTTAAAAACTTGAATTTTATTTAGTATTTGTTATACAATAGCAGAAACAAAAACATAGCACACAGAAAAGGCGACAGTATCTGCTTAATGTGTATACCCTTACCTATTTTTGGACTATTAGTAGTGCGCAACTTTTTCCTATCCCAGAACCCTGTTTCCAGTTTTACAATCCTCTGGTCCTAATGGTAGCAGGTGTTGTAACTCTGACAACCTGGAACCTAAATTAAACTTCACTGCCCTGGATGTGCTCTGTGTTCATCTCCACCCATGAACCTGCCCAGTCATACAGATGGCTGCATGCTCTATTACTTGGTGTGCTCTGTAAAAGCTCAAATACTTGATCTACTAAGACCTGTACAAACCCCACAATCATATTTCATTTGTATAAACTCATTTGTCCAGCCACTGAGAAAACTGTCTCCCTGCTTTTGGAGAAGTGCCAGTCACTAAAGGAACAGCTAGACGAAGCTTATCAGGGACTCTGTGCTCTGGATTCCATAATCACGCTGCACAGAGAGTTTGAGGTCAAGGGGGTTGGTGAACAGAAATATTCAACAAACCAGTTCTCTTTTGCTAGTTGGGAGGATACCTGTTTGGGAACTAGACTCCTGGAGACATGTCAGACACAAAATGAAGTGTCCCCACAAGTTCTCCTTGGTTATAACTACAGGTTTCTAGATTTTATGGTGGCAAATGCTCCTTGTCTCTCTACCAATGACTAGCAGGAACAGAATTACCTTTATGAAGTCAACACAGCTAACTTTGCTTAACATGTAATTCAGGCTGCATGTGTTCAGCGTATGCTTTTCTCACTCATACCAGATGGAATCAGGGGTTTCAAAGAAAGACTAAAGCGCATCATGGGCTGGAGATTGCTCAACGCTCAACTTGTAGATATGGCTCATGTTCCACATGTGTTCATTAGATTTTCTTAAATTCTCCCCAAAACGTGCATCATTTCTGTGTCCCCAATCCTAGTCCCTTAAAGCTCAGACAGTATTTTACAACACCTTGTACTAAAAACTTAACACAATACTCACCAGGAGGCTCCTGGTCATCCGCTCCCAAACAGAGATCCTCCCCATTAGGAAAAGAGGGTTTATTTGTACATTATTTCTGTTCACCAACTTATTGTACCTTGTTTGTTTGTTGGAACTTTGGCATTAAAAACTAGAGCAGCATGTAAGGGTGCCTTATTAGTTGACAATAGAGCCTGGGCTCTCAAATGGATCAGGGTTAACCTCAGATGCACCCTGATGTTGCTCGCAAGCATATAGCTTGCATGCTAGTCTTAACTTGGAGGCAGCTACATGAGAACCATCCTTTTTTTGGTGTCTGACCTGGAGTGAACCCAGTCTGAAAGTGTTTGACTGAAGGAAGTTTTGTAGGACTTTTGACTGAAGAAATATGGCTTAGTCTTTTGATACTGGGGTTGAAGAAATCAATGTTTGGAATCAAAAATGAAGCCAGGAAGGTGGACAGATACTGCTGCTGTTAATTATGGAGCAGAAAACTCTTAGATGTGGGTGGTGCTAGCACGTTTCACTTCACGTATTTGAAGGCAAGGATTTTGGAGGCTTGTTCATCTGGAATACTCTAGCCCCTCTTTGAACTGGCAATAATACTTCCCAAGCTGACACTGCTTCTGCTATTGGGATGAAAAAAGCAAACAAACCTGGATCTCTTACTCCAGATTTAAGAAAAATATTTTGAGGCATTTCAACTTCTTCTCTGAAAAGCCTCTAGGATTAGACCTTAAAAAGGCGTGGCGGGCTGCTGGTTTGGACAGGAGGGAAGAACTGACATAAACTAGCCACCCCAAACTTAAAAAAGGATTACATCTCAAAATGTCTCACAGGAGTTTGTAGAAAGTGTGTGGAGCCCAGTCTGGAGCCAGATACCTGTTCTGAAGCAGAAAGGCCACGCTGGCTGTGGTTCTGCAACTCACCTGCTGTCCCTGCTGTGTGGGTGGTGGCACTGGGCCACCAGCGCCAGGCGTCTGTCCATAGTACGCAGCTTGTTGTCTGTAGTATTCTGCCCAGGCTGCACTGTAGTCTGGTTGAGGTCCTGGTGGTGCCGTTGGCCCTGCCCCAGTAGCTACTTGAGCTGCTTCCAAAAAGAAAAGAGGGACTAACTGTGCAATCCTAGGCATGCCGGCTTAGAAGCAAGCCCCACTCGGCTCAGTGAGACTTACTCCCGGATAAATGACACTTCAGGGAGGTAACTCCAAACCCAGCCTGACAGAAGTGCTATAGGACATATCCTCCAAGGAATCTCAGACCCTTAACTCACCTTGCTTCTTATAATACTCTTCCCAGGCTTTTGTGTAGTCCTGCTGTGGTGGAGCTCCAGGCTGCTGGGGCTGCTGGCCTGTAGGCAGTGTCAAACGACAACAGGACCCTGGTCATGCAAAGCTTTCAACTACTCAAGATCCACCTCACTTATAGGATTCAGACTGTAAGATTTACAATGACACAGACTACTAAGAGCAGTCACTAGGACCAATGAGGGAGAAGCAATGTCTTGGCTCACAACGTGCTGAACTTTAGAGGAGTATGGAGCACTTCTGAAGTACAGTGTAGAGCTTGTCATTCTCTCCAGAAGTGGGAGGTATGATTACCTTAGGGAGCACATTCATAGACCCCTGACCCATAACAATCCCACCCCCAAAACAGAAGAAAGTCCATTGACAAGACTCCTAAGTCAGAAGAGTGGAAGAACCCGCAGCTAAACTGCCTTGTGACTCTCAGCATCTCAAAGGCTTCAGCTCTTTCTTCCCTGCAGTAGATTTAAGAGATTCAAGCTAAATACCAAGATGAAAAATTCCCCATAGGGAACCATTACAAAGAACAAAGCAAACTTGCTTTGAAAAATGGTCCTCAAATGGTACTGCTGTTGATAGTGTTGCCATGCTGACTTAACCTAACCATAATTTGCCTAAATTTTGTTTGTTCGTGGTCAAAAATCTCGAAATTAAGTAGCAGCTGGCAAAACTTGTACTGGCTTGAGGAATCAACCTAAGAGGGCCTTCCAATTAAGTCAGTCATTCATTCCTGGATTTGAATGGGCCATCCCTAAGAGGCACAAACCCCCATGACGTTCACAAATCAAGATGCAGAAATAGTTTAACAGGAACAGAAAACAAATGCTGAAGCATTTTGAGTCAGTACGTTATTTATTCGTCAGGGGAGACTGGAAGGAAGTTATTCAGCGTAGTTTCTCAATCAAGTTGCTTTCTGCAGCCCTTGTAATAATACCATTAAATTACAGTGGTGCCTCGCAAGACGAAATTAATTCGTTCCGCGAGTTTTGTCATCTTGCGATTTCTTTCGTCTTGCGAAGCACGGTGTCGGGAAAGTTTTGGAAAAGCTTCAAAAATCACCAAAGTCTTTAAAAACCTCAAAAAAGGCTACCACACCACGTTCTATGAGTTGCTCCTCGGAGTCAAGTCGCAACTGTATTAACGGTGTTAAGAAAAAGGAAACAAACTTGCAAGACATTTCCGTCTTGCGAAGCAAGCCCATAGGGAAAATCGTCTTGCGAAGCAGCTCAAAAAACCAAAAACCCTTTCGTCTAGCGAGTTTTTCGTCTTGCGAGGCATTCGTCTTGCGGGGCACCACTGTACTCCTATCAAAAGAGGTTAAGGATCTGGATAGTCAATTACCTAGTTTTTTGTAATACTCCTCCCATGCTTTAGTGTAGTCTGACTGTCCGGTGGGGGGCGGTTGGGGGGGCTCTCCTTGCACTGGTGGCGCCGTGGGGGCAGGCGGTGCTCCTGGAACTGGGCCCGGGGGCTGCTGGTAGTAGTGCGAGTAATAAGCTGCCCAGGCAGCGTTGGGGTCTGCTGCTGCCGCCGCTTTACCTGGGCAGGAGACACCACAAAAAACTTGAATGCTTCCAGCCACTCTCCCTCATCCCCCTGCTGAACCTTGAATGTGCAACAGTACAGTGGTACCTTGGTTGTCGAACGTAATCCATCCCAGAAGACCGTTTGACTTCTGAAACTTTTGACAACCGAGGTGCTAAGGGCAGACTGTAAAGTCAATTGGGGGGGGCATGCAGCGGAAGCTGTTTGACTTCCGAGGTGTTCAAAAATGGAAGCATTTACTTCCGGGTTTTCGGCGTTTGAAAACCTGAAATGTTCGGCTTCCGAGATGCTTGAAAACCGAGGTACCACTGCATTGTATATTCTGACAATTGACTCTTGAGGGCTGGTATACAAATACTTACTTGGGTCATGAGGAGCAGGAGGCTGCCACTGTGGATAGGCATTCCCCCAGCCTTGAGGTGGGTACTGTGGAGGTGGTGGCCCTCCAGGACTGAAATAAGAGGAGGGAAAAGGTAATATTTACACTAAGCAACCCTCTAGGCTCAGGATTCAGAAATCTGGAACCTGCCAAGCAGCAAATCAAATTGCTCCAGGAAGTCACTGGAGAATACAAAGGGTGGGATTCACCTAGTGAGTCTTGACAGCAGAAGCCCTGTTGTACGTTCAACACAGTGCAACATTGAATTCCCCCAAAAGCAACTGCACAGGGAAACTGGAGCGCCTTCTTTTTTTTACAGATAATAAGGCAGGGAGAGGGAAGGTGTTGCTGTACTCCAATGCTCATCAGCGCCAGCCAGCATGGCCAGTGATGACGCAAAGCGCAGGGTGACAGGTTCCCAATCTCTGTAGCAAGACATCCCAGATCCAGCCCAATCTCCTTTATGAAATAGGTATACAAGGGAGCTGCACTGCATTAAGACCAAATCTTATCAAGGGGCAAAGCATCACAGTGAGCACCTGCCAATGGCCGAGAGAGGGTCTATTCTAACTTCCCAAAGAAGAAGCAAGTCTCATCTGATATATTAGCTTTTGGAAGCACAAGTTTTACTCCTGTAACAGCACCAACAGCAGAGCCCTCTAACTCTGCAAGTGGTTTTGTTTCCCTACCAGATTGCCCTAGTACCACTTTCTTGGTACCAGATGCCCTGCTAAGTGCTGTGCTACACTGTCACATGGTTTTCCAGTTCAAGGTGAAAGATGCCAATGAGGGTAGCAGCCGCAAGGAACACGCCCAAAGCCAAACCCCTATGTGAAAAACTTATTTCTGCATAAACTATGTGGATCCATGCCCCCTCTCTTATTAAGTGTTTGGTCAAGAAAGTGACAGTGTACTGCAGTGTGTCTTGAAGGCAACATTTTTTCACCATTTGCATAAACCTCGAAAAATCCCCAAATTGGGGTGGGGACCTTCAGAGACATTCAGTCTCGGCTCAGCATTTCCCCAACAACTTTTGGGCACATCACACTGAGTAGTACACAAGCGTCTCTCCAAGACAGCGAGTGTAGATTTTAATCTCTGGGAAGATTGAAAGGGGTGTCAAAGGCAAAATGGCCCGAAAGGGAGGCACACTCGAGCAGTCTTAGTACTTACTGAGGGGGGGCACTAGGTGGCCCTTGATTAAAAGGCCCTGGGTTGAAGGGGCCCATTGGAGCCGGTCCAGGAGGTCCACCAGTCCCAGGTCCTGGTCCAACTGGACAGAGGGGACCCTAAGGAAGAGATGAATAATCCCTGAAGTGGAAACCGCCACATCCAGAACACAGTCACTAACATTCCCGGCTCGCTCCCATCTGGGAGGCCTGCCACACAGTGAAGGGCAGGCAAATACCTCAATCTTCTCTTCAATGAGCTGCTTGGCATGGTCAATTTGTTGAGGTGATCCCCGGATGATGAACAGTTTGAAGTTGGGGTCTCCATTGGGCGGTAGCTGCCGAGATATTTCTACAAAGGCTCCCGTCTGCTGATTGATAGCCTTTACATTTTCTCCACCTGAAAAGAGAACGTGGAGGTAACACCTCAGGACTTGACGGAGCGTCTCCACCCCCATCGTTCAACCTGGACACTGAGGTCCAACTCTGAGGGCCTTCTGGTGGTTCCCTCACTGCAAGAAGGGAGGTTACAGGGAACCAGGCAGAGGGCCTTCTCGGTAGTGGCGCCCGCCCTGTGGAACGCCCTCCCATCAGATGTCAAGGGAATAAACAACTATCTGACTTTTAGAAGACATCTGAAGGCAGCCCTGTTTAGCTCAATTTTTAATGTTTGATGCTGCCCAGAGTGGCTGGGAAAACCCAGCCAGATGAGCGGGGTATAAATATTCTTCTTATTATTATTCTTCCACCTCACTTACCTCTGCCAATAACCAGTCCACACTTGTGAGTGGGGATAGAGAATGTCATCTCTCCTCCAGGGGGCCCCCAATTACCCTGCCCCCTGCCTCTGCCTCTGCCTCCAGGAGGCATTCCTGAGCCTGGGGGACCTGGGGGGCCACTCTGCAAGACAGGAACACAATTCATCTTCATGGGAAAAGGAAACATTCTGTGGTTAGTGGGTAATGCTGACTCTGCACATGCCACACAGCAGTGGCCTCCAAACTATATAGGGAGCCCTTGGCTGCTGCCAAAGTTCATCAGGGGTTCCTGAATGAGAAGGCCATTCATGGCACACTTCCTTGAAGGACACTTTGCCCACCATCAACAGTTTTTCACTGCAAAGTGAAGCTACAGAGATGCTTTGAATGCATTTTGGGATGCACTCGGCTTCAGTGTGGCCTGGCTACCACTACACCCGCCACCACCAACATGCCCGAGAATAATGTGTGCAACATGCTGGGGATCCTTGACAATTAAGTCAACATGGAAAGGGCTCCCCTGAAGGTAGAGCGTGAAAGTCTGCTGAAGAGAAATAGCAACATCTACTTTTTCGGAGCGATTTCTACCTTGGGCTGGTAAGACAAGCAGAGTCAAGTTCTCAGTGGGATGATATTGAGGAGCTCTAGCACCTTATTAGCAAAACATGACTGAAAAGATTTTGAAACTACTTGACATGCTGGACCAAGGCTTTGAGGGTCAAGGTAACAGCATTTCATACCCGGAGACTCTGGAGAAGCTCATTGATAATCCTGGCGGCATGCTCACATCTGTCAGGGGGACCCATGATATGGGCAATCTTCTCAGGACCTGTCCCATCATCTAAAATGCAAACCAAACAGGGAACTTCATTAGGTTCCACATTCAATTAGTTTCAGAACCAGTCCACTAGCTCATGAGCCACTTGGTGCAGCAACAGCATAAGCTCTCAAAAGAGAGAGACAAACGTCCATTTAGCTTCCTTAATACCTTCTCCCCTCTGCAGCAATATGCCACTCCAGTTCTGTGGAAGGAGAACACACACAGTTCACACAAAGAAGCCTAGAGAACCCAGACACACAAAACAGGCAACACTGCCCTTCAGGAAATGGGTACTACAAGCCATGCCAAGATTTGAATACACCAAGCCCGTATGGATCTTTGATTGTGTAAACCCTTAAATCTGGGATCTCTCTGGGAAAAGATTTCACTTTGTGATTTTCAAAAGCGTTTTGTAGAACGTAATTACAACAGGGATAAAAACTTGTGGAGAGCAGGTAAAAGATCAGATAAATAGGTGATAAATAGTATAGGGAGAAAAGCCAGAGAACATTGAATAGGCCTGATGTTTCAGCATGCTGTATGAAGACAGATCATGACAGGGAAGAGATTTAGTCTTCTGACCTTGCTTGAACTGTATCCGAACTCCAGCGTCATTTTGTATTTTCTTAATCATCTCACCACTACGCCCAATAACCACACCAACAGAATGCCTGGGCACAGGAACCTGAGCAAGCAAGAAAATGGCAAGCAGAACCAAGGTCAGGTAAGAGCAGTTCCAATTTCTAAGAAATGTTAGGACTGGACAAGTGTGAGTATCAATACAGAGACACGGGGAGGGGGGGGGGGAGAGAGATGAGCACAACATGTCATACTATAAATTATGCCCCCCTGTCCCAACAAATCCAAGCCAATGTCCTTACATCTATTCCTCCACCAATCCTGGAACCGTATTCATTTCGGTCACCAAAGCCTCCCTGGTCCCGTTCTCGTAAGATGTCCATTACCATTTCACAGGCTTGCTGCAAAGAAGCATGAACATTAATGTTGGAATTATTTGGGAACCTCTCTCAAGAGTATTTCTCCCAAGGTAGATGTGGCACAAGAACTGCCAAGGAAGAAGTCCTTTTTTGTACTTGTGAATACCTGGATTTGAGGCTGGGCAGTTTAGTCACTATCACTGCAGCGCAGTGCAGCAAGAGCAAACTTTGGAGTAGCTAGTTAAAAGTCTCAGTTCAAGTAACCCAGTTTAATGCTGTACTAGCAACTCAGTATAAAGGTAGCATCATACGCTGATGGGAAACTACAGCAGGGATTCAAGAAGGCACATCATGTGGTATGAAGGAGAGAGGTGAATGACTTTTGCAGCAGAGTTTTGGGGATGAGTGAGGGGACCAAAGTATAACAAGGCAAGTCTAAAAGGAAGGCTGCAATAGTCATGGCAGGAAACCACCGGCGCAAGAGTTTGAACTGTGAGTATGCAGCCATTTTCACAATGATGAGAGTATGGTTGGGTATCTAACTACTTAAAAAAAACCACCACCACCATGGTCAACTGACTACTCAAACGGACAAATGATAACTTTAACACAACATTTCATTGGGATTTTTTTGTTACTAAAACAAAAGAGATTGTTGATCGTTGTCGCTAAATAGAAAAACAAGTTAATTAACTTATTGCGAAACAAGAAATTTCACCTCTTTGGCTTTTATTCAAAATGCTTACCTGTACTTTGTAAGGATCACCAATTATCCGAAGGGGCTTGTCTACATTTGTGTTTTGTGAACCGTCTTGAATTAAAATCATTTTCACTCCAGCTCGTTCCTACATTGGCAGAAAGCGAGAGGTCAAGCGGGTTACACAACTGTGCAGAATTCTTGCAAGCCCTGCCTCCTTGGACAAGACTTAAACTAAGATCAATTTGAATTTCAGGAGGCTCCAGTCCAAGAAACCATCCTTGCCCCAAGAGGCCAGAGAAACCAAGTGCTGTAAGCAAGAAAGGAGGCAAGTAAAAAGAGGGCAAGCACCCGCTCTGATGCAAGGAATTTGGCTGGGAGCACAGCATAGCCCTCACCTGCAACTGCTTAATGGTCTCCCCTCCCTTGCCAATCACCAGGCCTGCTTTCCCAGCTGGGATCATGATTTCCTGCACTGTACCATTCTGCCCATTGGCATTATCGTGGAACTGACCAGGTGGCCCACCACGTCCTCGAGACACGATATCATCAAGCATCATTTTTGCCTTCCTGCAAAGAGGTGGGATGACAAACAACATGATGGTGAGTGACAGGGCTTACAGCCTCTATTCTTTCATTATGAAGGTACTATAGCATGAAATGGAACTCACAGCAGTGTTCTTCGTTCTCAAATCACCTGTAGTTCAGTGTTGCTGTTGTGCTGATTCCACAACATCACACAACAGGTAACCTAACCAGCTCAATTTGCGAATACAAGCACTTTATATTTGCTCTGGATAGTAATGACCGATTTAATGACATTGCATTTTGTGTCTATACAATGTTATGTCATTCATAACACCAACAGGAAAAATCCTGCTTGTCTGCCAGGTACAGTGGTGCCACAACTGCAATTCTCAGCAAGTTTTTAGCTCCACCCACCAATGTCAGTCAAACCAGACATGCTCAGATGCTTCCCCACAGGGAACATAAAAAGCCCATCACAATGAAATGGCTTTTGTGTGCTGAGATACAAAGTACTGCCAAGTTTTTTTTTAATTCTTGAAATTTTCTACCATATTTTGAGACAACAAGGCAGCTTCTAGAGTAAAAATACAATAAAAACAATGAGGTAAAAGCAAATACATCTGTTAAATCAGCAGCAAGAGAGAGGCATAAAACTGGATTGGTTTAAAAATACACCATCACAGATGGAGGTCAAAAACAGATTAAAGGCACAGTCTTTGCTGCCCTCCTTACCTTGAGAGAAGGGGCCAATTCAACTTCTTTCAGGGGGAAGTGCCACAATTTGGGTATTGCTACTAAGAAGGCCCAATTGTTTTCCTGACTGTCATGCCCTGCTCCTCTGCCACAGTCCTTGACTATGCCACCTGGCGGCTGGATTCTTTTGGCACACCCTGTCTCTCTCCCCCCCCCTTATGTTTTTGAAATACAGTGGTACCTTGGGTTAAGTATTTACCGTAATTCGTTCCGGAGGTCTGTTCTTAACCTGAAACTGTTCTTAACCTGAAGCACCACTTTAACTAATGGGGCTTCCTGCTGCCGCTGGAGCACGATTTCTGTTCTCATCCTGAAGCAAAGTTCTTAACCCGAGGTACTATTTCTGCATTAGCGGAGTCTGTAACCTGAAACGTCTGGAACCTGAGGTACTACTGTAACATCTTGACAAAGGACAAGAGGCTACTCACTGCACAGATTCTGGTGATCCTGTCAGAGACACACTTCGCTCTGGCATTCCTCCACTGTCTGTAGGAGGAAATAAAGGCCATCAGGAGACATCTCTCCACATCAACACATTTCCTCAGAGTTTGATCCCTCCTCCAACTCATGTATCATCCACAGGGTATGAAGGAACTGGCGTTGAAAGAGTAGGTCTTTCACACACATGCACAACATTATTAAGGGCAACTTCTCTATAATGAAAATGCTGATCAGTCAACAGGAATTAGTACAAAGACTGAAAACGGTGAAGACACCTGTAAACTTAGCAACTGAAATGGTTCCCCACTCAAACAAAGTTAACTTACCACAAGCTAGAAAATACGTTTTGCCTTGTGAGAATACTGTATTCATGCCGCCTCAACATGATTCCTCCCTCCTATTTTCTAGCAGAGTGTATTAGCATATTCAGAAGACACTTTGTCTCCTGAACTACATTCTTTACCACAATTATATCCATTGAGCTACTTGCTGCCACGATTATAGGCTTCGGAAGGAACAGCCAACATCTGCAGCTACATATGCTGGAAGTTACACCCCATGCAATTCTCACACCTACCTGGAGAGATCTGTACTTTGCACCCAGAGTCCTGCTGTATTTTGTTGATCTGTTCCCCACCTCTTCCTATGACTGCAAAAGTAAGGAGAGGGGCATTAAGAAACTCTAGCCTGAGATAAAATCAGTTGTCATTATCCTAAGAGGGAGGCTTGAAGACAACACAGGTTTCCCTCTCTCCTCTCCACAAGAGATGAAAAGGATCTTCTAACAGTAAATACAACCCCATGAAGTGTTGTGTGCATATGTGCATTAGGGACAGTAGCTAAGTGGAGACATAATCCAATCAAGTTTCACTGTTTATATGACATATAAGTGAAGGATGACAGAACTGCTCCTCCTAAACAAAGTTCACACAAACATGAAAGAAAGAACTCCAGGGTCTCATGATGCCACAAGAGGTATGATAGCCTACAAGAACTAGAGGTCAATGAGAACCTTAGCACTCAAGTTTCAACCAATTTCTCTGCTACCCTTCAGAGCTTGAATGCCAAGCCAATTTAAAACCAGGGCTTGTAAACAAAAATGCCTTCTGAGAACCAATCCTTCCCTACTTAAGATAAAACTCTGCTTCAGGCAGTGTTTTGCAGCCACCATTCCTTCTGGTAAAGGCCAATGCAGGGCCTTCTACCTTAGTCAGGATCACTCACAGAAAGTTGATGAATCCAAAGCAAATGCCAAAAGCAATCCAAAAAAGGAACTCTTTTTCACTGCAGCACTCCCATCCTGAGCCTCAGAAGTGTCCAGGGCAAATCTGTGTTGCTGCTCAACTCACAAAAGTCTTGCTACACATGGAAAGTGCTCATATGACACCAGCCTCAAGTTGTCCTCAGCAACCAGCTCCTACCAATTTAATTAAACTGAAGGCTTGCCAGAGCACTTTATTGAGCAGAACACCCACCCCACATCTTTGGAGCTACGTACCATACACAGCTTGAAGCACACAGGGTCAACTCACACACTTGACATCTCTCAGGAAAGACACACAGAAGGGTCACAAAACAAACCAGCCTGCCTGAGCCTTCCCTGTGGAAAGCTCAGCCAACAGGCATTGAAAAATCAAGAAGGCACTGGTTAGTAAAGGTAAAGTGACAGTCTTTCAACTACGGCAACAGCAGATTTCTGCCCTCTCTGTCTAATACTCACTGAGTCCCACCATGCCATCAGGTACTCTGTACTCTTCAGTCACTGTAGACCTGCAAGGGAAAGTTTGGCAGCTTAAAGTAAGGAGTGGGAGGGTTACAGAAATGGAGCTGGTGTTTACCAGCATCCATCAAGAAGCAAAAACGGAGAGCTTTCCTCCTCCTCCTGGGAGGGCAGACAGGAAGGTGGCTGAGCAATTAGGCACCGCTCTGAGGAAATCACCATGCACCCGTGCAAAATGCACCCATGCAACCTGGCAGAAGCTGCTGCAAACTAAGTAGCCCAGCATCTGCCCACAAGGCTCAGACACAGGCTTCACAAACTATAGCTACAAAACCAGAAGCTACACAAGAATGTGAGTATCTAAGAAATGGCCAACCAGCACAACCTTTCACTACCTACCAAGGGACGCAAGTGCTTGGGAGTGACTGGTCTTTTAGTGGGACATCACTCACAAATCTGGATGCCAACCTCACCCAACAAAAGCAGCCTTTTCTCTTTGGGGGTACTGAAATGCTGCCCCCTTGCAGTCAACCTGAACTCACAAGCTGAATACTTTTAGCACTGATTTAACCTTTCCAGCTCAAGCCTATGTGGGGAGAAAAAAAAGAGGCACAAAGCTAATTTACCTGGGAGGAGGATGGATCGGTCCAAGCTGAGGGGGTGGTGGCATGGCTGGAAAGCAAAGCAAGGGTATGGTTATGAATCCACATTCTTGAAGGTAAACTATAAATCAGTCACTGGGTTTCCCAGTCTGCTGCTGTGGCTGTTTTTTAAAAGGTCCTGTTTTTAAAATGCAAAGCTGACCTTCCTAATCCCATAGAACTCTCCCCACCAAAAGAGTTAGCTTACATGTCCTCCCACTTTTCAGTATCAATATGAAAATAAATATGAATAGAATTTCCGCGTAGTTAACACACATTATTCTACAAGTCTTTAATAATAAAGTATACTTACGTTCTGGCTGGGGAGCCATTTTCTTGCTCTCTGGCTGGTCTGTCAAAATAAAAATAAATAGTCACCTCTTTCAAAAATTAAAGGACCGTCTCTCCTTTCTTCAAGCTTTCAAAACTAACAGTCAGGTACATGGAAGGAATATTATGGAAACTTCACGAGCTCTGATAACTATATCAACAACACATTCATATTCAGGCATACTAACACAACTGCATGACCTTTAGCAAGGGGTGTGTGTGTGTGTGTGTACTTCACACTCCTAAGAATCCAGAGTTCTACATGAAGTATTGCGAGTTTAATTTACTGTGTCCCACTAGGGTCAGTCTCACGTACCTCCATCCTCCAGTTGTCTCTTCTGACCACCAAATCCAAAGTCAGGTGTCGTGTTGTTCACTGTTGTGGCTGTGTCCCCCCCAATTTTAGCTGCTATCTGAAAGTAGAATAGACACTAGTTAGTCTTCCCTAAATCTTATCAAAAGAACCAAGAGCAAGTTGTTTACTACACAATCATTTCAAAAACCCAGGAACATCAAGTCATTAAGTACACATTGCAACACATGGCACGCGACTGTGCTTTTCCTAAGCCCAAAGTGGTCTATATATATAAAAATGGCAAGCCATTAAATCTCACCATGGTAATTCATTCACTAGTTACCTCCTATTTAGACTACTGTCATGCTCTCAGTGTGGTGTTGCTTTTAATAAGTGTTCTGAAAATTAAACTGGCAGCAGCATTTTTCACTGGTTGATGGACTGGCAGAAAAACAATTGATGAATGTTACTTTAATTTTGTGTGATCTGATTGCTTGTTCTGGGCTTAACATAAAAGTACTGATTTTAACCTTTAAGCCCTAAATCATTTGTGAATGGGGTATCTCAAAGACAGCATTCTTTTGTATGTGACCCACATGATGCCGTTCAACACATGAAGTCTTACCCTGGGTGCCATTCAGCAGGCACTCACAAGGAGTGCAGCTTTCTCAGTGGTGACATTGACTACACAAATTATTCTCTCTAAGATCTGGCTCTGACACACCATTCTGCTAGGTGCCTGGCTAGAAGTTGACTTTCAGCTGGCTTTTGTGTAACTTTGACTTTCTCATCAGAACAGTAGCACTTTTGCTTATGATAAAATGACAACATGATCACCTTGGTATTTTCTTCTCATGCCTTCCTTGGCACACAGGAGTTTTAAAAGCCCTCTTAAAGCACAGGCTAGTCTTGTACCACAGTGGTACCTCGGAACTCGAACGGTTCTGTTCTCGAATGTTTTGGCTCCCAAATGCCGAAAACCTGGAAGTGCTCCGGTTTTTTAACGTTCCTCAGAATATTGCTTCCACTGTGCAAAAACCTATCTGTTGGCCAATCGGAAGCCATGCCTCGGAACTCGAACGTTTCAGAAGACAAATGGTCTTCCGGAACGGATTACGTTCGAGTTCTGAGGTACAACTGTATCTTGTAATGATGTAGCTGTCTATCCTAACTCTTTGCAAAAACTGTGGTTAACATTTAAATTCTAAGTATTTCCACATTTATATTTTCTTTCAAGAATAATTTTTACGTACAACTAAAAAGGCAACTTCGTTATGGCAACTCTACTTAGTTTTTTGCCCCATCACAAAGTTATCTTGCTATGTTTTAGATCAATGAAACAAAGTAGCTTTCGGATTTTCAGCTTGCCGAATATGTAACTTCCAAAGAAAAGCATCAACATTTTTAGCCATCAGATACCACTCTACTTCTGCACCACAAAAGATATCAGCAATACTCAAATGAAGGAGCCAATAGCTTGTCCTCAATGAGTCCCATTTCCTTCTAGAAATTGAGCTTCACACCAGCTCACTGTAAAGCCTAAAGTTGCACTGATTCCCTGCCAGGAATGGCTTCCGTTCCTCTTTAGAACTCCCAATACTTTTAACAATAAGGAAGAGATAATTATGGCAGGGCAGGTTTTCCATACTTGCAGTACTGTGACACCTCTACATCTCCTAAAATTCATGCCTTTGCACAACCCTTAAACGTACAGAAGCCCAAAGGTTGGCCACACCTGTTCTTCACTATGGCCAAATATGCATGCCTGCAGCTCTCTGAACCAGCCTCTCCTGAAAGTTGCTACAGTAAGGCCTATAGAAATGGAAATTCAGTGATGGGGATGCCAATACTAGTCCTCTCTAGTTGCTACACATAGAATTAGTTAGTATACAGTGGTGCCCCGCAAGACGAACGCCTCGCAAAACGAAAAACTCGCAAGACGAAAGGTTTTTTCGTTTTCGAGTTGCTTCGCAAGACGAATGTCCCTATGGGCTTGCTTCGCAAGACGCAAACGTCTTGCAAGTTTGTTTCCTTTTCGTAAAACCGTTAAAACCCAGGGTGCATTGCTTGAAGAGGTGCAGTTGCGACTTGACCTCGAGGAGCAACACATTGCACGCGGTGTGGTGGCCTTTCTGAGCTTTTTAAAGAGTTTGCTGGATTTTGAAGCTTTTCCAAAACTTCTTCTACAGCTGTTTGGTAAGTTGAACTTTTAAAACTTTTTTTGGGTTTTTGGGATTTTGGGTTGGGGTGTTTAGAATTCAAGGACTTGGTGTTGGGGAGAGGTTTGCAAGAATCTGGGAGCTTGTGTGGTTTTTTTCTGCATTTTTATGATTTTCTGTGACCATTGGGCCATGTTTATTTTTTTAAAAAAAATCTGGCTTTGAATTTTGAATTTCTGTGTGCTGGGTGGATGGGGAACAGCTGGGGAGGTGTTTGCAAGAATCTGGGAGCTTGTGTGCTTTTTTTTGAATTTTTATGGTTTTCTGTAACCATTGGGCCATGTTGTTTTTTTTTGAAAAAGTTTCTGGGTTTTGAATTTCTGTGTGCTGGGTGGCTGGGGGAACAGTTGAGGAGGGGTTTGCAACAGTTGGGGAGGGGTTTGCAACAGTTGGGGAGGGGCTGGGGGAACAGTTGAGGTTTTTGAAGACTTTGGTGATTTTTAAAGCTTTCCCAAAATTTCTTTTGCAGCCATTTGAGGATTTTGAAGACTTTGGTGATTTGCAGCCATTTCGTAAGTTAAACTTTTAAAACTTTTTTGGGGTTTTTGGATTTTGGGTTGGGTGTTTGGAATTCAAGGACTTGGTTGTGGGTTTGAATTGCTGATTTTTTTTCTTTTCTGAGTTTTACAAAGGTAACAGCTGTGCTGCCATGGGACCCAAGAAGACTGCTGCTGCTGCGGAGGCCGGCGAGAGGAAGAAGGAGAAGGTGACGCTGGAGATGAAGAAGGAGATCATCCGGAAGCACGACGCTGGAATGCGTGTGACGGACCTCGCCAGGGAGTACGGCAGGAACCCATCGACCATCGGGACCATCCTGAAGATGAGGGAGAAGATCCTTGCGACTGATGCAGCCAAGGGAGTCACCAGGATCGTGAAGAACCGCCCAGCTGTTCTGGAGGAGGTCGAGAAGTTGCTCCTCATCTGGATAGAAGAGAAGCAGCGTGCAGGGGACACAGTGACTGAGGCCGTGATTTGTGAGAAGGCCAAGGCCTTGCACGCAGACCTCATCCGGGAACAGCCAGGAACCTCGGCCGAGCCAGAAGTCTTCAAGGCAAGCAGAGGCTGGTTTGACCGGTTCAAGGCAAGATCCGGAATCCACAGCGTGGTCAGGCATGGAGAGGCTGCCAGTTCTGATGTTTCTGCGGCTGAAGACTTTGCCTTGGAGTTCCTGGAGGTTGTGAAGACGGAGGGCTACGTTCCACAGCAGGTCTTCAACTGCGACGAGACCGGGCTGTTTTGGAAGAGGATGCCCAAAAGGACTTTCATCACTCAGGAGGAGGCCAAGTTGCCTGGCCACAAGCCCATGAAGGACCGTCTGACCCTGCTCTTCTGTGCCAACGCAAGCGGCGACCTGAAGATCAAGCCCCTGCTGGTGTACCACTCGGAGAACCCACGGGCCTTCAAGAAACACAAGGTCGACAAGGAGCGGCTGAGTGTCATGTGGCGATCCAACAGCAAGGCTTGGGTCACACGTGTGCTGTTTGTGGACTGGGTCAATCTTGCCTTTGGCCCTGCTGTCAAACAGTACCTGCTGGACAATGACCTGCCGCTGAAGGCTTTGCTTCTGATGGACAATGCTCCTGCTCATCCTAAAGGCCTTGAGGTGGACTTGTTGGAGGAGTTCAGCTTCATCAACATCATGTTCCTGCCGCCTAACACCACGCCACTGCTCCAGCCGATGGATCAGCAGGTCATCGCCAATTTCAAGAAACTCTACACCAAGGAGCTTTTCAGGCGATGCTTCGAGGTGACTGATTGCACCACCATCACCCTGCGGGAATTCTGGAAGGACCACTTCGACATCGTCACCTGCTTGAAGATGATCACCACGGCCTGGAAGGGGATCAGCCAGAGGAATTTGAATTGCGCTGGCGCAGCCTGTGGCCGGACTGTGTGGCACCAAGTGACTCTGATGCACCAGAGTCGACAGTGGTGCAGGACATTGTTGCCTTGGGGAGGACCTTGGGCCTGGAGGTCACAGAGGAGGACGTTTGCGAGCTGGTGGAGGAGCACGACGACGAGCTGACCACCCAGGAGCTGGTTGCACTGCAGTCAGAGGTTGCGCAGGAGCAGGCCTCGCTGGAAGAGGAGGAAGCAACTGAGGAACGGCTGTCCTCCAAAGAACTGAGGGACATTTGCCAGAAGTGGAATGAGGTGCAGGCTTTTGCAGAGCGGCACCACCCTGACAAGCACGTGGCACATGACCAAGCGAACATTTTTGATACGACGGTCATGTCGCCTCTCAGGGAGCTGCTGAAACGGCGGATGAAGCAGCAGACCATGGACAGGTTCCTCAGCAAGAAGCAAAGAGTGGAAGAGGAACCTTCTTCGAGTGGTCCCCAGAGTCTTAGAAAATGTAATGTACCCTTTTTTGATTTTTAAATGTTTTTCCTGTCATGTTTAGAAACTTAATTTATTGTTCCTTCAATTTTGATATGCTCTTTAAAGTATGTGTGACTTTAAAGAGCAGTTAATAAACTCTTGTTGTACCGAATTTGGCTTTGATTGGACTTTTTTTGACCATAGGAACGCATTAATTGAATTTCAATGCATTCCTATGGGATTTCGTGCTTCGCAAGACGAAAAATTCGCTAGACGAAAAAACTCGCGGAACGAATTAATTTCGTCTTGCGAGGCACCACTGTACTTATATCAAATAAAGAGGAACAGACAAGTAGGTAACAGACAAGAATTGAGGGGAAAGTATTGAGGGAAGACAGGTGGATGCCTGACAGTAAAGAGTTCTCATGGCAGAGAGTGGCAACATAGATTGGGTTTATGAAGGATGAATACGAGAGCAGAAAGGGGGTAACAAGGGCCATGGAGAGGGAGAAGAGTTAACTTACTAAATAAGAGCAAGTGGATGGAAAGCATTTGAAGGTCAAGAGAAGTTTAAACAGAATAGGACCAATCAGGAGGACATGACTAATACAATCATGTCACCAAAGAGAGAGGTTTCAGAGAAGGGGCAGGTGCATATTTATATACCCAACAACCAAACAAGATTGGTACCATGATTGTTAGCTTTTTATCAGAATATAAATCATTCCAGTGAGTGACTTTAATGCACTATGGATTTCCAAGTTAGAGAAGTCCCAAAATCAATAAGTCCTCCAATATTTTGCCAAATCTCTCTGAACAGACCTTAGAAAAGTTGAGTTCAGCTAAGTTTTGGTGGTGTTTGAACCCCAAATATAAGTCTACACCATTGATTTTAAACCACACTTGAGGACTGATTTTTTTTTTTTGTATTCAAACATTGTAAAGCATTGTTATGTAGTATCAGAAAGTTGTAAAACAGGAATGAAGACTTTTTCAGATTGCTCATCACTTCTCATTAGTTACTCAATGGAAATAAAAAAGGAAGTAGAGGATCTGGAAATTGGATGAATATTTGATAAGAAAGCAGATTGAGGATCATATCGAATGAAGTCATGTGTTGCATGTTTTTATAAGAGCCCGCTGGATCAGGCCAATGACCCATCTAGTCCAGCATCCTGTTCTCACAGTAGTCAACCAAATGTCCATAGGAAACCTGTAAGCAGGACCTGAGCACCAAAGCACTTTCCCTTCCTGTGCTTGCTAGCATGCTAGCAACTGGTATAGTCTTCCCTTTAGCACAAAGATTTCTACCCGCACAGCAGGGCTTCATCCCCCTCTCTTCCACCCCTCCATATCTGCTCCAGAAGGTTAGAAGAATCCTCAGAACACTTGGGGATGGGGGAGGGGGAGAAGTCATCTAAATGTGCAGGTTGAAATCCTTGCACTTAACAAGATGAGTTTGCTGGATACAAACCACAGATCTCAAGAAGATCTGCAAGTGTGTTTTCATTTAAAATGGAAGTCCAGAGATTAAGAGGTCACAACTTGGAAGATGAAATGAAGAAGCTCTGAGGATAACTTGAGCTGCTTCCATTTTGGCTGGGGGTACTGCAAATGTATTTTTGCGTATCTCAATTTTAGTATTACTTCTGCTATTTTTTAGGGCTTGGCTAATTTATCTCTATACACTTCCAGCTTATTATTTAATGTTCAACATGCTACTGAAGTGAAATATTATTGAAACAGTTGTTTACATTTTGTATGTGGAAAAACAACATAGAAATCAAACCATGACTATGGGTGGCATTAAAGAAGGCTGATTGCCGAAGAATTGATGCTTTTGAATTATGGTGCTGGAGGAGACTCTTGAGAGTCCCATGGACTGCAAGAAGATCAAACCTATCCATTCTTAAGGAAATCAGCCCTGAGTGCTCACTGGAAGGACAGATCGTGAAGTTGAGGCTCCAATACTTTGGCCACCTCATAAGAGAAGACTCCCTGGAAAAGACCCTGATATTGGGAAAGATGGAGGGCACAAGGAGAAGGGGATGACAGACGACCAGATGGTTGGACAGTGTTCTTGAAGCTACCAGCATGAGTTTGACCAAACTGCGGGAGGCAATGGAAGACAGAAGTGCCTGGCGTGCTCTGGTCCATGGGGTCACGAAGAGTCAGACACGACTAAACGACTAAACAACAACAACCATTTGAGGGAGATGTCATTAAGAGAAGCTGAAGTTGCAATTTTACACACGTTTACTTGGGCACAAGCCTCACTGAACAAGTGGACAGAAAGTGTGGAAGGACATGCTAGATGTTACTTGGAGCTTTATTTTTAGTTTATCAAGAGACATAGGACTAATTAGTGGCTAATATAGGCTTATTAGCTGACTTTATAAACAGTGGTTCAAGAAAGTATTGGGTTTAATTTTACTTTAAAGGAAAGTATAGGTAGATAATATTTATTAAAGAAAACATAAGGTAATCAATTATAAAGAAAAATGACTACAAAACACTTTATTTCTTATGCCTTCAGCATCTGAAGATGTGGAATGGAAGGGTTCCTTTTTATAAATAACTTAACAGACAGTATTAAAGTTTTCAGTGCAACAACATGCTGGTAAAAGAATGGCTAGAACAACAAGTCTTTGAGGAATGACTATTCAGTAAAAATAAAGGTTTGCTATCTAGAATGTATGCAATAAAGCTATAATATTAAATTAGGAGACAGATGGACACAGTAATAATTTCAACAGAAACCTGGGGCTTAAAATTGCAAAGAGGACCAGGAAACTGTTTTTAGCTCAATATAATTGGGCTAAAGTGGAAGGGAACACTACTGATTTGAAATATAAAAACTATTTTAATTTTGTAAAAAGTGCTTGAATTGCAGAAAGAACCTGTAAGTTTTGACTGCAGGTGTCAATTGTGAAAATGAACAAGTATAGAAGTTGTCATTTTCATAAAGATGAAGAAAAACCAAGAAAAAGTATATGAATAAAATATAAGAAATAACAAGTGAAGGAGAGATTTTGCTGTATCAAAAATGGTCAATTTTATTGACATTACAAAGGTAAGTGTCACAAATTTTAGAACTTGGTGAATGACCTGATTTGGACAATCACTTAAAACAATTTTACCTTGCCCTCTATTGCACTCCAGTTTCAGAGTGAAGATCTTGTTTTGTATTAGGCAAGAACCAGGGAATTCTAGTGCTGGTTAACAAACCAGAAAAATAAGCAAGGATCACAGGAGTGCTGGGTTTGGATGGCTATTCAAGGTTTAGCAGAATTGTCTTAACCAGCTGAATCTATGGGAAGGAGGAATTACAGGTAACTGTAGGACTAGAATGCTTATACACAGACTTCATATTAACATAGTTATTTAAAAGAAACAGAGAATTTAAAATTTAAAAAGCCAAACTATCAATTTTATCTAATCTGAACTACAGCAAGCCCAATACTACTAACACAGGGCTCAGAAGACAAAAACTGTGTCACATTGCTAAGATGGACTAGCTGTAGAAATGAGTTGACTGAACAAAGGGTATCCAGAGGGCAAAGAATCTGAAACAAGGAAGTCAGCAGCCTACTTAAAACTTCAAAACTGATACTGTAAGGAAAGGGTTGCAGTGATTCTGTTGATTAGCAGGAACAAACAAATCCACCCATCAAATCTGACAATAAATGTCCCAGCAGCGGGGGAAAAAAGTGGAAGGGAAACATTGATTCTAAACAAGAAATCCAGGTTTATTTTGTTTTGCAGCCACAAAAACAACAAAGTAGGAGTAAAATGGTTGTGCTAAGCGATGGGTTTGCTGGGCTTAGATTGAAGTGCAAACCAGGTAAGGGTTTCCTGGTTATGTAAAAGTATACTTACTGGACCTCATCAATCAATATAGTGAATGTTCATTTTTTTTATAAAAACCCCCAAGGTTCTGAGAATTTGAATTTCATCAAGCCAGTTGCAAAAGTACTGTAATACAAAAATTAATTTCCCCTGAATTTGTATCAGGGAATATCTAAAATAAACACCAAAACATCACAGTATAGAATAGAACTATCAGTGCTATGTCAGGACCTGGTGAGCAAGTCTTTTATTCAATCACTGGAGGCCATATCTGTCAACTTTTCCCTTTTCTTGCGAGGAATCCTATTCAGAATAAGGGAATGCTGGAGGCAGCAGAAAGGCATCTGTGATGGTCAATGTCTCTCACTTCAACAAAAGCAGGCAAATATATGGCTCATAGCCATAAGAGATTTATACTAGTATATGTTATCCCTGCACGACTTCCTAAAAATAAGACCTTTTCTCCTTGACACACAAGTTCTAGCTACATAGAAGTGTCAAACCCTTTAAATTCATGTTTCCTTTAGGAGAACAGAGAATTTTCCAAGAAAAATAGATCATAAAAAGCAGAATGAATGCTTAAAAATTGCTTGAAAAATATGTTCAATGGTCAAATCTATGACACACAGCTCTACTTCTCATTTACATGTGCAGCTGTGGCAGTGGATGCGCTGGACAGTTATCTAGCCTCAGTAATGGGCTGGATGAGGGCCAACAAACTGGAGCTCAGTCCAGGTAAGACTGAGGCACTGTTAGTGGGCGGTTCCCTAGAACAGATGGCTGAGAGGTGGCCTGCTTTTGATAGGGTTACGCTCCCTCTGAAGGACCTGGTACATAGCTTGGGGGTACTTCTGCATCCATTGCTGTTGCTTGAGGCTCAGGTGGTCTTTGTGGCATGGAGTTCCTTCCATCAGCTCTGGCTGTGCCCAGCTGTTGCCCCGATCTGGACACTATGTTCTGGTAACCTCTAAGGCTGGGCGATATCTGGTTTTCAACCAGCTAAACATCACTATATACTGATGTATCACTCTATATGAATTAAGGACGGAGGTATGTAGAGGCATTGGCTGGCTTCATGGTTTTTCCCACATTGTGATTTTTGCACAGCACACATACACGATTTGTGATATATTGCCAGGTCAAAAATGATGAAAGTGATATCATGATACAGATTTCAAACTGGTTTCAGGCACTATATCAATATATTGCCCAGCCCTAGTAACCTCTAAGGGACATGGGTGGCGCTCTGGTCTAAACCACTGAGCCTAGGGCTTGCCGATCGGAATGTCGGCGGTTCGAATCCCCGTGACGGGGTGAGCTCCTGTTGCTTGGTCCCAGCTCCTGCCAACCTAGCAGTTTGAAAGCACGTCAAAGTGCTGCAAGTAGATAAATAGGTACTGCTCCGGTGGGAAAGTAAACGGTGTTTTCGTGCGCTGCTCTGGTTTCACCAGAAGCGTCTTAGTTATGCTGTCCACATGACCTGAAAAAACTGTCTGCGGACAAACGCTGGCTCCCTCAGCCAGTAAAGTGAGACGAGCGCTGCAACCCAAGAGTCATATTCACAACTGCACTTAGCTGTCAGGTGTCCTTTACCTTTTTAGTAACCTCTAGGTTAGATTACTGCAACACATTGTACAAGGGTCTGCCTCTGAAGAGGTTCAGAACCTTCAGGTGGTGCAGAATTCAGCAGCAAGGTTGCTCACCAAGGCAAGGCAGTTTGAGCATATCACACCAATCCTGGCTCGACTGCGCTGGCTACCAATTAGTTTCCAGGCCCAGTTCAAAATGTTGGTTTTGATGTATAGTCCTAAATGGCTCAGGACCACAATATCTCAAGGACTGCCTCTCCGCATATGTATAGACCGGGACGCTGCAATCATCACCTGAGTCCCTTCTTCATGTGCTTCCTCCATTAATAATAATAATAAATTTTATTTATATCCCGCCCTCCCCAGCCGAAGCCGGGCTCAGGGCGGCTAACAACAATAAAACAATACAAAAGTACAGCACAAACAACACTCTAAAATCATTCATTATAAAATTAATTCGTATCAAGCCACTGGCAACCATTGGGCCAGAGCTCCGCGAAGATTGCCAAGGGAGGGAGTCAGGCTGTGCCCTGGCCAAAGGCCTAGTGGAACAGCTCTGTCTTGCAGGCCCTGCGGAAAGATGTCAAGTCCGGCAGGGCCCTAGTCTCTTATGACAGAGTGTTCCACCAGATCGGAGCCACAGCCGAAAAAGCCCTGGCTCTAGTTGAGGCCAGCCTAACTTCTCTGTGGCCTGGGACCTTCAAGATGTTTTTATTTGAAGACCGTAAGTTTCTCTGTGTGGCATACCAGGAGAGGCAGTCCCGTAGGTACGAGGGTCCTAGGCCGTATAGGGCTTTAAAGGTTAAAACCAGCACCTTAAACTTGATCCTGTACTCCACCGGGAGCCAGTGCAGCTGGTATAGCACCGGGTGAATGTGATCTCGCAGCGAAGACCCCGTAAGGAGTCTCGCTGCAGCATTCTGCACCCGCTGGAGTTTCTGGGTCAGTCTCAAGGGCAGCCCCACGTAGAGCAAGTTACAATAATCCAGTCTGAAGGTGACCGTCGTGTGGATCACAGTGGCTAGGTCAGGGCGAGAGAGGTAAGGAGCCAACTGCTTAGCTTGGCGGAGATGGAAAAATGCCGCCTTTGTTATAGCTGCAATCTGCGCCTCCATGGAAAGGGAGGTGTCGAAGATTACACCCAAACTCTTAACGGACGGTGCTGGCACTTATTGCGCCCCCGCAAGAGATGGGAGTTGCCCCCCCCCAATCCCATATCGTCCCGTCCCAGCCACAGGACCTCTGTCTTCGAAGGATTTAGCTTCAACCGGCTCCCACGTAACCATCCAGCCACAGCTTCCAAATATCTGGTCAGTGTGACTGGGGCCGAGTCAGGATGGCCATCCATCAACAGATAAGAGTTGGGTGTCATCGGCATACTGATGGCAACCCAGCCCAAAACTCCGGACAAGCTGGGCGAGGGGGCGCATAAAGATGTTGAAAAGCATCGGGGAGAGTATCGCACCCTGAGGTACTCCACACACCAAGGAGTGGCGCGATGACAATTCCCCCCCAAGCGCCACCCTCTGTCCCCGACCAGAGAGAAACGAGCGCAGCCATTGAAGGACTGTGCCCTGGATCCCCACGTCGGCAAGGCGGTGGTCCAGGAGTTCATGATCGACCATGTCGAAAGCTGCTGACAGATCTAAAAGAATCAGCAGCCCCGACCCGCCTCGATCCAGCTGTCTACGAAGATCATCTGTTAGGGCAACCAGAGCTGTCGTTTCATTCAGAAACCCACCAAGCTGTTCAGCAACCGCTCTCTCAATCACCTTACCCAGGAACGGAAGATTCGAAACCGGGCGGTAATTGGATAGATTTAAAGGATCTAATGATGTTTTCTTTAAGAGCGGGCACACCACTGCCTCCTTCAGTTCCCCTGGGAATGTCCCCGTGCCAAGGGACAAATTGATGATATCCCCCAGGAGGGCCCACACCTCGTCTGGACACGCTCTAATCAGCCAAGACGGGCACGGGTCGAGAGGACAGGTGGTGGGCTTTCCAGCTCGGAGGAGTCTGTCCACATCAGCTGGGGATATCCGGTCGAAGTGGTCCAATACTAGACCCAAGGACAGTCAAGCGGCCTCCAGTTCCTTTATTGTATCCAAATTGGCAGGGAGGTCATGGCGGAGCAACAAGACCTTCTCCGCAAAAAAGCTCGCAAATGCCTCACAGCTGTGTGTCAAATTGTTATTTAAATTTGGCTGTCCCTCAAGGGACGTTAAAGACCTGATTATACTAAATAATTGTGCCGGGCGAGAGCTAGCGGATGCAATGGAGGCCGAGAAGTAAGACTTCTTAGCAGCCTTCACCGCCATCTTGTAAGTTTTCATAAAAGCCCTATAAGATGTTCTTGAGGTTCCGTCACGGGCACCCCGCCTTACTCGCTCTAGCCGTCTGAGGTCCCACTTCATTTTCCGGAGCTCCTCGGTAAACCAGGGAGCCCGGTTTCTGCGGGGTCGCAGAGGGCGCTTAGGTGCGATCTCATCGATGGCTGCCAGGAGCTGGATATTCCAGCCCTCAACAAGCTCAGTCAACGAGTCGCCAGGGGGAGCAAGGTCCCGCAAGGCTTGGCGGAATCTCTCAGGGTCCATCAGCCTCTGCGGGCGAGCCCAAATCGGCTCACCACCTAAGTAGGGTGGGGGTGGAAAGTCAATCCTGGCTTTCAGAGAATAGTGATCAGACCATGGCACCTTCATTGAAGAAGACATGATCACATCTATACCTATGCCAAAGATCAAATCCAGTGTGTGGCCTGCTTGATGTGTGGGGCCCGAAACAAACTGGGATAGCCCTAGTGTCGCCATGGAAGACACCAGGTCGAGAGCCTGTGAGGAGGGAGTGGCATCAGCATGGATGTTGAAGTCCCCCAATACCAATAGGTTAGGGAACTCCAAGGCCCAGCTGGCCACCGCCTCCAATAGGCCTGACAGGGTGGCTGCTGGTGCGCTAGGGAGTGGTTTATTGTTTTGTTATTATGTTACATATTTTTGCGTTTTTATACTGTAAACTGCCCTGTGATCCTCAGATGAAGGGCGGTATAGAAATCCTACTTTTAGACAAACTTCCCCCGCCCCCCTGTCATGGACAAGTGCAACAAATTTGATGAACAAAACTATTTCAGGCCTTTTCCACTCTGTAATGTGTTCCAACGGTGACAAATAAATAGTTCACGGCATGAAAATCATACCAGGGCCTAATCAGTTTTCAACTTGAGGAAATTCAGTGTCTTCTTGAATACTTTGATTTCTAAGAAAACACTGCTGAAATGTAGAACAGCTCACTAGCTAATGATGATAAGACACTCTATGATGGAATGCTTAAAAGAAGTGGTGCCATTACATTTCAGGTAGCTGATTTTTCATTTTAAAACTGAATGGTGTTTTTTCATACCAAAGAAAGTTTCAGGATCGAAACAAAAGAAACCCAAATTTCCTATTTACATAGCCCTTCCCTACAGGATGCTTCTAAAAGGAAATCTCTCTCCTATGCGCTGCTTACAAGTCATTTCAGAATAATAAATCAAATACTGTGTGCAGCAACCTCAGATTTGCTTAGCAGCTTCATATCTCCAAACTGCATGCATGATAAACAAAACAAAAAAATCTCATAGGGAAACGAGATATTAGAAAAGGGGACTGAGTTCAAACCCTATATAGCCATGAGGCTCCCCAGATAAGTAGCAAGAGAATGTTTGGTCTGAGGGTAACCTTCCCCCACAGGACTTTAAAGATAATGAGATATTCCCAACACCCGAGCAACTTGGAAGATAGTAACGGGATAAAAAAGTATGGGCAAATAGCTAAACTATCCATTCTGAGCAACCTTTTACCCTACTTACCAAACTTTATTCATAAGACAAGATGCACAGAAACTATCGCAGAAACACTCCCCTCCGAACTGGAAACCTTCATCCGAAATCTAAACCCAAACAGAGACTAGTTCCTGCTTCTTAATGGTAGACATTGTGTTGAGAGTGGAGCCTTGCTTTAAATTAAGCCTTAACTATTTGTAAATACATATCAGCAAGCTCTATCCTTATTCAACCTTACTACTCTGTCTTCCACAGAGCATCAAGTTTTCATTTCATTTTCATACTGCTTTCAAGCACCCACAAACTACCTGTATGCAGAAAATATGAACATTACAGAAGGAGATATGGTACAGCTCTTTCCAGAGATTTCTGGGACCAGAAAAGTTTTTAACGTGAATTAAATTTGACTGCATCATAGTATCAGAATTGTAGTTATTTCTATTTTATTATTTATTGAATTTATATGCCGCTCTACACCCACAGATCTCAGGACGGTTCACAGGATAAAATCAGAGTATAAAACCACAAAGTACTCAATCAAAATAAACAAGCCAATAAATCAACCCCCCCCCAAAAAAAATACATTTTAAAAGGGCCCAGGAATCTCAACTAGATCATACATGCCAGATGGCCACCCAACCTCTCCTTAGCTGAAGAAGCCCATCATGTCAAAACACGCCTCAAACAGCTCGTCTGAAATCTCAATCAAGGTCCATGCGTGCTACAGTAACAATGCAACGCTTGTGGGTAAAATCCATCCCGCTGCCATTCCACCTGAGCGCGCCTTAGAGAAGAGGGAACCATCTCCACGCGTCCTGCACGTGCCAGAGAGAACTGTGCAGCTACCTTTCTGCGTGCAGGGACTGATCCCCCCCCCCACTCCTCGCGCGCGCTTTTAACCTGAAGTGGTACAGCCGAGAGAGCTCCGTTGCCTCAGGACTGTCCTTCCTCAAGCCCCGCTGCATGTGGAGAGTCGCTCTCCAGCATCGCCATCCCCGGGGCCTGCCGTGAGGATAGGGAGGGAGGCGAGAGATGCCCCGCTGCTGCCCGCTCCCTCGCCGCCGGGCCGCCCTCCCCCGCCCGCTTCAGCTCCCTCACCTGCCGGGCGCGCTGGACCGCGTCGGCGAAGGCGTCCTTGCGGATCCCGCCAGGTCCGGGACCCGCCGCTCCACCGGCCTGGCCGGCCCCGCCGGCGCCCCCTTGGTTGGGCGGCCCGGCTCCCCCACCGGCGCCCGGCGGCCCAGCTGAGGGCGGCGGCGGCCCGCCGGCGTTATAGTCCGACATGGCGGCGGAGACGGAGCGGGGCACCGAAGGCTCAACACGGGATGCAGGCCGAGCACTCTGCCCGTCTCCCTCACCACACACTCACAGACACACGTCCGCGCTGCACGCTGGGAACGCGAGGCGGGACTACAACCCGTTGCCCTCCGACCTCTCCTCGGAGGACCAATCGCTTAGGGGCTCCGGGTGACTGGCATGGCAAAGGGCCAGTGGGTACAAAAGGAAACAGGCGGCCTCAACGCCCGGCCAATTAAAAGCTAAAAAGAGGCGGGCTCTGCAGCTTGAGTGCCAGGGTGCTCCTCGACTGGCAAGCGAGGGGAGGAGCGGGATATGTGGTTTGCGACCTATTAGAGAATGGCAGGGGCGGGGTGAGAAGCCGTCCTTGGACCAATCAGGGAGGCAAGGTCGCTAAACCTCAAGCCCCTCCATTGGAGAAACGGAGACTACGTCATGTGGCAGAATGCGCTGGTTTCAGCCAAAGCGACAACCGGGTTCTGCCTCAGAGGCTGGGGGTTGAATCCCCTCACCGTTTGGAAGGGCGGAGCTAACGTGGGGTTACGTCATTTCTTAAGGGGCCCTTTAATAATAACAATAATAATAACGGGGGGGTGGGAATTATCGCGTTCGACGTGCGCGTCACCGCCGGCCCGCCAAAAATCAGCAGGGACAAAAATCCAGATTTCTCACGTAGGCCCTTGCACGGGGAGGCAGGGGGGGAACCCGCTTCTGCTTCTTTCCCGCCCCCTTGGAGGCGATTGGTCGGAGAGCTGCAGTAGGGCGGAAGTGCAGCATGATCGACGCGAGGCTGGACCAATGAGGCGGGACGCAGCTAGCCGGTCTCTTCCCTCGGGGTTGCCATAACGATGACAGGAGCGATTGCCGGAAGGGGCGGGACACTGGCCAAGTCCCTCAGGCTGGAGGCGCCGGGCTGATTTCAGGCTTCCGCGGAAGGTGCTGTGCGCTGGCTGAGGACGCTGAAGTCCAGGAGCTGTTCCTGGACACCCTTGGAACGACCTGCGTAGTGGCGTGAAAGGTGGACCCCCCTCCTTGCTTCCTTTCGACCTGCAGGTGAAGGAGGAGGCCTTGTTCCCGCGGGGTTTTGTGTACCAACGTTTTTAATGAAAGGGCTGGTGCCGCCTTAGTCTTACTGGGGATATTTTCACACACCCCTCCCCCATTGCGAGAATCTCCTGATCTGATGTTTTGAGAAAGGAGGGGGCGGAAACTGCTCTTCGCTTCTTCCGCTCCTGCCTGACTCTGGGGGGAGTCTGTGTGTTATCCATGTAGTGATTAGATGGCTGAGTGACAGCTGTAACACTCATGCAAGCCAGTAGTCTTAGTTTGCAGTAGCTTTTAGAAATAAAAGAGGTTATGCTTCACAGCAAGCTTCTGTGTTGTTTATACTCTGCGTGAGTATGGTGCTCACAATGCACAGTTGTGAGTCCAGTGAACTTAGACCTGCTTTCTAGGATTGGAAGGTCTCTGGAAGTGCTCCAGTCGTCTAGCCCAGTCGGGACAGAACCAGTTACAGTCATCCCTCGGGTTGAATGAGCTTCGGGTTGAGCGCGTTCGAGTTGCGCTCCGTGGCAACCCGGAAGTAATGGAGTGCGTTACTTCCGGGTTTCACCGTTTGCGCATGTGCACACGCTCAAAATGACGTCATGCGCAGAAGTGGCAAAAAGTGACGCCGTCGCTAGTTACGTTTGCTTCTAGATGCGAACAGGGCTCCGGAACAGATCCCATTCGTATCTAAAGGTACCCCTGTATTGAGCCCAGTCGCTGGCACCGGCTCAAAGGCAGACTGACAGATGTAACTACCTGCATGAATTAAGCAGGTTGCATGTGGTATTAATGGTTAATTGCTTTTTTATTACTGCATTCCCCACCCCGGTTTTGAGGTGTTCTTATTTTTATCTGTAAGCCGCCTTGAGTCCTGGCCAAGGGAAAAGGCGGGTTATAAATACATAATAATGTAAGGTAAAAGGTAAAGGACCCCTGGATGGTTAAGTCCAGTCAAAGGTGGCTATGGGGTTGCGGCACTCATCTCGCTTTCTGGCCGAGGGAGCTGGCGTTTGTCTACAGATCGTTTTACAGGTCACATGGCTATCATGACTAAACTGCTTCTGGCGCAGCGGAACACCATGACGGAAACCAGAGTGCATGGAAACACTGTTTACCTTCCCGACGCACCGGTACCTATTTATCTTCTTGCACTGGTGTGCTTTCCAACTGCTAGGTTGGCAGGAGCTGGGTTAGAACAATGGGAGCTCACCCTGTTGTGGGGATTCAAACTGTTCACCTTCCGACTGGCAAGTCCAAGAGGTCAGTGGTTTAGACCACAGCAAAGACAGAGTTCCCTGCTCTTTCTAAACTCTTGATTGTACTCGGTGGAGAAACACTTTTGTTTTGAGCTTGCGAGCTGTCTGAATGAGAGTCAGTGGAGGGCGGGGCTCCTGCACACATATACGGTACTCTGTATCCACTACTTTTTTTTCTAGAAAAATAGGTGCCGGTACTCACCGTAAAGTTGTTCCAGTAAGTGCCACACTTTTTAACAACAACAACAAAAAGTTTCCGGTACTGTGTACCCTTGAGTACCCCTGGGGAAAAAACCCACTGTCTGTATCTTTCAGTGTATTAAACCAAACTTTTTCTACTACCTAGTGTGACAAGCTCTTTAAAGAACAGTTAAAGGTGTTTATCGTAGGGATGTCCTGGCTGCATGCAAAAGGTTCCGTTCTCCTCAGTAGTGTTCACTGGGCCTGTGGATGTTGTTCAGATGTCCATCTTGTAACTGCATAGATGGGTTATTTGTGCCAAAGGTAGGGAAGAAATGTCCTAGTTCTTCAGAAAGAAAGTTACACTAAATAATGTGCTGTAAAACCCCAGAAGATCATTAGGGGGTAGTTTTAATAATACTTAAAAACTATGATAAAGTAACATTAATAATTCTGCCATATACCCTCTGAAACGCTTTTGCATACTCCCTGGGGGTTCATGTATCACACTTTGGGAAGTACAGTGGTACCTCGGGTTACAGACGCTTCAGGTTACAGACTCTGCTAACCCAGAAAAAGTACCTCGGGTTAAGAACTTTGCTTCAGGATGAGAACAGAAATCGCACAGCAGCAGCAGCGGGAGGCCCTATTAGCTAAAGTGGTGTCTCAGGTTAAGAACAGTTTCAGGTTAAGAATGGACCTCTGGAACAAATTAAGTTCTTAACCCAAGGTACCACTGTACAGCCCTAAAGTGTTGTACCTCTTCCCAGTTTTGTATCAACCCTTAAGTCCTGAAGAGCAAACGGGTGTAGCTCCCTGATAGTGCCTGGTTGCTTGTGTAATTGAGGCAGCCCTGAACTAAAGGCCAATTTCTAGCCAGTTGCTCATGCAAATTATGAAGTCTTAGAACCATAGAATTGTAGACTTGGAAGGTACCCAAAGTGTCATCTAGTCCAACCTCCTGCAATGCAAGAATCTCACCTAAAGTATCCATGACAGGTGGCCATCCCAGTGTCATTTGTTCAAATTGAACAATATGCATTTTGCATCTCCAGAATTTTACAGAGATGCTCAGTGTTCAGAAATCATCAGTTCATATGTCCTCAGTGGGTAGAATGTTCATGTGTCTTGGTAACTGAATAATCTCTCCTGCTTTGTGATTGTAACACACCACAGAGGTAAGGGCTTATCTATACTTAACTTTCCTCCCCTCTTGCCAGGTACGGTCCATGCCTTAAAGCTCCAACTGCCCCCCCCCCTTTTCTCTCTGGAGCTTTCCCTGCGAAAGCCTGCCCTTTAAAGCAAATGGCAATCAGTGAAAAAACTAAATTGATGTTTGCTCAGGTTGAGCACTAAAAAGTGGGTCTTCGCAGGGAATGCTCTGGGGCAAAAAAAAAACCCAAAACCAAACCGAATAGAGCTTTTAAATGTGGATCTGTGCTTGGGTAGGGAGTGGCAGCTGTAGCCAAATTCTGTATTTTCAGAGTTGGAGGCAGAGAGAGCTGTGGGTAAGCTGCAGTAGAAGCATTCTTGGGAGGCTGTGGCTCCCTTTGGGAACCTGGTGCACAGTCAGCAGGCTTTGTGACCCTGCTACACAGCTGCCTGCTTTCAGCAGGCACTACTTGCAAATTGCATAAATTGAATATTACAAAGACACCCAGAGGACTTATCCACACCTCTGCTTGCCCCACCACTTTCCCCCAGGGAAACAGGATCCTCAGCACTGAATCAAAACAAATTGGTTTTTCCATGGATTGCTGTTTGCTCCAATTCAGTGCCAAAAAGCTGCTTTTCTGGGGTAAAGTAGCAGGGAAAAGGCAAAATCACTTGGATCCATGCCTAAAAAATGGATGAGCAGAAAACTGCTTGGGCCCGTGCTTTCTAGGCATGGAGAACTGGAGGTGTGGATGAGCCCTAAGTATCCAGTACTCTTCTCTCCAAAGGAATCATGCTGTAGTGCAGGCATAGTGAGCCCGTGGTCCTCCAGATGTTGTTAAATGCAACTCCCATCAACCCTGACCATTGACTATGCTGGCAAAGGCTTGCAGGAACTGGAGTCAAACCACATCAATGTTACAGGTTCCCCAGCTCTGCTATAACATGATCCCTGCAACTTCTCACAGTTTGGTGGCACGGGTGAGTAACAATACTATACAGTTGGAACAGATGCAAAATGTTCACTCCAATCAAGCCATAAAACCACACTGTAATGCAAGCCAGGAGGACTGGTGAACCTTGCACAGAATTCCTGTCTCTCTTGGGTCAGGAAGTTAAGAATAATGAATTAAAATGCAGCTCCTAGTACAAAGGCAACATAGACATGGTTGATTCCTGTCCTAAAATGTTTGTACTCTGCAACTGAAACCATTTTCATAATAAGCAGGCCAAGAAACATAAAGGAAAGTTTAGAAAATTTATTAGTGTGTGTTCTTTTTTCCCTTTGAAATACCAACACAAAACGCAGCAGCAACAGATGTATGGAAGTAGCCTTGCTGGAGTCAGATTCAGGCAACATTTATAAAGAAAGAGTGCAAGATGAATGCAAAAGCTGTGGGTAGGACTTTCCACTTTGCTCTGTCCCTAAAAAGTGGATTCTATGTTAGAATCCAGCCGCCACACTTGTTTTCCTGGGAGAAAGTAACAAGAGGTAGCTGGTTTCTCTGTAGAAAATTTTAGTCAGGGATCATTTGATATTTACACCTTTTCAATGCTCAAAGAGTCATGCATCAGGAAGCCCAGGGCCACAACTGGATAACAGGATATACAGCTGTTTTGCAGACTCAATGGCAGGAGGGGATCTGAAGGCTAACAGGTCCTTTGCCCCACAGTTAGATTCTCCAAACTTTTACTTACATCTACCCCATGCTTTAGGTCACATACCAAATTAACCCTCTCACTAGGGTTGCTAGTCTACATCTCAAATATTTCCCCTAAAACACCTTTAAATGTGCAGCTGACAAAGGAGATAAGGCAGTGACAGCTTATCCCACTCATTTTCTCCCGGTGTTTTTATTCACCCACCTTCTGGGCAGCACATCTGGGGATCTCACTTGCTAGAGCAGAGGAAGGAGCATAACATGGGAATGGGCAGCAGAAACGGCCTCTGCCTTTTCTCCCAATTTGTTGACAGGAGGGTGGGGACCTCAAGGCTGCAACTGAGTAATCCTACCTGGTTTCCCCAGTGTTGCAAGCAGGAGAAGGGCGAGTTGCCCCAAGCATGAGTTACCAGCCAGGCTCAAGGAATACCGGTACTTTTAGTTTCACTTCATCCCTGTAAGCTCCCAAGTCTTGGCTGTTTCTTAACTCCTGCTCTCCCCCTTTTGCTACTAAAATCAAAGTGCCATTAACCTTAAATCATAAGTTTCCACTGAAAACAATCTTAAACGTCTTTCTAGCATTGCCTCAGTTCTGTACAGTGGGTTCCCCATCTCTCTATCTCTTCTGGATTTTTGTACTGTCAGCCCAGGAACACAACCGGATAGGAATACTGGCAGGTATTTATAATTGCTCTTCATTTCTTATAGGTAAGGTCTCCTGTTAAATGCTCTGAAAGAGAGAGCTGGTATTCAGCAACTACTTTTTCCTTCACTGCAATCGGAGAAGCTACAAATGTGGAACTAATGTCTTCCTCAAAGCTCTTTAAAGGGATCATAACCCCCATCTAACTTGGAATAGGTTCACCATGCCCATCAGGCAACACAGAATCATAGAGCTGGAAGAAAGGCAAAGGTCATCTCATCGAACCCACCTTCAATGAAGTAATCACAACTAAAGAATCCCTGAAAGATAGCTACCCATATCTCCAGTCAAATAAGCCACCATCCTAGACAGTCCATTCCACTGCTGAAAACCTCTTGCCAGGGCTTTTTTTTTTTTTTTCAGCCGGAACTCTGTTCCAGCACCTCTCAGGTGGGTGTCATTCTAAGAGAACGAGGGAGGTATTCATGGTGAGTTCTGGCACCTCTTTTTCTAGAAACATAGCGCTGTCTCCTCCCATCTGTCCTCACGTTTAGTTGGAATCGCCTTTCTTGTAACTTGAATCCATTAGTACGGGTCCTGCCTTCTGGGGCAGCAGAAAACAAGCTTGCTGCCTCTTCCATGTGACAGCCCTTTAGCTATTTGAAGGTGCAGTGAGCCACCAGAGAGTCGTGCAAGCTGCACAGTGTACTGACTACCGCACAAATTATCTCCTCTTTCTTTGGCATCTCTTTCTGGTGAGGCTTCCACACTGACACAAATGCTATCTGGACGAGCCCTTAAGGCTGAGATTCCAAATCTGTGCAACACAAGAGGGGCCCAAGCCAATGTCATGCACTACACTCTGTTGCCCCTTGAAACATGGAGGTCCTGTGCAGCAATGACCCCGTTCCCTCCCAAGACACCACACACCCACACCATATAGCACATGGCTCCCCCCCCCAAAAAAATCCTGGGAATGGTAGTTTGCCCCTTGCAGAACTACAGTTCCCAGCGCCCGCAACAAATTACAGTTCCCAAGATTCTTGTGCATTCTTGTGCATTAAACATGACTAAAATGCAGTGCTCTTTCTACATTTGAACACATGGCTTATAATCATCAATCTTGTTTAGAAACCTATTTGGACACACAGACTGCTTATATTAATTTATATGTTTAAATTAGAAGTGATGAAATATTTTTATTGTTAACATCAGCCGGAAATTCTCAATTTTTATTTTTCTCTTTTTGTTATACAGTACCTTGGTACTCGGAACGGTTTGGCTCCTGAACACCGCAAACCTGGAAGTAAGCGTTCCGGTTTGAAAATGTTTTTCAGAAGCCAAACGTCCAACGTGGCTTCTGCTTGAGTGCAGGAAGCTCATGCAGCCAACCGGAAGCCGCACCTTGGTTTTCGAACCGTTTTGGGAATCAAACAGGCTCCTGGAACAGATTACGTTTGAGAACCAAGGTACCACTGTATTTGCATTTTTAAAAAAGTATTAAATACGGCCATGTATATCAACCCAAGAGACTGATTTCCTGACAAATGAATTCCCAGACAAAGCCAGGGGCAGATTTAGGACAGCGCAACTGGTTCCCCTGGCCGGGGTGTAGGGGCCAAGGGGGCACCTTCTTGCTTCCTTCCCAAAGTCTAGTAAGTGTTTGCTTTGGGAAGGAGGTGTGAGGGTTCTAACAGGTTAGTGCTTTCCCAGCTTTGGGAAGGCAGCACAAGCCTCGGGGAGGAGAGCAAATTTTGGCCTCACACAGGGCGCCATATTACCAAGGTCCACCCCTGACACAGCTCAACACTACATCTGACACATTTGAAGGAATCACAGAGGCTTCACTGTAGTCCAGAAATCACAATCTCACCCTTGAGCCTAAAGGGAGGAGGGAACAATATGACCTGCAGTTACAAGGAAGATACCTTCCCAAAGGTTGTGTGGGTGTTATGGGGCACAGCCTCTCTGCTGCCATTAACATTGCTACTGCTTGTCTGGGGTCTGAGGTCCCACAGCTTCAACTTACTGTAGATGCCACTGTTGACTTCCTATTGTCTTGGAAGCTGATGAAAAGTACAGGTGCACCTTTTTGAGCAAAAAAGGATCCCATTAAAACAACAACCATCCTATCCACATCTGTGTCCCAAGTACAGTCGTACCTTGGAAGTCGAATCTGTTCCAGAAGTCCATTCGACTTCCAAAACGTTCAGAAACCAAAGCGCTGCTTCTGATTGGCTGCAGATAGCTCCTGCAACCAATCAGAAGCCCCGCCGGAGGTTTGGCTTCCAAAAGAACGTTCGAAAACTGGAACACTCACTTCTGGGTTTCAATTGTTCGGGAGCCAAGGCGTTTGAGATCCAAGGTACGACTGTATTAAAACTCTGAGGGAACTTGAGTTATTGTTGCCTTCTTGTGGTTACAAAAGTGCCGTCTCTAACATTTGGCGGCCTTCCCTGGTCCTGCCCTTTGGTTGCAAAGCATGGGAGCAATGCTTGCAGGAAATATCAGCAGCCAGCGAGGTTCCTGAATATAGCTGCTGGTACTGGTGGTGGGAGGAATTTAGTGCCCTTCATATCTTCTTGCCCGTGATTAGCAGAAGCAGAAATGACTATGAAAAACAAAGATGAAAGCTTTTCTTGCCGCAGATTTTTTTTTTTTTGCTGTTAATTGTTTTTAGTGTGACTCTGGTTACACTGTACAGATCCCTTCGGCAGAGGCTTGGAACCCTAATGTCCCAGAACTGTACACATTAGAAGATAGTGCTCCGGGTAATCTTTTGAAAACAGGTTTTTATTTTTATTACTATTACTATGATTGCTGGGTGGTGGGTGGGGAGGAAGGTATTTCTGGGCAATCTTTCTACCTGCCATCCTGACTCTTCTACATCTTTCAAAGCAATATCCCACGGGGGGAGGGGGGGGAGAGGAAAAATAAGTTCCTACCTCCTTTGTTTTGCAACTTGCCAATACGTAGAGGTAAGCAAGACAGAAGAGGGCCATGGAAACCAGGGAGCATGGATTCAAGGGCTGTTGTTGGGGTGTGTGTGTGTTTGTGTGTGTCACTTCTTAAGCCGCAGTGCTGCTGTGACCAGCGCAAACATCTCCCAGCAAGCAGAAATGTGTTCACACAAGAAATCCAGAGACCTCAGGTAATGTGTGTTGACGACGACAGCAAATAGCCCTTGAAATGTCTTTCTCCATTGTCCACCACCTCAGAAGGGAAAGGGAAGGTTTGGGGATGGGAAGACATTTCAGTTCCATTTCCCGATGTCTATGTCGAGAAGAGAGTGCAGACCAGTCTTATAAGTTAAAAACAAGTCAACGTGCAAAATATACAGACACTTTCCACATAGGTAAAGATAACGCAGTGCTGGGCTGAAATGCAGCTCCTTGGTGCTCCAGCGCCCCCACAGGATGTGGAAGAGAGAGGAATGGAAGAGGGATCAACGTGGTTCAGTTTTTGCAGCTGGATATCTGGGGTGGAGTAAGAACGTGTCCTTGGGTATCCTCAAACCCCAGATTCCAGGGTGTCAACGCCTGGTTGGGAAACGCCTGGTTGCAATCGCTGAATTTTCTAACACCTCCAGTGTATGGCAGATTGTCCCTGAATGCATCATCTCCAGTGCTGAGACACCGTGGGTGAAGTGGGGTGAAGAGTACCTTCCCCATTTTGCTTACACCATAGCTGCTCATTCCAGATCCGGCCACACGTCACTGGCAATGAACGTCGGTGGGGTTGGTTTCCTGCTGGATGGCTGGCAGAAATACGCAGAACAGGAAACATGCTGGGGGGGTGGGCAGGGAAGAAGACGACACACATGCAGCGAGAGCGGCAGGCTCCTGGCGAGTAGCCTTGACTCAGAAGAAAGCCCGTTTGAAGTGGCCGTCCCCAGAGACTCCAGCACTTGGGAGACCTATGAAAATCTACCTCCGAAGGGCCATGGCACTTCCCATCCTCTGGTGTCTGGCGGTGGGACGGGGGACACCTTTGTAAGCAAGTGGGACAGGCCTCCTTGGTCCTCCTGGCTGAGGAAGAACTCTGCTTTTCTGGGGATGAGGAGAACAAGGGCCTGCTCACTCCAGCACTCTCCAGCCTTCCTCCGCCCAGCTGCCCACTCCCTGCCCCACAGGGCACTAGAGCAGAGGAGGTACGTCCCCACCTACTGCTGCCTTCAGGACACACTGTCGGGAGGAGCGGTCCTTCTTGAGAGGCAGGTCCTGGCCCCTTTGGGGAAGCAGGCTTCATCCGCTTCATCTGGACGTGACCCCCAGAGCCTGCTTCATGTTCTCATACACAACGTAGCTGATGCTGACGGCGGGAATGACCTTCATGAAGTTGGGGGCAATGCCGCGGTAGAGGCCCAGCACCCCTTCTCGAGAGAGGATGTGCCTGAAGAGGCCCAGCATGCTCAGCTGTGGGGCACCTTCAATGGTTGCTGCAGAGAGAGGGGAAAGGAGCAGAGAGGTCAGGGTCATATGTTTGAAAGCTTCTCCAACAAAGTTTCAAGAGAGGGTCGCTTCTGTTTCTGTAAGCGGCCCCAGCTTTTAATTAACGTTATAGCTCTTTCGGCATAGGAATGGAATGAGAACGTTCAGCGAGACCCGAGTGACGAGGTTCCTGCATCAACAGTGATTGGACTGCTCGGGCCCACCCGACCTCTGTGTGGGAATGTTCAGGGAGGCAGGAGAGGCTATATTGTTTAATAATATCCTTCCTAACTTGCGTTAGCAAGTCCCTTTACTTAGCAGAGTGCATTCCCCTTTTAAACATGCACAGTGGTTAGCTGGTTGCAAGCTCGCATAAGCTTCTCAATATAGGATTCCTGGTCATCCCATTTTCTCCCCCTTAAAAAGAATAGGCATGACACAATGTTGTGTAAAAAGTATAAAAGAAGTTTACTCACACATTCAGTTCACAGATGGATCCCTGAAGGCAGATTTAGGTTACAAAGCATATACACGTGGAATCTATCCCATATGGAGATAGTCCCTTTCTTTGTCTTCTGTTGGCTGAAAGCCAACAGAACATTTCTAGCTAAAAAGCTGTTGCTTCTCCAATGAATGGAGACAAAGAGAGAGAGGGGACTGTGTGCCTAGTGCTTTTGTTACCTGCACAGGTAAGGTCATGCCCACCTCTAGTTACATGCAGAGGAAGTCTGTCCCAGCCCAGGAGGAAACATGAAGTTTTCTACTAGCTGGAGCAAACATCCCCTTTATGTCCACTCTAGGAATGTTGTATTTGACTGCTCTCTATGTATCTTGGTGAGGCCTATCCAACAATCCAGAGCAGAGTTGTCAACTTCAGTGCCGGCTCCCGGTTTCAGAGGGCCCTTGGCAATATGTCCTCAGTGGGTGTCCTCCCCTGGATCAAGCCCCCCACTCCTCCTCACTGACAGTCTCTCACTGCCCTCTTGCTTTGGGCCCAATCTACACAACTGCCCTGAGGGTGAGTGCAAGGCATGTGAACGATGGTGCTGTGTCGCAGGCCTGGAGAACCTCTGCCCCCTGGGCTGAATCAGGCTGTGTTCTCTAAGCCACCTGCCCCACACCTGATATCATAGGACATTAGGTGTGGGACAGGAAAAGGTGTAGCTGCAAAGGAGCAACATGTGCTCCTGGTCTTTCCCTGCCATGCAGGGCTTGCTGTTATTGCTAACAGCAAGCCCTCGTGGGATCAACTGTGCTAGGGAGTCCCCGCCAAGGAACTCCCTGGTAGAGCTGATCACTGCTGAAGGCAGGGCTTGCTGTCAGGAACAATCAGCTGACCAGCGCAGACAGCAAACCCAGCTTGGGAGCTCACAAGCGAAGGGGTTCTGTGCAACGGAACGTTTCTCATCTGCAAACCGGCTTGAATTCATGGGAAAGTCTTCACCTGAGGCAATGATGACTTCAGGTGATTGACTTGTGAGCAACCTGATGCCCACCTCTGATGCTGGCCTCAACCACATCCCTACCTGCTTGTGCACTGTTTCACCAGAGTGATACATGTTCTGGCGATCTCCCGCTTGGACTACTTCAATGCGCTCTGCGTGGGTCTACCTTTGAAGGCGACTCAGAAACTACAATTAATCCAGAACGTGACTGCTAGACTGGTGACTGGGAACAGCCTCTGGGACCATATAACACCGGTCCCGAAAGGCCTACACTGGCTCCCAGTAAGTTTTCGACCACAATTCAAACTGATGGTGTTGACTTTAAAAGCCCTAAACGGCCTCGGCTCTGTATACCTGAAGGAGTGTCTCCACCCCCATCGTTCAGCCCGGACACTGATGTCCAGCTCCGAGGGCCTTCTGGTGGTTCCCTTGTTCCGAGAAGTGAGGTTACAGGGAACCAAGCAGAGGGCCTTCCCATCTGCAGAATGCTGTCTCATGAGATGTCAAGGAGATAAATAACTATACAACTTTTAGAAGACATCTGCAGGCAGCCCTGTACTGGGAAGTCTTTAACGTTTGATGTTTTACTGTGGTTTTATAATTTATAATTGGAAGCTGCCCAAAGAGCCTAGCGCTGCCTGATGAGATCACAGAGCAGAGTCAGGTGAAGCCTGATGGGGTGTGTGTGTGTGTGTGTGTGTGTGTGTGTGTGTGTAGGTCTAAACTGAAAACTCATGGCCAGCCTTGAAACTCAGCAAGTATGAGGAGATATTGTTATGTTAACAGGCCATTGTTTCTTAGCCCTTCCAGGCTCTCTTCCCCCCTCCTCGCAGAGTTTCTTCCCCACACTCCTTATGTCCCCCTATTGTTAATGGGGCTTTGCAGTTAGTCCAACCTCCTGCTCATTACACCTCAGTCACAGCCACCTTCAGTGCTCTCCTTGGAGGCCAGACTGTCTGGACGATGCTGCAATCTCACCTTGGGCTTGCATCCGGGTCCGCACCAGAGCTAGCGGGTAGCTGGCGATCTGGCCGCAGGTGCTGGAGACAGTGCCACAGCCCAGGAGCACCAGAACGCCCGGGTCAGCTGTGTCCTTGCTGTACTTCTGCAGCCAGGTGTTCTTCAGCGTCTGCCACAAAAGGAAGGGGAGAGGAGGAGTTGGTAACTTGGGAATCTGGCGCAGGTGCATCCCAGGGCCTAACACAGTTGGGGAGGCAGTGGCTTTCATGCCAAGCCTTGTAATCTGGCGAGATTGCTGTTTAGCCACACAGCATGGGAAAGAAAGGGTTCCTGCAAGGGTGGTGGCAGCGTCTTTCAAAAGGGCCTCAAGGAGAAAAGGCTTCCAGGTCAGTATCCTTCCTCACAGAGGACTGGTAGCCAGTAGGAGGCGAGGTTGAGCTTCCCTTGCTGTTCGTGCCAACCCCATGCCCAGTCACTCACCTCGTAAACTGCCAGGTCAATGCCAGCGTAGGGAATGATGCCCAGCATGTTTGGCAGGTAGCCCTTGTAAAAGGCACGGATCCCTTCCTTCTGCAGGACCTGCCTGGCACAGTCCGCCACCCCTGAGTACTGACCCGTCTTGCGGAGGGTCAGCCGTGTTTTTAGAACCTGGAGAGGGAGGGGGAGTCAGATGAACTAAGGCATGAATATCCCTCCTTTATTCGTCACCCCCTCATATTAAGCAACAGCACCCAGTCTGAAATCATGACAGCCATGTTTCTCTACATGGCACAGGGAAAGAGACCAGTACATCTGAAACGAAACTTGGTGAAATAAAATCCCACCATACTGAAAAGAAATGATCAGGACCTTTCTGTCCCTTAAATACAAAAGTTTCTTCTGGCAAAATGTCTTCATGGTAAAGGTAAAGGGACCCCTGATCATTAGGTCCAGTCGTGGCCGACTCTGGGGTTGCGGCACTCATCTCACTTTATTGGCCGAGGGAGCTGGTGTACAGCTTCCAGGTCATGTGGCCAGCATGACTAAGCCTCTTCTAGCGAAACAGAGCAGCTCACGGAAACACTGTTTACCTTCCTGCCAGAGGCGTACCTATTTATCTACTTGCACTTTGACGTGCTTTCGAACTGCTAGGTTGGCAGGAGCAGGGACTGAGCAACGGGAACTCACCCCTTCACAGGGATTCGAACTGCCGACCTTCTGATCGGCAAGTCCTAGGCTCTGTGGTTTAACCCACAGCTCCACACACGTACCAACCTCTTCATAGTATCTGTCCACAAATTAGTAGGGACAACTGGGGAGAAATTGCACTGCAGAGGGGATACTTCTCCTAGGCCTATATTAGTTAGCAGTACAGTGGAACATCGGTTCTCGAACGACTCCATTGACGAAAGTTTCAGAACCCAAACGCTGAAAACCTGGAAGTAAACGCTTCCATTTTTGAACGCACCTCAGAAGTCGAGCGGCTTCCTCTGTGTGTTTTTCAATTTTCTCAGTTGAATTTGCTGACAGCCCTTTGCTCCTCAGTTTTCGAACATTTCAGAAGTTGAACGGTCTTCCAGAATGGATTACGTTCAAAAATCGAGGTTCCACTGTAGTGCTAGGTTCTCACATTCATTTGGGCGGATATCATGGATGAAGTCAGCAACAGAATGAGAATTTGCCCCTCAAGCTCTACTACCAAAGAAAACTTACCTCCATGGGGTAGATTATGGTCTGTGCTGTGGCGCCAGCCAGGGAGCCAGCAATAAATCTCTCCTGCACCCTCAGTGTTTCCTGCTGCCCACGAATTGCCCGCTTGATCTGCAATGATAAGCAATGGATTGCGAGCCACAGATAGATTTGGTGAACTCCCCCCTTAGGCACTTTGGGCTGAGTGAGGGCGATGCAGCTGAGTAAAAGAAGTGTGATCCTTTCGGGCGAGTCCTTCCAATAAATACATGCCCAAGGTGGAGTTCCATGTACTTAGGGATGGGAAATACTGTGCTGTATGAAGTCATTGTTCTGTCCAGTAATGAAGGACTTTAAAAAAAGGAATTAAAATGCTGTGCACACGTGCACAGGGACTACCATGCAAAGCTGCAGCCCCGTCCCCAGGCCGTACCTGTTCGTAGGCCATGAACTTGATGGCAGACTCAGGCGCGATCTTGAGCACATTGATCCCGTTGCCTCGCCACAGGGAGCGGATGCCTCCTTCGCGTACCATGCCTCGCAATCCGCCCAAAACGTTCATACTGTTGTTCTTGGAGGCGTGAACCTACAAGCAAGATGGAACCACAACATCAGGGTCTGGGCAAGGAAAACCACCCCTTCTTTCTGACAGCATAAGCAACAATGGCCATTTTTTCAGGGGTTGGGGCATCAATGAAAAGCCAGTGTGTGTTGCGGGATCTGCATCCCAGTATCCTTTGCAGCATTCCAAAAAGGCCCCTCAAATTTCACAATGGAGTCCACTGGGAAGGCACAGGAGGCAAGATTGCTAAATGTGCAAGATTTGAAGGCTCCGAGAAGGTGTTGCTGCTATTTTCTGGGAGAAAGGAGGAGGGATGCAGACAGAAGTCAAGGTTGGCGTTTATCCTATGGAAAAATTAGGAACACTAGGAGAAGACTCTGACACAGCCATGTTCTTCTTCATTGTGGCTGATGCAACTCTTTGATTGCACACAGTGTCCTCTATGGTGTGCAGTGGTTAGAGTGTCAGACTAGGACCTGGGAGAGCTTGGAAAAAAGCTTGGGATATGAGTGCAATACAGTGGTACCCCGCAAGACGAACGCCTCGCAAGACGGAAAACCCGCTAGACGAAAGGGTTTTCCGTTTTGGAGGCGCTCATAAGCGAATTTCCCTATGGGCTTGCTTCGCAAGACGACAGCCCATAGGGAAATCTCAGGGACAGCGGGGAAGCGCAGCGCGTCTTCCCCACTGTCCTCGGACCTCCTCCGAAGCCTGGCGGCGGGGCGGGGACACCTCCTCCCGCCGCCGCCGGGCTCGGAAGGCTCCTCCGGCCGGGCGGGGGGAGGGAACACCTGCCGCCGCCGCCCGGCCCGGAACGGTGCTCCGGCCGGGCGGGGGAGGAACACCTGCCGCCGCCGCCCGGCCGGGACGGTGCTCCGAGCCGGGCGGGGGGAGGAAGACCTCCGCCGCCGCCCGGCCGGACGGTGCTCCGGCCGGGCGGTGGGAGGAAGACCTCCCCGCCGCCCGGCTCGGACGGTGCCCGGCCGGGCGGGGAGGGAACACCTCCGCCGCCGCCCGGCTCGGAACGGTGCTCCGGCCGGGCGGGGGAGGGAACACCTCCGCCGCCGCCCGGCCCGGGACGGTGCTCCGGGCCGGGCGGGGAGGGAAGACCTCCGCCGCCGCCCGGCTCGGAACGGTGCTCCGAGCCGGGCGGGGGGAGGGAAGACCTTCTGAAGGCGGGCGGGGGCGAAGTCTTTGCTCCCCTGCCTGCCTGTCCCGGAGGGCTTTTGAAGGCGGGGAGCAAGACTTCGCCCCCGCCCGCCTTCAGAAGAGGTCCAGGACCTCTTCTGAAGGCTGGCGGGGGCAAAGTCTTTGTCCCCCTGCCTGCCTTCCCAGGGGCTTTAAATTGCCCCGGACAGCGGAGAAGTCCTCCGCTGTCCCGGGGTGATTTTAAATGCCGCCCGCCAGCATTTTAAGATCGCCCGGACAGCGGAGAAGTCCTCCGCTGTCCCGGGTTTTTAAAATGCTGGGGGTGGGAAGAAAGCCCTTGCCCCCCAGCCTTCAGAAGAGGTCCGGGGACAGACTGTCCCCGGACCTGGTCTGAAGGCGGTTTCCCTAGGAACGCATTAATTGATTTTCAATGCATTCCTATGGGAAACCGTGCATCGCAAGACGAAAAACTCGCAAGACGAAGAGACTTGCGGAACGAATTAATTTCGTCTTGCGAGGCACCACTGTACCTAAATAAATGAAATCTGTTTCCCTGAATGTTAAGGTTTGCCGAGGGGAGCAGATAAGGTTTAACACTAGTCAGAAATTAAGCCACCTTCTGCGAAGAAATAAGCTCTGTAGGTCTTGCATGCACCTCTCCACTTCCCCAACATCCAGTCTCTCCTCCCATTTGCTATCTTCAAATGCTGTGGGCGAAGAGATTGGTCTTTTCAACACTTCCCAAGGCCAGCCTTTCAAAACATACTTCAAACACTGGTCACGGTATTTCAAAATGTGTTTTAGCCATGCCATAGGGAGTTGTGGTCTTCGCTTGGAGTTTAATGTCAAGGGCAGAAGCTAAGAGGCGCAATAAGTTTTGAATTCACATGCCGACTTTTCAGCAAATGGCCAGCTCTGCTGTAGTCGAGCCTGCAGATAACAGCATCGCTTGCACTCATCAGAGTGCTGTCTTTGGACTTGGTGGAATTCCAAGACCAGTAAACCCAATGTGAAGGCTGATTCTACACAGCCGTTTCCCCTGCCATATTTCAGGAATCAGGGAGGCACCTGTATTTTTCGCTCTATTAGACGCACCGGACCATAGGACGCACCTCCCGCAAAAGCCAGGGATAGCCGTGCGAAGGCTCCACAGGGCAGCGGGATGAAGGCTCCCCGCTGCCCTGCGAAGGCTTCATGCCGCTAAGGCAGAAGCTAGAACAGCGAGAGGGTGCACTGTGCAGGGCTCCCTCTAGCTGTTCTGGCTTCTGGGGTAGCCCATGAAGCCTCCGCAGGGCAGCGGGGAGCCTTCATCCCACTACCCCGCGGAGGCTTCGCGGGCTACCCAAGAGCTGCTCGCAGCCTGCCCGCTGCTCCCAGGGCTGGAGGGAAGCCCGGGTCCCCCCAGCCCCAAAGAGCAGCTCAGGGAGCAGCCTACCCGCTGCTCCCATAGCTTGTTGGGGCTGGCGGGGGGAGCCCGGGTTTCCCCCGCCAGCCCCAAAGAGCAGCTTAGGAGCGTGCCGCACTCCGGCAATTTAGCTCCAGGGACCACACATTTGCTCCATAAGACACACAGACATTTCCCCTTAGTTTTTAAGAGGGAAAAAGTGTGTCTTATGGAGCGAAAAATACGATAAATGAAAGACCCCTGAACCTGTTGGCTCCTGCTTGTATGGGGCAGCCCTTTTTCTCCTTTTACAGTCTTCATGTGTAACATACTATGTAAAAAAAAACCTGGTCATAACATCCTGAGCATGGCATTCTGGGACAAAACAGAGGCCCATTTGAGTTTGTCATTGCCCCACACCACATGAACTGATGCCACCATTCCAGGTCCCAATGCAGAATGAAATACTGTTTCCCCCTCCCTCCGTAATTCTTAGCAGCTCCTTGCCTGCATGAAGACTTTCAGTCGGTCCAATGGGGCAGTTCCAGTCCTGGAGACAGCACCAGCCATGGCTCCAGCAATGAGCTGCTTCCACCACATCCCTGTCTTCTTCTCCTTCTCGGAAAACTCATCTGGGACGGTGAGGCACTCGCCAATGTCAAGGACCTGCAGAGGAATGCAGTCAGAATAGGAAAAAGCTAAAGAAAAGACAAGCAGCTCTGTCCACATTTGACTGAGAAGCCTCTGTTATTAAGGAGACAACCTCCAGGGTGGAATCTAGACACATATAAAAAAAAGTTGTGAAAATGTGTTGTTGTTTTTAAAAAAATGCTTTGAAAAACATATTGAATTTGCCATAGCTCACCATCACCATCTAGTGTCTCATTTGTGTAATGCACTTTGCAACACCCTTAAAACGTTTTATTTGCAGCTGTATAGCTGAGTCCCAGGTCTGGATTTATGAATATTCTAAATGCTCCAAAACATCAATTTCCACCACATTTTTGATTCAAAATTTCAAACTGGAATTTTGTTTAATGGGTGTTTTCTACTGAGCATTGAAATCCGAGTACTTCTCAAGTATTCGTTGGACTTTCTTGCTTATTTTGACTCAGGCAAATGTAATATATGCCATCTCATAACCTCTCAACTTTCAAATATTACATGATGTCGGCTAGCAAATGCTATCGCATATCAGTCGTGCAGTAAGAACGAAACCTGCTCCAAGCTTCCAGCATTCTAGCCAGTGAACACAAAGACACTGGGAATGACTGAGATGCTCCTGAGACTTTGTTTTCTTAAAATCATTTAATTAAACCAAATCACTTTGAAGCTGCAGTCCTACAAATCAATGGAGTAAGTGCAGGAGGGCTTGTTCTGAGCAAACATGGATGGGATTGAATTACAATATATAATTCAATATAAATAATTATATATAACAATATATAATTCAATATACAATATAAATAAATAAAAGGATGTCACATAGAGGAGGGAGAAAGGTTGTTTTCTGCTGCTCCAGAGAAGCGGACACGGAGCAATGGATCCAAACTACAAGAAAGAAGATTCCACCTAAACATTAGGAAGAACTTCCTGACAGTAAGAGCTGTTCGACAGTGGAATTTGCTGCCAAGGAGTGTGGTGGAGTCTCCTTCTTTGGAGGTCTTTAAGCAGAGGCTTGACAACCATATGTCAGGAGTGCTCTGGTGGTGTTTCCTGCTTGGCAGGGGGTTGGACTCGATGGCCCTTGTGGTCTCTTCCAACTCTATGATTCTATGATTCTATGATTCTACAAACATATTCAACCTTATATTTAGGCTTTTGCTCGTTTGGATTGACTTATAATGCTCTCCTATTCCATGCAGCTGCAGTGGAACATTTCCCTGCCCCCCTTCCAAGAATTCTGCCAATGGACCTGCCACAGCCCATGCCATAGCAGGGAGTTTAAATCACAGTAGATCACAGAAGCCTTTGCTGCACCAACCAGTTAATGACCTGCAGCAGATCCTGTTCAAGGGCAGCAGGAGTTTAATACTGAAAACATTCCTGAGCTCAAGGACTCACATGATTTAATAAGACTAAGCAGAAGATCAGACACATGCAAAAAGATCAGTTTTCAGAGAGCTTATTGTAGCGGCAAAAGGCACGGCTGATATTAATGTCGTCAGAGCACCAATGTCCTTGGATCTCCTCACTTTGGTAAATATTCTCTGGGCTGTTTGGGCTAGAGAGAACCCACATCTTCGCTATGCTTGCATTAATACACACCGGCAGTTACAGCTTCTTTTACATACATTCTCCCTCTTCTCAGGATGATAGGTTTAAATAGATATAATATTCATTCATATATATATATATATATATATATATATATATATATATATATATGAATATGAAGTGATTATTATAGAGATGTGGGGTAAACGAGTCTGTGCAATATCAGCAGAAGCAACACAACACGTACATACACAACGTTCTCAAAAGGAAAGAGCAGTGCCGGATTTACGTATAAGCTAAACAAGCTATAGCTTAGGGCCCCACTCTCTTGGGCCCCCCCCCAAAAAAATTTAAAGGAAAAGAAACACCTGGATGTACATTTCCAAAATATAAGATAAAAAAGAAATAAAATAAAACCCACATACAATAACTGTATTTTGTGTTGTGTAGACTCCTATTTGTTATGTGCAAGTGACTTTAGATACCTATTAGGTCCATAAATTACCATATAGCATATATTCAACACAAAAATATAGCGACAATTTGTTGTTGGCAAAGGACAGGTGGACATATAAAGGGTCCCATTACCTTCAGTAGCTTGGGGCCTCATCAAACCTAAATCTGGCCCTGGGAAAGCGTGACACTTCTATAGTGAGATGGCAAATTTGTGCATTTATTATTATTATTACTAAAGAAATAATATTTTGCCGAGAGTGAAATAAGGCAAGCAATGCTGTGGCTGGGTTATAGGACACAAGGAAATATTTTAGCTAGCGTTGTCTAGAGCGTTTGTCTAGGAACCAGGGAGACCGAGGCTCAAATCTTCACACAACCACAAAGCTCACTGCATGACTGTAGGGTAGCTGGGACATCTCACCCTAACCTAACTCACCGAGTTGTGGGGATAAAGCAGATGTGGGGGAAAGAGGCATACATGCTGCTGTGAGCTCTCTGGGAGTGGGGTGTGGGGTAGGATAGGACACAGATTTAACACACAAATCCGTCCAAACTAATTGCAGGAAAGTTTTACACAGAGAAACCTGATAGCACTGTGCTTGTTGGGGACAGAAGAACGGAATAGGTTCTGATGGGCAACAGCTTCCCCTGTGCTCTTTTCAGTGACAGTGGGGAAGACCTGTTGAACTGAACGGGTCGAGACACACCCTCGAGCGTTATTGTTTCCTACAAAAGCAGTGCACCACAAGCCTCATTCTTCACTGAGCGATGGGTTCTGTGCAGCAGGGGTAGCCCAGGTCTGTTGTAAACAAAATTGCCTTTTTCCTTATGGGGTATCCAAGAGCCCATATAGAGTCCTTACATAGGTTCCCTATTGGTAGGAGAGAATAACAAAGGCCAACCAGAGAATACTGAGAAGCAGAGCAGCTAGTAAGCTTGATCTTTATTGATCTGTTGCAACAGGGTGCTCCCATCACCCGCAAGAGAAAGGAGGGACCTAGAAAAATGGCGCGCAAGGCCTTATAAAGACTTTTGAAATTGCCACCCTGTAGATCAAGACCACCCCAGAAACATCATACATACATCACAGAAGGGTGTAACCTAAGACCACCCTCAGATACATCACACCTACATCACAAAAAAGGTGGTCTAAAACAGAACATTTGAATGTTGTTTTTCTCCTGTCTTTGTTTATCTCCTGTCTGGCAGGTTACTTGATTGGATTTCCTGGGTAGCCTGGCTAGTCTTTTGTAATGATAAATACTTAGTTCCTGGGCCATGTCACTGGTTCACACCCTATTCAAACACAGACATACCCTTAAGACAGGATTTGTGAAGGAAAAGACAATGGGGAGGCTTTTCCATTTTCCTTTGACCTTGCAGAGAAAACATTTGGTCAGTTTGGGACAGTTTGGGAATCAAAATGGTTCCAGGTCGGTCTTCCTGTGCTGATCTATGTATGTGCTTGGTTGGTACACTTATGAACATTTAACATATGTCTAAGACCATAAAATTCCTATCACACCGTCTCCCATCATCCTTGACCGCTGACCGTCCGTGTTAACTGGGGCTGGCAGGAGTGGGAGGCCAACATCACCCAGAGGTCACCATGCTACCTATCGCCACCACAAGCGCCTGCCCACAGCTGCCACAGGAAGCAAGGAAACAAGGCAACACCTGGTTTGGTCCTGAGCAACGCAATGGAAATTGAGCATACTGGCTTAGAGAGGTAAAAGGGGGTGGGGAAGAAACAGGAGCCTGGATCCAATAGAGTAGACCTGTTGAAATCAATGGATCCAATTTAGTCACATTCATTAATGCCAATGGGTCTACTTTGAGTAAAACATAGTGGAATGCCAGCCAGGGATTCTGGAGAGATGCCTTGGGACCTCAAGGCAGTCTGTGGGTTAGGAGGGGGAGAAAAGAAAGCCCCAGCCACGGAGACGTAGCCCTACCATCTCATGCTCCCCCAGGATGGACTCGAAGCCTTTGGGGCGCCTGTAGTCACTTTCCCACAGCTCAGCCAGGGACAGCAGCCTTGAGTTCCCATGGATCCCCGAGGTGCTCTGGCCATCGGGGCCCTTCCTGACGGGAGACAGGTCTTCCATGCCGGGAACGCACAGGAAAGTGCAGGGCACCACAAGGAGGGCACACGATAAACCCTCCTGCAATCTCCTAATGGGATTGGAGGGATAATCAGGGGGAGGGGCTTGGGTGCGAGAGCCAATCCCATCGGCACCTACGGATTACAGACACGCAGAGCAGGGAAGGGGGCTGGCCCCCAATGTCAAGAGGGGAGTCAGAAAGAAATGGAACTCAGAGGAAGGGTTGGCTCAGGGGTGCAACTTGAATAAAAAAAATGGGGGGGGCAGGTAAGCTCCACCTTGCATAATCAATTACAAGATATGGCTCACACACACCATTCATAGCTGTCAGCTTTTCCCTTTTCTTGCGAGGAATCCTATTCGGAATAAGGGAATTTCCCTTAAAAAAAGGGAAACGTTGACAGCTATGACACCATTTGAATGGCAATGCTCTCCGACTTTGGGAGGCCCGGGTCCCTCAAATATTTTTGGGGGCTGAAAGGACCTCATCCCCTAGGAGTTGGTTCCTCTGGGCTGACCCGAGACGTTTTGGGGCCTAAGGCAGAAAGGCCCAAGAGCACACACAGACCCCACCCAGGAGCCTGGTGCATAATCATCGGGAAATATTCCGACATGCACCATATTGAAGTGAATGGAAGCTGCACAGGGCTGCTGAGTTCTTGCACAGTTCCCGCTCATCTAAAGGGATCATGGGCAAGAGATCTTCTTCCCAGATGGTGGCAGGACGGCCTGGGCTCTTGGCCTCTGACCCATTCCACCCATAGGCTCCCCGGTCCTCTCTCAGTGTCGGGCACTCAACACCTAGAGTTCCATCGGCCGCCATCTCTTATCTCTCTCTCAAAGTGCAGCAGGGGAGAAAGGGATGCTGGTGAAATAGTCAGATCTGAGTTCAACAGGGCATGTTGGAGAGCAAAGAGTTTAAGGTGAGGGTTGTGCCTAGAGGGCCTTGAAAGTGACCAAGCCCCTGTCTCCCCTGGCCTTCCAGCTGACACTATGGGCAAAGTCTGGCAAACCGGGAGGGAGAGACACACATTGTGTTTAAATATAAACTTTAATCTTCCCTGTTCCGATCGGCTGATGAGATTAGCGTGGCTGGAACAGGACAGTGAAGAAAGAGGGCGTTGGCCAGCACCCAGTCCAGAGATCTGAACTATTTCCCTTCCTATTTCCTCCCGCCTCCTGTAGAGTTCAGGAAGAGTGGAAAGGGAGATGGGGGACATCACAGGAAGCTTCCTTGCTGTTCCCTGGAGATCCTTGGCTTCCTGGCTATGCTTCACACTCCCTGCTTCCTTGAGGGGCAGGTGATTCCAGGAGCAGCCTTTTTCCAATGGCAACTTTCTTGTGGGGATGGTTTCCTACAGGTTTGCTGCATTTTAATGAGGTGTTTTTATTCACTGGTGTTGAGCATGGAAAAGCACGAAGTACAAGACAGACAGTACAAGCCTGGTATTTGCTTCCAGCGAGGATGACCCTAAAGTAACAGATTGATACTCTGGCAGTACTCCAGTACTTCAGGATTCTGATAGGTCAGCAGAGTCTCAAGTAGCTTCTGCAGCTAGGAGTGCTTATGCCTAGCTAGCTTAGGAATGCTTTGCCAGCTACGGCTATTCCTAGACCAGGATAGTCCGGCCTCCCTTGTCCATGCTCTGATATGCTCCCACATGGACTATGGTAATGTGCTGTGTGAACTGCGGGAGGCAGTGGAAGACAGGAGTGCCTGGCATGCTCTGGTCCATGGGGTCACGAAGAGTCGGACATGACTAAACTACTAAACAACAACAATGTGCTGTGTGTAGGACTACCTCAAAGATGGTCTGCAGCAGCGGTCATCAAACTAAGGCCCGCGGGCTGGATACAGCCCACCAGGCTCATTAATCTGGCCCGTGAACCTTGCGAACCCTACCGCCAGCTCGGTTAGTCCCCGCGCTAAACAGGCGTGGCACAGAGGCCTTGCTACACAGAGACTGACTTCAGCGACGCAGCATGGCTTCTGATTGGCTGCAGGAGGTGGCCGAGCAGGAGAAAGCAGCGGCGGTGTGGAGGCTGCCCACGCCAGTGGCATTTGGGTGCTGCCCCTTCCTTCCCGCTAAGGTGGCCAAGCGGGAGGAAGCGGCCGAGGGGGAAGAAAGCAGCAGCGGTATGGAGGCTGCCTTCGCCACCCAAGCCAGTGGCATGGGCTCTGTGCCCCGCCGAGACAGAGGACGCCGATGCTGCCGAAGACAAGGCAGCAGCAGCAATGGCGGCAGTGGTGGCATGAGTGGCATAGGCAGGGAGGGGGCCTTTCAGGAGGGGGGGTACTTTCAGGAGGCGGTGGGTCCGGCTCCCCACAAGGTCTGAGGGACAGTGGACCGGCCCCCTCCTGCACACGGGTGCGGACCCCTGGGCTGGGGGCTGCAGGTGGTGCAGAATGCCGGATGGGACCCTGCGCAACAGATCCTGAAAGTGCTGCACTGGCTGCCAGTGAACTACCAGTCCAAATTCACATGAAGGCCTAAATGGCTTAAGACCCAGGTACCTAAAACAGTGCTTTCCATTTATGGAATGCTTTCGCTAGGGAGGTGCATCTATCTCCCTCATTACTGGCTTTCAGGAGATATTTTAAAACATTCCTGCTGACTCCAGGCATTTGATGACTGAAAGGCACTGTTCCGGGCAACCCTAAGCATACTACTACTGCTACTACTACTACTAATTTATTATTTATACCTCGCCCATCTGGCGGGGTTTCCAGGCACAATGTGCGACTCCTAACAGAATATTAAAAACATGATAAAACACCAGACATTAAAAACTTCCTAAATAGGGTTGCCTTCAGATGTCTTCTAAAAGTCAGATAGTTGTTTATTTCCTTGACATCTGATGGGAGGGCGTTCCACAGGGTGGGTGCCACTACCGAGAAGGCCCCCTGCCTGGTTCCCTGTAACTTGGCTTCTCGCAGTGAGGGAACCGCCAGAAAGCCCTCGGAGCTTTGAGAAGAAAGTGAGAGTTTCCAAGGCATGCTCTGGTTCATGGGGTCACGGAGAGTCGAACACAACTAAGACGATCAAACAAACAAACAAACAAACAAACAAACAAACAACAACATATCTATCTATCTATCTATCTATCTATCTATCTATCTATCTCTATCTATCTATCATCTATCTATCATCTATATCTATATCTATATCTATATCTATATCTATATCTATCATCTATCATCTATCTATCTAATCTATCATCTATCTATCTATCTCCATTCTTGCAATCTCCATTCATATAACCCTATTTTTTCCATGTTGAGAATCAAGGAATCAGAGTGGAGAACAGAACAACCTCAGATCTGGAGAGGACGAGGAAACTGGTTTACCGTTGAGTGCTTCCAGTAGTATACGATCTCCTCCATGTTCTCCAACGGGTTGAGGAGGAAGTGGTCTCGCCACTCATGCCAGTCAATGGTCATGGTGCCATCCTTGTCTATGCTGCAACACACACAAAACAGAGTAGAGTGAGTCTGAAGGGGGGGAGCCAGTGTGGGCTAGGGCACACTGAGACGGGGGGGGGGGGGGTCAGGGAGGTGGGAGTTCAAAGCAAGCGTAGTGACAGCCTCACCTGTGCAAAATTTTCTCCGCTTGCTGCAGGGAGATGTAAACGCCAAGGCTGTGGAAGGTTTGCTGGATCTCAGACACGTCAATGTGGCCTGCAGCACAAGAAGAGAAGAAAAGAGGATCCATCTGTCTGGAGGAGCCAGGGTGCATCTTAAGCTACTGATGGGTTAGGAGAAGCTGGGGAACCAAGAGGGTTCTACAGGGTCCCCCAATGGGAGGAAGTGAGATGTGCCCACAGCTTCCTGGGCTGCAGACCTGCAGACGGGCAAAAGGACCCAGTGGGTTTTGAGGGACTTCTTGAAAGGGTGGAAGTGGGAGGGTGAAGGGGTAGCAATTTCGTTGCTGGACCAGGGGTGCATGCTGTCACGGTGGGGAGGGAGACACCATACAAGCAGCCATACCAGCCTTCAGGATTCCCACACTGAGCCCCCTGCCGACGTCCTAAATGGAAGAGAGACAGAGAGGGCTACAGAGGGGGGTGCCATCACCAGAGGAGAAAGAAGGAAGCCTCCTACAGGAAGGAAGAACTCCCCAATATTTACATCTCAGAGATGCTGTTGTGTGCGCACACACTGGAGAGGACTATTGCTAACGTGGGGACATGAAGCAGTAAGCATAGTCAGAAGAGGGTACCAGGCAATGAAGAAAGCTGATGATGATGATGGTGATGATAAAGGTAAAGGGACCCCTGACCATTAGGTCCAGTCGTGACCGACTCTGGGGTTGCGGTGCTCATCTCGCTTTATTGGCCAGCGTACAGCTTCCGGGTCATGTGGCCAGCATGACTAAGCCACCTCTGGCGAACCAGAGCAGCACACGGAAACGCCGTTTACCGATGATGATGATACATTATTATTATTATTATTATTATTATTATTACCCCACCCATCTGGCTGGGTATCCCCAGTCACTCCGGGCGGCTCCCAAGAGAGTATTAAAAACAAGATAAAACATCAAACTTTAAAAACTTCCCTAAATAGGGCTGCTTTCAGATGTCTTCTAAAAGTCAGATACAGTCATACCTCGGGTTGAAGCAGCTTCGGGATAAGTATTTCCGGGTTGCGCGCTGTGGCGACCTGGAAGTAACAGAGGGTGTTACTTCCGGGTTTTGCCGCTCACGCATGTGCAGACGGTCAAAATGACGTCACACGCATGCGCAGAAGTGGCGAATTGCGGCCCGCGGACACGGGTTGCATTTGTTCTGGATGCGAATGGGGCTCCGGAACGGATCCTGTTCGCATCCAGAGGTACCACTGGAGTTATTGATCTCTTTGACATCTGATGGGAAGGTGTTCCACAGGGTGGGTGCCACTACCAAGAAGGTCCTCTGCCTGGCTCCCTGTAACCTCACTTCTCACAGTGAGTGAACCGCCAGAAGGCCCTCGGCGCTGGACCTCAGTGTCCGGGCTGAATGGTGGGGGTGGAGACACTCCTTTGGGTATACTGGGTTGAGGCCGTTTAGGGCTTTAAAGGTCAGTACCAACACTTTGAATTGTGCTTGGAAACGTACAGGGAGCCAATGTAGGTCTTTCAGGTAGCCCTCCCTATAAAGTTGGACTGCAACTCCCATCATCCCTGACAACTGGCTGTAGTGGCTGCGGCTGATGGGAGTATGAGTCTAACACCAGCTGGAGGACTGTAGGCTCCCCATCCCTGCTTCGGATGCAAGCAAAACCAGGAACTTTCTGCAGGTACAGAACACTATTAATGCCCGCAGCTGTGTTTATTATACAGCTGTCCCTGTATGTATACAGCTTCACAATTAACTTTATTCTACCTGGAGATATAGAAGAAGCAGGAGCATTCATTTTGCTAGGAAAGCACAGGGTAGGAAACTTCCTCACCAGGAAATCCTGATTAAGTTCAAACTAACTGATGCTGCCAACAAGTACTGTAAGTCAGAGTCTGTCGATTTCAGTCTCTCTGCTTCCCATTTTCCCCAAAGGCTATGTTTGGTTTGCCAAAATTCCCTATTGGTTTGCTGCAGTCAGTACGACAGAGGCAAAGCTTGAGGCAGGAATGCACAGCATATCCCAAAGGAGGCCTATTTAAAGGGGGGCGGATAAGAAAAAGACTTCACTTGGCCCCTGGGGTCCAGATTAAAAAGAAACTGAGAGATTAAGCTCCGAATAAAAGAGAGGTATGTTGCTTTAGTAAGATACAACAAAATGAAGCGCTCCCCGAGGTTTCCAAATGCTTGAAGAAAGCACAGTGTGTGACTGAAATGGAAAAGCTGGCTGTTCCTGCACAAGAGAGAGGTCATTTAACAATTTCATCAAGAATGATCACATTTGCCCAAGAGATTGGAAAGAATAGTGTATCAGAACTTTGGTAGCACAAAATGTATTATTTGCATTCTGAGTATTAAAGAGGCGCTGCATTGCTAAGTGTCCCTTCCTTGCATGCTTTCAGCCTCTGAAATGTGCTTGCTCCTAGAAAGAGAAAGCGCTGCTCACTGATTCTACTTTTGCCCTTGTTGAATAGGTTCTGTATAGTTTCAAAACCTGCAAAGCCTGTTTGGCCAGAGGTGAGCAGAGGACAAAATAAACGCATGCCCTGTGTATATCTTGGCAAGCAGTGCCTCTCTGGCAGAATGTGGATTTAGATCTTCTGCAATATAGCATATTAAAAGCCTGACCTTAAGCTACAGAAAAACATACTATTTGTAAGACACCGCTGTTTTACTAAATGCAGGTGGACATTGTCTAAAACAAGCACAACAGGGATTTGTCGGACTGAATTTATAAGAGTTCTTTTGGCCCTCCATTAGAGTGCAGAACTGTATCAGTTCTGTCCAAAAAGCTCAGTATTTCACTAAGTGATTTCCTAAACTCTGGAAAATAGAGGATCATAGAATCATAGAGTTCATAGAATTGTAGAGTTGGAAGGGACCACAAGAGTCATCTAGTCAAACCTTCTGAAATGCAATAATTTTTTGCCCAGCGTGGGGCTGTAACCCACAACAACCCTGAGATTAAGAGTTTCATCCTCTATCAACAGAGCTATCCCAAGGAATCAAGTATTTCCCCCTATCTACCTGAAAATTGCTAATTAATGTGTTATTGGTTTTGCATTAATGGCTTTGCATTTGTGGTTGGCTTTAGACAATAATATATGGGACTTTCATATGAAGGACATATAATAAATCTGACAAAAACAACATAAAGGCTGCTTCCTAATTAATCAGAGGAATCTTTTTAGTCACCTACATTTTAGCCCAGTTAGGTTAACTGACTAATTGTTTAAACTTTTGAGTCCTAATAAAAGTGTGTGCCAGTGTTCTGGAAGATGCTCAGGTTCAGGCTTTGGAGAACATCCAGGGTGTTTTACAGTGGTTGAAGTTTCTGAACAGTCATCTAGGGCAGCCCTGAATAACCTTATTGCCGTTGTCTAGGCTCAAAGCTTTAAAGGCAGGGAAAATGGCTGCCTAGGCTGCATCCAAATCCACTGGATTATTCTAATTTTTGTTTCTGCATATTGTTAAGTCCAACAAGCAGCAGCACACATATTTTTGGAACCTAGCTTAAGAGAGATGTGCCTTCTCTAGCAATTATCAGCCTACAGTTGCCTCCACACAAATGTATACACACACAGTGTAAAAGGTACACTGGATAACCACAAAGGGCACGGGGCAATGAGAAATCCTGAAACTACTGCAGGGTACTGTTGAATGACTGCTGGCTAATGGATCTTTAATAGCCTCCATTTGGATTTGGGCCAAAATCAAAACATCTCCCGGAAACAAAACAAGATCATTATCCACATTATGGTTGTTAGTTTAGGTTGGAGGCTGACCATAGTTTCTTCAGTTGAAGGCAGTTTGAAAGAGGGAAGCAAAACTTTACCCAACCACTTCCGACTTTCTTTAAATCAACAAGCTGACTCTGGTATTGTGTGTGCACAGAGTCCATACCCTCCAACATTTCTCTGATGAAAATAGGGACGTCCCATTCCATAATGATATTTTTACTATTTTATACCCCACATATCTTACTGGGTTGCCCCAGCCACTCTGGGAAGCTTCCAACATCTATAAAAACATAATTAAACATTAAAAAAAACTTCCTTGTACAGGATTGCCTTCTGACGGCTTGGGGGTTGAATAACTCCATACCCTCCGACATTTCTCCAGTGAAAATAGGGACATCCTAAGGGAAAGTGCTATGGTTTTCCCAGTAGTGATGTATGGAAGTGAGAGCTGGACCATAAAGAAGGCTGATTGCCAAATAATTTATGCTTTTGAATTATGGTGCTGGAGGAGACTCTTGAGAGTCCCATGGACTGCAAGATCAAACCTATCAATTCTGAGGGAAATCAGCCCCGAGTGCTCACTGGAAGGACAGATCCTGAAGCTGAGGCTCCAAGACTTTGGCCACCTCAGGAGAAGAGAAGACTCCCTGGAAAAGACCCTGATGTTGGGAAAGATGGAGGGCACAAGGAGAAGGGGACGACAGAGGACGAGATGGTTGGATAGTGTTCTCGAAGCTACCAGCATGAGTTTGACCAAACTGTGGGAGGCAGTGGAAGACAGGAGTGCCTGGCGTGCTCTGGTCCATGGGGTCATGAAGAGTTGGACACGACTAAACGACTAAACAACAAGGAAAAGTGGGATATTCTGGTATCAAATCAGAAACCAGAACAGCTTCACTCAGTCAGGGACATCCCTGGAAAACAAGGACACTTGGAGGGTCTGAGAGTCTGATGAGTGACCCCACGAGTAGTGGACAACTTTTTTGTATATTTAAAGGAACAGTCAGTTGTTCTCTGTGCTCTTGTTCTCCCCCTCCTTTTTTCCATTCTGGTGCCTTTCTTCTTATTCTTTCCCTTTGGGGCAATATTACAGATGTCTACTGCATGTTGCAGAGTCAGCCAAGAGTTGCAAGGTCACAGCAGGACAGGTGGGATCAGATGGGCTTATGATTTATTTAATAATGGGACAAAGGGTTGTTTCAATAAGTCTTTTGAGCTGTGCCTCTCCCCACCCCCATCTCCTATGAGTCTTTAAACCTGTGTTTTTGGTTTTTTTAAAGGAACAGACAGATTAATGGAGAACAAGGCTATCAGTGGCTCGGAACCTCTGTGGCTGTATTGTATACCAGTTGTCAAGAATCACAAATGGGGAATGGCTGCTGCCTTAGGCATCTGATGCCTTAGGCATCCCTTAGGCATCTGGTTGGCCACTGTGATACAGGATGCTTCACTACACGGGCCTGGGGGCTTTTTCTATCTCCAAGTAGACAGAACTGCCCATTTATGGCTTCTGGCCCTCTCCCCGGAATTCTGGCTAGGCAGGAAGACTCGCCAGACAGGAGATGCAGGTGGTCATCTTGTTGAAACAAGCCCCCTTCAGACATGTTTTGGAAGAAACGGAATAGTTTTTGAACTGATTGTACTAGATGCGGGAAGGAGAGACTTGGCAAAAGCAGCCCGGTGCATTCCAGATTTTTGTCGGACGCCACTAGGGCTTGCAGCACTCACTGACTTCGTGGTCTGTGCTCTCTCCAAGCTTTCGGCTTTGTCCCAAACATTCACCCGCCATCTGGTACGTTTAACAGCCCACTTTTCAAGTCTACCCTGTGCTCTAATGGGGCTCTGATTCAGAAGCAGCAGGATCGCCAGTGGTGGTTTTTCACGTTGCCTCTCCTCCCCTGCCTTTTAACAGCGAGCTTTGCCCCTCAGCGCCTGTGAAAGCTTCGCCTGCATAATGTCTGCCTTTCAAAAGGCAAGACTGGTTTACTACTGTATAGCTGTGAACCCAAGCTGTAAAACTTTACAGTGGTACCTTGGGTTACATACGCTTCAGGTTACAGACTCCACTAACCCAGAAATAGTACCTTGGGTTAAGAACTTTGCTTCAGGATGAGAACAGAAATCATGCTCTGGTGGCACGGCGGCAGCAGGAGGCCCCTTTAGCTAAAGTGGTACCACAGGTTAAGAACAGTTTCAGGTTAAGAACGGACCTCCAGAACGAATTAAGTACTTAACCCGAGATACCACTGTACATGAAATCATAATCAGAGGAAAGGGGGGGGGGAGGAAAGGCTAAGAAGGAAGACCCCAAAGTAGTAGGAACACATATATTCCCCATGGCCCCATGGCAATTTCCACTTCATAAAAAAGGTCATTGCCAGTCCGTTGTGGATTGTGAAGAGTGTGACCCTCATTCCTGTTGCAACAAAGAGCCCTTCTCTCATCTCCTCAAGCATCACTTGACACATTGTCAAGGGCATTTTCTGTCCCCGTGTGGTGGTCATCCTGTATATGGAGGGGGTCTTATCCCATGGAGAAGTGGGAATCAATCCAAGTGGATGTCCACTCTGTGTACTGCATACAGCCATTGAATGCGGCCTTCACATGGCGGCTGTAATATGAAGCAGAAGCAGACTCAGCCAGAGGGTCAGATACTCAAAGACTTGGCGCACGCGTGCGCACTCTCTCTCTCTCTCTCTCTCTCTCTCTCTCTCTCTCCATGTGTAGGTTCCTTGCTTGGCCAAGTCTGGGAGCAACTCAAAGCTTAAGATCATAAACCACCCTCACAGTGCAAGGTGAACACACGAAAAACTCACTGTACAAATATTAGCTTCACTCATGTGATCCACCTTCCACCTGCTCTATCTTCCACAGGAAATGCTGTTGAGGCACACAAAGTCTCCAGGTGTATGACTGAGGCCTTTGTATCCCTCTGCCCTATTTGTGGAGGGTGGGGGCAGGAAGAATGTGGACAATTCAGGGCTTGCTGTCATGCCCCCACGATACAGAGGACTTTGATTCCAGGGCCAGATATGAGCCAGCTCTAAGATGACTTGCTAAACCAACCAGTCCCCAAGCTGGATCAGTCCCTTTGGAACCTCCACTAATGATGGCAACCTTGGGCCTGAAGGGGCCAGATGAGAGCCTCTCTAGCCACCCCCTCAGGACTTTTCCTCCCTCACACACCCCGTCTTCCCAGGTCACGTGCCTCAGCATCCCTGCTTTGCACCCTCCTTGAGTGCTTTTGCCCGGTTAAAATGTGTCCTTGAACTCTGACAATGCCTCTTGCTTGAGGACAGGGCCGGCCCAGCCATGAGGCAAGGTGAGGCAGTTGCTTCAGGGCAGCAGGCTCCAGAAAACTGGGAGAAGTGGCAGATCTGCCTTCTGCGCTTGTCGGCCCCCTCCTCCTCTGCCCACTGCCACATGGTGGGGGGGCAGGGGCATAAGAGCGGGTACATGACTGGCACACAGTCCCCCCCCATTTTCTGGTTTGCCTCTAGTGGCAAAATGTCCAGGGCCCCACTTGAGGAGCGTGTGAAAACCAGCCACCTGGTACAAAGGTAAATTGACATTTCGGGCTTTGCCTATTTTTGGCTCTGGTCCTTCCCACCACAGGGATTTGGTGCCCTGAAGGGAACGTGAAGAAGGTACCCCTCTCCTGGCTTCCACAAGGATCATGCGCCATGCCTCAGAGTATAAGACACAGGCCTGGGAGTTCGCTCTGACTAGGCCAGAATGGGAGGAAAAGGCACCCGTGCAGAGTCTGGCATTCGGGTGCGTCTCATGCATCTATCATTTACAGTCATCTGGTAGGAATTGGAAAGAGCTTCAGGAGGCAAGGCCACCCACTCCTTGGGGCAGAGACTGCCAAGGAGGGAGGCCAGCCATGCCTGGGTTTTGTCTTGGAGCCGTCAAACAGACGTCCTTTATTCAAGGCTGCGGAACAGAACAGGCACTTCCCGGCTCTCTTCAGCCTCACGGAACATAAATTCCTACGCTCTTTATCCCTGCGCCTCCATCTTTTCTGACATGCAGCTAGCACAAGTGAGTCCCAAATGGAGGAAGTTATAGGTCATTATTCGATCTGCGTTTCTTAACTGGTCCCTGCAAGGAATGCACAGCATGGCCCACATTTTAAGGCACACTATCTGGAGTTGGGGTGGGGAAGCTTGTGCAAACTGAGTTAAGCTGATGATAGGCTAAAAGGAAATAGGAAGCTTTGCAGTTAGGTCTTCTTGTTCCAGGATTGGGGTGGGGGGCCCAGGGGGAGGGGAAGAATAGTCATGAACCTCCCCGTGACTGGTATAGCCTTGTGGATGGCAGGATTCAATTCTAAAATATTTTACTTTCAACTATCATCAGCCAGAGAGAATTTGCCACAATTTAAAACATGGTTACACTTAACTGATGAGTTCCTGGCATTTGATTTCTTTATTTTTCATTAAAGTAAATCAGAACCTCATTTATTATTAAAAAAGAGGGGGGGGAGGTAGCCAGGGAGGGGTCTACCCAGTCTGTTGTGGGAGAAACAGGAAGGGGTGGGAAAGGGCAGGGTTTGCATGATTGTAGATTTAGTTAGGACAACCACTGTGGTGTAGGGGTTAGACTACAGCAGGAGTCAGCAACCTTTTTTAGCCATGGGCCAGTCCACTGTCCCTCAGACCATGTGGTGGGCCAGACTATATATCTTGGGGTGGGGGGAAATGAACAAATTCCTATGCCCCACAAATAACCCAGAGATGCATTTTAAATAAAAGCACACATTCTAATCTTGTAAAAACAAGCTGATTCCTGAACCGTCCGCGGGCTGGATTGAGAAGGTGATTGGGCCGCATCCGGCCCCTGGGCCTTAGGTTGCCTACCCCTGGACTAGAGTGTCAGATTAGGACCAGCCTTTCCTTTGTGCACTCATAATGTATTGTGCTCAGGATGGTAACAGGGCAATTACATGCAATTCCACTTTCAATACTCTTTGTACCTGCAAAGGTTTCACGGTGACCATACCGCTTCATTTCCTGTCATAACATCCTAGCCACCCAGAGTGGCCGGGGCAACCCAGCCAAATGGGCGGAGTATAAATAATAAAAATTATTGAAATTACAGATTATTCCTGCTGAAAGCCTGTAGCTTTTTATACCAAAAATGTGTTTCGTTCCGCTTCTCTTGCCGCATAGCTCAAGAGTGTCCCTCCGGACAGCAATAAAGCAGTAACGCTGGGGGGACATTGCAGAACATCCCACAAAGTGAAATTATAGGTGAATGGTTCAGAGTCAATCTACTGCTAATCCAGTGCATCAATGGCATGCTGTGGATTATACCTGCAAAAAACAACAGTCTGAAGGAGTGCTCAATTCTGTACTCAGCCGTGAAGCAAACAAGGGTCAACTTGGGCCAGTTACCATCGCTGAGGATAGCCTACCTCACAGAGTTCTTGTGAGGAGAAACTGGGGAAGGGGAGTTCTATGCATGCCACCTTGTGCTTCTCAGAGGAAACACGTTATAGGAATTCTAAGGTCATTCAGAAATGTACAAGGCAAACACATATCTAAGTATATAAACCATTTGTCTGAAATAGTACAGGAGAACAATCCTGAAGCCATTTTGACTCTCCCAAATTGGCCTCAAATATTTCTCTGCAAGGAGGAAGGAAATGGGAAAATCTTTCCAGTTGTCTTTGGACTGTAGGGGCTCACACCTCCCTGTAAATACAGTCTGACAAGTATCTGTTAAGCTGAGCACACTATCAATATGCGTAAGAGATTCAGGAACTAAGTATTTACCATCTCAAAGGAATGGCCAGGCTACCCAGAAAAGGCAATCAAATATGGCATTATCAGGTATCCTGGCAGACAGGAGAGAAGCAACACACTCAAATTTCTGCTGGGGACCACCTCTTTCTGTGATGCATGTATGATGTTTTATGGGGTGATCTTGAGCTACAGGGTAGGCAATTTCAAAAGTCTATATAGGAGCTTGCACACCAATGTTCAGGGTTCCTCTCCTCCCTTCCTGCATGGGGGGAGTGAGGGACCCTGTTGCAACAATTTAATAAAGATCAGGCTTACTAGCTGCTTTGCTTCTCAATTTTCTCTGGTTGGCCTCTGTTATTTTCTCCTACTGATAGAGAACCTACTTAAGGACTCTATACGGGCTCTTAAAGGGACCCCGGACCATTAGGTCCAGTCGTGGCTGACTCTGGGGTTGCGGCGCTCATCTCGCTTTATTGGCCGAGGGAGCCGGCGTACAGCTTCCAAGTCATGTGGCCAGCATGACTAAGCCGCTTCTGGCGAACCAGAGCAGCGCACGGAAACGCCGTTTACCTTCCTGCCAGAGCGGTACCTATTTATCTACTTGCACTTTGATGTGCTTTCAAACTGCTAGGTTGGCAGGAATACGGGCTCTTAGATACCCCATGAGCAGTATTTTTCTTCTAACACACAGGATGCAAATGTAACAAAGTAAGTGAAAGTGTGTTTCAGGGAAAGCAGCCAAGTCACAAGGAGTCTAAAGGGTATTTGTATCAACATCTTTACAAAACTGGTTTTCGTAAGCCTCCCCGAGAACCTTTTGGCCTCAAGAAGGGAGTACGCATGCCATAAATAAATAAAAGAACAAGTGAGCAAATAAGTTTTCATTCCAGGCTGCAGCAGAAGCAGCTGGAGGTGCTTTCATACCATCATGGTTGCGGTCCAGGCTGTGAAACATCAGCAGCAGTTTGCGTTCGCGCTCCTGGAGGTAGCGGGCAAATTCCTCGAAATTAAGCTCCCCGTCATGGTCTGTATCACCCTCTCGTAGGATATCCTGCAGGCAGGGGAAGTAAAAGTGGGTTTTAGAAGGCGAGCACTGAGTTGCAGTCTTAACAATGCAGTCCAAAGAAAGGGAGAAGCACTGTTTTAGAACCTCTGCAAAGGAACCGCATGAGGGAGATATTCTACTAGGTGGCTGTTCGTTGGATTACAGAACTCAGCCTACTTCTTGCACCATAGATGATTAACTTTACCTGTGGATGTTGGAGCCGAGACAATATATAGCTGACGAGAGACGTAGGTGGGGAGGCTTATATTTAAGGGGTGCATGTATTTATTTTGATTGTAATAATTTGCACAGGTACTTGAGATAATGGGTGCAGATGCCAGAGCACACACCATTAGGAATTAGTGCGTCTACGTTGATTGGGTGGCCATGAAAATACCACAAATATATTCTGTGCATTTTGGTACAATGGCATGTAACTTTTGACAGAGCACTCGTGTCCAAGTGCTTCACATATTGTATCTTATTATAATCCCTGCAACAAACTGGCAAGGTAGGTTTATCATCCCCCATATTGCAGATCGGGGGTGGGGCAGGGCGAGGCTGAAAAGGAAAATGACCTGCTTATTGCCACAAATAGCAGAGGTGAGATCTGAACCGTACTTCCTGACTTGTGGCTTTTCCCTTTGGCACTTTGCCATACTGGCTTTCGTGAGGTCAGTTCAAAAGAGTGCGAGTGAGAGTCTGTAAAATATAAACAGAAAATGCATCCGAGAAGGCGTCCTCCTGGCACGCCAGTTTTCTAAGTAGAAGGAATTGCTTCTGTGTGGAAGAGCACCCCATCACCAGTGGGCTGGAAGTGGTTTGGCATTCCTAAATATGGTGGGCAGGAAGAGGGGGAGAAGGAAGTCCTTTGGGATCAGAGACCTTGCTGGAAAGTCTCTATGGAAAGCAGGGGAGGGCATATTTGGTGGCAACATCACCCATTAGTCCATGGGTAGGCAAATTAATCGCCTTCTACCAGTAAATCCAGCCCACAGACAGTCCAGGAATCAGCGTGTTTTTACATGAGTAGAATGTGTGCTTTTATTTAAAATGCATCTCTGGGTTATTTGTGGGGCATAGGAATTCGTTCTCCCCCCCCCCAATATAGTCCAGCCCCCCACAAGGTCTGAGGGACAGTGGACCGGCCCCTGCTGAAAAAGTTTGCTGACCCCTGCGATTAATTTGTTCCCCCTTACACTCTGTCTCACATATTTTCACCGATCGCTCTCACTTGATATATGTTTGTCTATGAGCCAAGAGGGTTAGATTAGAAGAAACATGAGCCCGAAAATCATTTAACTGGACAAGGCCAAACAAACTTGTTGCATGTTTTCTCTCTCCCCCCACCCTCTCACACAGCCATGCTGTCCTCTGCTTGGCCCTTTAGCAGGCTCTGTCCTTCTTTTATTCTCGTTCTGAAGAGGGCAGGTAACATGATAAAATTCCCTTGTTTTAATTTAAGCAGCTCATAATGCGGGAAGATGTTCCGAATTCTTACTGAAGCCCTATTCAGACAACACATCAGTGGATTCAATGGCACAGGGGTGGGTGGGATCACGCCATGTGCCTCTTTTACAAGGCTGTTCTAAGCTTCAAAAGAATGCATGGGTGGCGGAGGGCTAATGGGAGTTAAGCGTCCAAGAATATATGGAGGGCTGCAGGTTCTCTGGTCCTGAGCAAAGGTATGAATTGAAAATGCTGCAAAAGGTTTTGAAGGTTGTGGACCAACATAATACACAATTTTACCTCCTCTGATACAACAGGAACAGGGTAACGTTCAATAAAATGCTCTTTGAACTAGGCGGGCATCTCTTGCGCAATGCATCTTATGCAATAAACACAGGAGAGAAACTATATTTACGTTCAGGACTTCCAGGAAAGCTTCAGCACTGGCTTGCTGGAGTCTAAACCAGAACAGTTAAGAACAGTTAATGAGAATCTAGAAACAGAGCACCACCAGGGACCTTTTTTATCTCCAGATACCATCTCATGAAACTGTATCTTCACAGCAAATGTCACATTATTAAGAGCTGTGCCTTTTCCTTGATGTTTGAAGCTGGTGATGTTTGCCTGCCTTGCCAGCTCCTTCTTTGATCCTATTTTTCCTGTGGCAGTTCTTAACATTCTGAATGCCCAAACTTTCAACTCCTTCTGCAGACTTTCTCTTATTGTTCTCTGCTGCTACAGTGGTACCTCGGGTTAAGAACTTAATTTGTTCTGGAGGTCTGTTCTTAACCTGAAACTGTTCTTAACCTGAGGTACGACTTTAGCTAATGGGGCCTCCTGCTGCCGCCACCACGCGATTTCTGTTATCCTGAAGCAAAGTTCTATTTCTGGGTTAGCAGAGTCTGTAACCTGAAGCATATGTAACCTGAAGCGTCTGTAACCCGAGGTACCACTGTACTTCACACAGCAACCTCTTTTCCTCGTTTACATCCCATGCCTTGTCCTTCCAGGCATCCTTCCTCCCCTTCAACACCAACTGAGTTGCAAATAACCAAAGCTCCAGATGGCAGCAAACTTAACATTTGCCAGAGGACCTAAGACCAGCAGTGGGTCCATCACCCTAAGGGCACTGCCCTTCTCATTCCACACAAAGCACCCAGGGCAGCTTAGAACAATGTGAGATTTCTCTATACTCTCCTTCTCTTTCAGATTAAAGCCTCTCCCTGCCCCCCCCCCCCAAATCCTGAATCTGGCACTGTATACGCATTATGCTTTCTTGTTACAAAAATATGGCCTAATAATCTGCAGAGACCTGGCACAGACATAATTTGATACATGAAGAAACCTGCCTAGATCATCCTGGCCTGCGATTAGTAAACTTCATAAAACTGGACTTGCATAAGAAACGCTCATTTTGCTCAGGTGACCAGTTTTCCATAGGGGGAGCCAAGGAATGAAGTTTGCGGGGGGGGGGGGAGGGACACATCTGCCCCCAGAGCACAAGGACAGGTATTTCTACAAGCCCAAGTCATGTCCCTTACTGTGCTCCATTCTGTGAATTGAGAATAGAAGCCAGGATTCTGCCGTTCATAGCGGAGTGGGTGTTTCAGTACGTTCCTATGACCAGCCAGGGCAGAACTGGGAGCCAGGCAGGGCGAAGGAATGTAAACACAGCAGTATGAAAATAGCTCAGCACCACGTGCTTTGAACAAATTTGTAGAAGCATTTAAGGGCTCAAGAGCAGAGCTTTTCACGCTGGGTACCCTAGTTCCACCCATCCTTCCATTCCAGGTTGTTGTTGTTTTTAACCACATGCTCTCCTTTCTACAAAACTGATCGGGTAGCACACAATTCCACATCCGTTCACTCAAGCCCTGCTTAACACATCATGGATGAAGGAAGGATTTCATAGCCTCGGGCGAAACAAGATGAAATATAAAGGTATTAGCATCAGGACAACAGCACAACTGGTGCCCCTGTGATGAACCCAGCTTCAGCATAGCAGCTAACACTGGTGGCTGTCAAAGAATGGCACCCTCTCCACTCATTTCATTCCCCTGCAGGGTAGATAGTGAGTCACCATGGATGCTACTGCCTGATGAAGGTTATGCAGAGACAGGATGAACAGTGGGTTGATGCTGCTTCTCCCTCAATCCCCAATCCTGAAGGTATTAAACTTTCCTCGCCGTGCCGAGTCCTGGGTGTGAAGAAGGGCCCTGAGCTGCCCACCATTTCCCAAAGGAAGCTCCTACAGCAAATTGGAAGCTACGCTGGACGTTCGGCTTCCGAAAAATGTTTGTAAACTGGAACAATTACTTCCAGGTTTGCAGCGTCTGGGAGCCGATTTGTTCGGCATCTAAGCTGTTCGGGAACCAAGGTTCCACTGTACAGCCATACCTCTGGTTGTGAACGTGATCCATGCGGGAGGCACGTTCGCAACCTGCAGCATTCACAGCCTGAAGTGCCACGTTTGTGCACGCGCATGACGCGATTCGGCGCTTCTGCGCACACTTGTGATGTCATTTTGTGCTTCTGCGAATGCGCAAGTGCCGAAACCCGGAAGTAACCCGTTCCGGTACTTCCGGGTTCGGTGTGGTCCGCAATCCGAAAACATGCAACCAGCAGCGTTCGTAACCCGAGGTATGACTGTACTTATTTAGTGCTACATTGAAAACAACCCTATTGAAACCAGTAAGGCTTAGTTTCTATGTATTCTTCCCTCTATTTTGCAACTGTGTGACTGCTTGTACTTTGCTTGTCATTTTAAGCAGAGCCAGTTTACAGGAAATGGTTACTGCATTCTGTGTCTTGGTGCCAAAGGCGTAAAAAAATCCCTGGGTGCACCGACCCCAATCCCCCAAGCACACACACTCACAGCTGAGAATGTGCTGCTACAGAAAAAAAAAACTGTAGCAAGTGTGGTATTAGCCCAAAAGGAGTTCTGCTGGGAGGAAGTATGAGGGGCAGGGAATGGGGGAAAACCACACTTTTCTAGATTCAGTTGCTGTTGGAAGCCAGGTCTCGGGGAAGTCAGCCACAGAGGGTGCTTTCAAGAAGCAAGTGGGGGATCGTTCCCTTCACCAAACCCCTAAAGAGCTTAATCCCTGACTGACCCATCTTCTGTGTGTGTCATGGCCCTGCTGGAGGACCCGCGCCCCCCCAATTGCAAGAGGAGCTGGAGGGCCCCCAAGGAAAATGCTAAGGAGCAGCAGGCCATGCCAATGGACAATGAGACAGAGCAGAGGGACTTGGGACCTTCAGAGATCACGACACAAAAGAGTTCCTGCGCAGAATTAGAGGTTGCGGCTGAGAAGCCTCCAAGTCCAAGAGATAAAAGATACAGATGCCAGAGCACCCACCAGAGGAACAAGGACTCTGGAATAAGATTTGTTCATGAGTAGACCAACTCCTCAGTCAGTCTGGATGGCTTGCAGCTATGCTCCAGGGTGGGTCTTTGAAAGCTTAAGGCAGTGATGGCCAAACCTGGCCCTCCAGCTGTTTTGGGACTACAACTCCCATCATTCCTAGCTAACAGGACCAGTGGTCAGGGATGATGGGAACTGTAGTCCCAAAGCAGCTGGAGGGCCAAGTTTGGCCATCACTGCCTCAAGGGTAAAAGCCCTTAGTTCCTTACAGCAGCTCCCTGAGCAGAGTTCCTTTACAGCCTGGCCTCTTGTGTTGTCCTGGTGTTTTGACCCTGGACTCCTGTTGGGCCTTAGTTTTTGAACTATCTGTGAGTGGACTTGGAACTGCTGGATTCAGTTGCTGCCACCACCGGCCTCCAGGAGGGGACCAACAAGGAGGAGAACATTGGGTGCCAAAGAAAAATGTTTTCATAGAAGTCATTATAAAAATCCTGGGCAACTTTGGAAACGTATAGGAGAATGAGCGTTTTGCTGATTGAAGCTTTTTATGGAGGTTCACTCCGGCAGCTAGTGGATCTCCTACAAGAAGATAGGACACAATAGGACACAGAAGACTGTATCCTATTTACTCTCCCTGCAAAGAAATGGCATTGGAGAGCAAGGACTGCAGCACTCTACCTCATGCAAGCTGTGCCAGCCAGCATGGACTACAGATAATTCCCACAACTAAGGGATAAGAACGGTTCCAATAGATTGACAGCATTTGGTGGGGTTGGTTTTTTCAGAACCAGCCAGAGGGCCTTCTCGGTAGTGGCACCCGCCCTGTGGAACGCCCTCCCACCAGATGTCAAAGAGAAAAACAACTACCAGACTTTTAGGAGACATCTGAAGGCAGCCCTGTTTAGGGAAGCTTTTAATGTTTAATAGGTTCTTGTATTTTAATATTCTGTTGGAAGCCACTCAGAGTGGCTGGGGAAACCCAGCCAGATGAGCGGGGTATAAATAATAAATTATTATTATTATTATTATTATTATTATTATTATTACTATTACTATCTTTGCTGGTCTTGGGAGACAAATAATGGGAGTGTGGGAAAGGAGGATGGCTTGGGATAATAAAAGTTCAGAGTCAGCAGCAGCCAAAGGATCTATCAGCTGAACAAACTTGATCTTTGTGCCACTACAGCCAACACAATCTGGATTGAGACCAGACTTTTCTTTGCAGCTTCCTCTTTGATGTCCCTCTAAACAAGGCGCTCACTGCTTTCAACTTAGGAAAAGCAGCAAAGCTGCTGCTGCTGCTGTGTGTGTGTGTGTGTGTGTGTGTGTGTGTGTGTGTGTGTGTGTTCTGGTTTCTCTATCCTTCAGCTATGGACAAAAACGAATCTGGAGACTGCAATTGGATCTCTCCTGGATCTCTCCTCAGTCCCCATGTAGCTACCATATCCTGTTTATGATGGTGAAACTGGATCAGTTCCTTATGTATGCACAGTGCAGGGGTGGGGGTGGGATAACATGCAGGCAGGTGAAATGTGGTGTGTGGACATGTAGACTGGGAAGGCTAGAGATGCCTCTGAGTCCACTTTGCCATTTAGTGGTCATACCAGGCCATGAGCCACCACTTAGAATCATAGAATTGTAGAGTTGGAAGGGACCTCAAGGCTCATCTAGTCCAGCCCGCTGCAAACCAGGAATCTGAGCTAAAGCATCCATGGCAGATGGCCATCCAACCTCCAAGGAAGGAGAGCTTCCCTTTTCCCTTTAAGAAGGAGCTGGTATTCCAGAGCTCCCAGGTCATTTCCTCATCTGTCACCAGGGACCTCCGTGACAGCAAAAAGGCCACCACAGACAGGTTAAAAATAACTGGGAGGGAGCCATGAGCAACCCTCTATTTATAACTGCCTGTGTTTATTTGGCTGTTTCAATCCCCAAGTCCGGCCCATTTGGCTTCCTGCCTTGGGCACTTTCACATTTCTGGTTACGTATGTGTAGGGACACCTTCATCACACACAGATACACACTCCAAAGGGTGGGGTTTTTTCCCTAGCAGGTATAAGAAGATCCTTTGCAACAAACCTTTCGGAGATCACAAACTTTCCCCACCTGCTGAGAAATCAGCTTTGGTTTGTGTGGAACAGGCATAGGCAAACGTGGCCCGCCAGATGTTTTGAGACTACAATTCCCATCATCCCTGACCACTGGTCCTGTTAGCTAGGGATGATGGGAATTGTGGTCCCAAAACACCTGGAGGGCCAAGTTTGCCTATGCCTGGTGTGGAAGGTCTTTTTCACATAGAAAGAGCGGATAAAGGGTTCAGAAAGCTGCGGTTCAGACCCAGCAAGCCATGTTCTCTAACTGGCCTTTCTTTCAGTCCCAGAGGCATGGGAGGAATCTATAGGTAGAGCTGATAATTTAGAGATACCCTTTTGTATTAAGAAAGAGGCTCAGAGGCTGTTGCACAATTCCTAAGAATGAAGTTGTGTCACATGATTCCTCACATCTGTGGACCCAGAATCTTTACTGTGGTGGTGGTGGGGAATGACATGCAGCAAAGTTTGTGCATATTTACCAGGGATGGCTGAAGATACCGTATTTTTCTGTGTATAAGACTAGGTTTTTTTCCTTAAAAATCATGACAAAATTTAGGTGGCGTCTTATACACGGGGCCATCTCCTCCCATTTTCTTAAATCTGAGTCCCCCAAAATAGGGGGCGTCTTATACATGGAGGTGTCTTATAGACGGAAAAATACAGTATTTTGTTGCCTGACGCAGAAGAGCAAATACAATACCTGCCGTGCCCATCAGGGTGCACAGTGCTCAAGACTAGCAAAGTTATTTTTGGCATTAAAGGCAGCTAATCCCACAAACACATCTTCACTGGTAGTAAAAATACAACAATAACAAACAAAAATAGATTTTCTGCCCTTTAACCTCATCCTGCCTAAATTGAGGCCCATCCACAATTGCTTTCTCATAAATAAATCCTACTGAGGATGGTGTGCCTTACTTTCAAGTAAAGACACATACAGGGTTTCAGTCTCCATCATTTCATAACTGCTTTCCATATTTCAGGGGAACCCTGGTATCTGACACAGGTTCTCAAAGCTCAGTCTTCCTGAAGTTTGGCTCAGTTCAAACCCTGCTGTGGCATGGTTTCTGGTTCAGACTTTATGAGGAATTGGGAGCTAGAAGCTTGAGGAGGAAAGGCAAGTTTCATACTGTTTGCATGGATAACATTTCTTCCCAACTGTGTATGCAGAAGGTTTCACCATCAAATGATGCTGAGTCCCAATACAGTGGTACCTCGGGTTAAGTACTTAATTCGTTCCGGAGGTCCGTACTTAACCTGAAACTGTTCTTAACCTGAAGCACCACTTTAGCTAATGGGGCCTCCTCCTGCTGCTGCGCCGCGGGAGCACAATTTCTGTTCTCATCCTGAAGCAAAGTTCTTAACATGAAACACTATTTCTGGGTTAGCAGTGTCTGTAACCTGAAGCATATGTAACCCGAGGTACCACTGTACTCAAGTAGGCTTTAAAGCACCAATGGGTGTGAACCCAACTGTGACTCTGCAGTTTCCTGTCTGCAGACTTCCTGTGCACAGGGGCGGAGGAAAGGGGGGCTACGGTGGGGGCGGGCCACCCCGGGTGTCACCACTGAGGGGGGTGACAAAATGCCAGGCGGCACTCACTGTGGGGTCTGCAGCGCACCTGAGCCATGCGTCTCTCCTGGGAGTGATGTGGTGGCTTGCGCGCCCGCGGGCTCCACGCTGCCCCCAATGGTCTGCCCACTGCCTCCCCCCCAGCTGTAGGGTGGCTGAGTGGGAGGAGGTAGGCAGAGCTCATGAAGGCCCTGCAGAACGTCCTGCCCCGGCTTGCCCAGCCCCATGGTGGCTGACCCTGCCCCTGGGCGCAGGGCATGTGCACTGTCCCAGGTGCCTGATCGGCTTGCTCTGCCGCTGCCTGTACATAATTCATTTGTAAGATTTGTGAGATAGCATATCCACATACTGTATTTTTCGCTCCATAAGACGCACCTGACCATAAGACGCACCTAGTTTTTAGAGGGGGAATGCAAGAAAAAAAAATTTTTTAAGGGAGCACTGAGCAGAGCCTCCTTGGGGAAAAGCCTCCAAGAGCCTCACACATGCTCCATGGGGCTCTTTAAAGGGAGCGCAGCTCTTGGCGGCTTCTCTGGGAGGTGGGGGAAGGGACTGAGGGGCTAAGCCAGAAGCTAGAACAGCAAGAGGGAGCACTGTGCAGCGATCCCTCTCGCTGTTCTGGCTTGTGGGACAGCCGCGCAGCCTGCACTCGCTCCATAAGACGCACACACATTTCCCCTTACTTTTTAGGAGGGAAAAAGTGTGTCTTATAGAGCAAAAAATACGGTAATTCAGAGTCTAAGGCAGATGTGGAAAGTCTTTGGCATCTCCAGGTGTTGCTGATCTCTCACCATCCCTGGCCATTGGCCATGCTTGCTGGGGCTGATGGGAATTGTAGTTCAGTGACATCTGGAAGGCCAAAGGTTCCTCACACCTGATCTAGGGAAGGGTATGTTCACACACTGAAAGTAAGCAGAGGTGGGAGTAGAACTGACAAGCTCCACCAACATTACACTGGCAAAAGTTATTCTTAGACGGGGCTGTGCAACAATTCTAAAACAGTAAGTAGGCCAACAACCTCAGTACATTCCTCCATATATGAGCATGCCTAGTCTTTGTGTGCATTTCTGTGAAGCACTTTCAGAAGGGAACTTCTTTTCCAGCCAGAGTGAAAGAGACAGATTGTCCCCCCCCCACACACACACATTAAGCAGTGGTTGAACCACATGGCTTACAAGGACCTTTCCAGTTCTATGATCACGGCATCCCAGGGCATGACAAGATCTTGAGGCAGCTGGTGGAAAATATGTGAAGGAAATCTGCTAATGAGCACACCTGGTTTGCACAATACCCCAGCATTTGATTCCAACGGCTTCAACAATGCATTCAGGAGCATTAAGGAAGAGGGATGCAAACCGAAAAGTGCATTCCAGACTGCACACACCATGACACCTCCCCAAGACAAACATCATTGCACAAAGGATCCTGGGGCACATATTATGGAGTGCAGCTGCGTGGAGTTTTTGACCTGTCTTGCACTCCATTTCTGTAGCCATTTGAATGCATGCTGAGGATAAACACTATTAACATTCCTTCCTCTTTGTAATAGCTCACATTTCACAACATTGTCAGAGAAATGGGTTATTGGCTAGTGCTGAAAATGGCATAACTTTAATAAAGCTTGAGTATAGCTCTCCTATCCCATTGGGTCTCTCTCTTCTTTCTTTCTTTCTTTCTTTCTTTCTTTCTTTCTTTCTTTCTTTCTTTCTTTCTTTCCTCATTTAAAATTGAGAAACTGAGATGCAGAAAACTGGAAGAATCTCTTGGGTTGCAATCTTCTATTCACGTACTGGAGAGTAATCTCCATTGAACTCAATGGGACTTGCTTCTGGGTAGGTGGGTATAGTATTGCACTGTCAGGCTACATTCCTAAATGCACATATTTCTGAATACATCCACTTTGCACTGTCAGTTAAGGTGGCAGAATTAGAAAGCGATATCTGTACTTCCAGCTGCCTCTTCCTCCTTAAGCCCAGAATTCACCAAGCTGCCTGTTCAAAGGATGAAAATAATTTTTGGGAAATTTGCCTACATTTCTAATGTTAGATTTTGACCTTGAGATGTCACCTCAACATTTTATGAGTTGTGTATTTTTACTTCAAATAGCGTGATTTGCTGAGACCTAGATGCTGGTGAGATCAATGCACTGGGTTATACCATCTTCTTGAATTTCTTTTTAGGCTGCTAGTTTCCTTGGCATCATACTCCAGCTTTTGTTTTAAAATACCGAATTCAAAATAAAGAATATGAGCTACCAAAGAGAAGTTTGGCTGCAAGCCAGTTGGTTGTGGAATTCCACTGTGTTGCCAGCTACCTAGCTCTCGTTTGAGAAGATAATCGTTGAAACAACAACAAATGCTTATCCCTTACATCAAGAATGGAGAATCTCTGCCCCTCCAGCTGTTGCTTGCCTCTAGCTCCCATCAGCCTCAGCCATCATAGTCAATGGTCAAGGAGAATGGGAATTGTAATCCTTGAACTTGCTGGACTCCAACTCCCATAATCCCTGACCACTGACTTTGCTGGCAGAGGGCGGTGGCAGTCCAACATCTGGAGGGTTTCAGGTTCCTCACACCACTGGAATTTGAGAGCCCAAAGTCCACCACTGCTGTTCCTTTTCACCAGTGTCTTCCTTCCATCAGAGATGAAAAAAGCAATAGATGTTCCCCATCCTTGGTCAATGGGACCATTTTTTATCATCCAAGTATTTGTTAATTCTATCAAGTTTCCCCATAGCACTTCTCTATGAAACACACACACACACACCATTTTCTGTGCCTTCACATCAGAGCCAGCTCATGCACACATTGAGAATTCATTGAGTGAACAAGCCACGGTAGGTTAACTTCCAAGCCACATGCGTCCATTGAACTCCATGTGAACTCAGTCCTTTTTTAACAGAGCCCTTCAGGTGAGGTGAATACCCTCAAACATTCTTTTCATTATCTGACAACTCAGCAAGTGAAGTCAGTGGATGCGCTTACTGGTCAGCAAAGAAAATACTGAGCAGCAACAGGCTCAGCACCGTTCTCCTGCGAAGTACCCCAGATATCTCTTCCCAAGGCATGAATGAAGATATCTCTTCATTACGGCTCTTTACACCAGGGGTGGGGAACCTGTGGCCCTCCAGATGTTGCTGGACTCTCAACTCCCATCAGCCTCTGCCAGCAGAGTCAGTGGTCAGGGATTATGGGACTTGGAGTCCAGCAAGTTCAGGGGGACCACAGGCTTGGCATCCCTACTTTAAACCTCTGCTCCTTTTCACCAGACTATTCCAAGCAGCAGAGCTAAATAAAGCAATATATCCACAGGCAGACACTTAAAGAATAACCACACAATGGTCACCCTGTGCTCTCTGGATGAAGGTACAGAGATTGCCAACGATGCATTAGCTAGCTGCTGCAAAATAACATCTGGAAAAGTACAGAAGACAGGCAGCAAACAACAAAAATACTTTCCTTTCACAGGAATAAATACAGTAATATGCATATCTTAATGGCAGTAGGGCAAATGATTGAGATAGTCATTGTTTTCTCCCAATGCTCCCAGAATTATAATTATATATTGCCCCAGGACTACCATTAACCATTAACCTGGATTCAACCTTGCTTGTTGGTCAATGGAAAGAATAGCTCATCAGGAAGTGGGTTTGGGTAGGCATATGGATTCATGGCACTGTTTGCTATACACTAGCCCAAAGGTGGTTAGCCTGTGATCCTCCAGTTGTTGAATTCCCATCATCCCTGACCTTTGGTCATGCTTGGCTGCAGAGCTGCAGCTATGGGGAGCGGGGCTAGCCAGGTATTTTGCTCCCAGTGAAGCCTGCAGAGGGGTGCCATTGAGGCTCCCAGCCTGTGTGTGTGTGTGTGTGCGCATGTGCCAAACTGGGTCTTTGACCATGGTGAAATAAAGCCTAGTTTCACCTCTGCTTGGCTGGAGCCGCTGGGAGTCCAGCGACGTCAAAGGTTAGCCCCCTCTGCAGCAGCATTTAATTGCCATTTGACTCCACCGTTTATTATTTTTCTCCCTACAACCATATACATATTCACAAACCTGACAACACTTTGTAAAGGTAAAGGTAAAGGTAAAGGGACCCCTGGCCATTAGGTCCAGTCGTGACCGACTCTGGGGTTGCGGTGCTCATCTTCCTTTATTGGCCGAGGGAGCTTCTGGGTCATGTGGCCAGCATGACTAAGCCGCTTCTGGCGAACCAGAGCAGCGCACGGAAACGCAGTTTACCTTCCCGCCAGAGCGGTACCTATTTATCTACTTGCACTTTGAGGTGCTTTCAAACTGCTAGGTTGGCAGGAGCAGGGACCGAACAACGGGAGCTCACCCTGTTGCGGGGATTCGAACCGCCGATCTTCTGATCAGCAAGTCCTAGGCTCTGTGGTTTAACCCACAGCGCCACCCACGTCCCTGACAACACTTTGTACATAAGTGTATAAAAAATAAAAATCCACAAAAGCTTGTGCCACAACCAGAGCCGGATTTAGGGTGGTGCGGGCAGTTCTCCCGCACAGGACGCCAAGCTGAGGGGGTGCAAAATTGAGAAGACCCATTTGGGGACCCCAAATTTTGGCCTTGCTCAGGGCGCCATACTACCAAAGATTACCAAAGCCCACCCCTACCATAGCAGTACTGTTCATCTTTAAAAGTGCCACAGACTTTCTGCTGCTTTTGCTGCAACGGACTTAACACAGTTCTCCCACTGCACAAAACAGGCAATTACTTAGAAGCATGTCCAAAAGCTGTATCAGCTGTCCTGGAAAGCCCAGTTCCTAATCCTCCTGAGTGCAGCGCACACTGCGGTTACCCTGCATATACATTCTGCACATGTTCAAAGGAATTTTTATTAGCATATTCCGCTTGTTGATCTCTGGCATTCAGTGTGGTTTCCATGACCCAAATTAAATCCTGCCTGGATATATGTGTGTGGGCGCACGTCCCTTTGCACTTGTCAGGGTGCAAAGAGAAGGCTTTTTGTACCTTTAATGCTTTGTACAATTTGGGGACGTGTGTGTGGCACCTGTCAGGGTGAGAAGCTGCTGCAGGTGAAATCCCCCACCTCCTAACAGATCCCTGGAAAAAACACAGGCGCCCTGCCCTCCTTCCTAGACCTGGCTGGAAGGCATGCGCCCACTTCTACGCTGTTTTGCCACTGCAAAGCGGGAGAAATTATTTTGTCACCGTTCTGACAACCGGGCGTGGGGGGGAGGCGGGGGCAGAGGGCTTTTATAGTGCCGGAATAGGAGCAGGGCTGACTCATAAGGAAAGCTTCAGTGCAATGCCGGAGTCGTGCGCGTAAAGGGGGCGGAATCCGTCCCGTTCGCCGGTTGTGCAAGACGCAGAAGGCCCCTTCCCCAGCCGCCGGGCGTGCAGCGCGCCCAAAGCAATCCCCCGTCCCCTCCAGCAGACGGCTCCCTTCTGGCGTCGGGAGAGCGGAGAAGAGGAGACCCCCCCCCCGGGAGAAAGGGAAGATGCAGAAGAGAAAGGGGCTCCATCGCCTTTGGGAAGTCGCCGCTTGCATCCGGCTTCAGCGGCACCGGCGAACATCCCCCTCCTCGATCCGTGCGCTTCCAGGGTCCAGCGGGAGCCCCGTCCGGGGGCCACCCACTTTGCAGGGGGTCTTTGGAGAGCAGGGGGCGGGCACCGCGTGCCACCCAGACGCCTGCGATCCACAGAGAGGTGCCCTGCGCCCCGAGGGTCTCCCCCCCCTGCGCCCCGAGGGTCTCCCGCCCTGCGCCCCCCTCCTCCATTTCCCCGGGGCGCCGCGGGCGCCTTCCCCGCGCTGGCCACCCACCTGCTCGGCGTGGGAGCCGGCGTTCATGCCCATCCGGGCCAGGCCCTGGCGGAGCTCGTGGACGTCCACGCGCCCGTCCTTGTTGGTGTCCAGCTGCTCGAAGAGGGTGGCCCAGCGCTGGTGTCGCTCGGGGTCCCGGGCGCTTTCGGCTGGGGGCGCCTGGCGGGGCGCCGCTCTCTCCCGGGGACCCAGCATCCTGAGTCTCACCGGAGCCCCGGCGGCAACAGGCGGGTCTTGCTGGCCGCGGAGGAGCCCGACGGGCCGGGGGCCACCATCGCGCCGCTGCCCGGCCTCCAGCAGCCTCGCTTCGCAAACGGAGACGCCTCCGCCGCCGCCCGCCCGTGCAAGGGCATTTAACCGACGGCTGCTTGGCGTCGCCTCCCTCGGCCGTTTCCTCCTCTCGCCCCTCCCCGCTTAGCGGGAGAAAACGGGAGGAAGGCGCGCTGCACGGGCGCCGAAGGGTTAATGCGCCTCCGGGGGCGGGGAAGGAAGGAAGGAGGGGGAGGGAGGGGGCCGGCCGCGTCAGGAGGGCTTAGGCGCTCCGCAAGCCAGCGCTCGGCAAATGCGCAGGATCCGAGCCGCGCTGCGGCGCTGCCTTCTCCCGCAGCGGCCATTCTGTCGCCGGGTCTTGGCTGCGCCTGCCCGAAGAAGCCGCCCGGCCTCGTTCCCTGCAAGGAGACTTTCCCTGCTGCAACAAGTCTTTTTATTATTATCGTTTTTAAATTTTCTATTTTTCAGGTTTGTACATTTCGCGGATTTCACCATCATTTTGACATTTCCAAACTTGACTTCTTTCTGCAGTTCCTCAAATTTGTTTTTAATATCTTCTGCATATCCAAATGAACTTAATTTGCTCATTTATTCATCTTCTTTAAATATATACTCTTATGAAACTGCAGGTTATTATTACAATAATCCTGCCAAGGTTCCTATCTGCTTACAATTTATCTGTAAATATTCAACCAACCATTTCCATTCTTTTATAAAAAGTTTGTTATCTTGATTTCTTATACTTCCAGTAAGTTTCACCATTTCTGCATATTCCATAAGTTTTTGTATCCATTCTTCTTTTGCTGGGACTGCTGCTTCTTTCCATTTTTGGGCTAGTAATATTTTTGCTGCTGTAGTAGCATACATGAATAAATTTCTATACATTTGAGGTAGTTCTGTCCCTATAATTACCAAAAGAAAAGCTTTCTGGTTTTTGTTTTTACAAACTTTATTTTAAACATCCTTTTCACTTCATTATGTATCATTTCCCAGTAAGCCTTAACCTTACTACATTCCCTGCAACAAGTATGCAGGCAGTGACTTAGAAGGCAGCTCCCACAGGGCTTCCTCCTCTCCAGGGTTCTGGGTAAGTGTGCGCGGAACTGCAGACAGGGCTGCAGATCAGGAGCTCAGAGAAACCTAAGACGAGCCTTCCTGGATCAGGCCCAAGACCCCACGTCGTCCAGCATTGTGTTCTCACTGTGGCCAGCTAGATGTCCGTTGCAAGCCTGTGAATGGGATGTGAGGGCTCTCGCTTGCGGCTTCCAGCAAACTGCAGGTAAAGCACAACTATGACGACTCACAGACTTGTTGAGTTGGAAGGCACCCCAAAGGTCATCTAGTCCAACCCCCTGCAATGACTCATAGCTCTCGATTGTCTTATCCTACACAGCTTTGCCGATTCACTTTTTAAAGGGTTGGCAGCCCTCAATACCCTGGCAATTTACATGCCATTTCTGCCGTGATCTCACAATGTGGTTTCAGGGGAGCCACTACTTAAATTTCAACTCTCCACTAGAGCATGTGAAACTGACCTCTACACAGAGTCTGACCACTGGCCCATCTAGTCCACTCTACTGTCCAGCAGTGGCTTAGCAAGATTTCAGAGAAGGATGTGTTCCACCTGCTATCCATGGTTTGGGGAACTGGACATTAGGTAGGTTCCCATTACAATCCCATCCCCCAACCCCAGCCCTACTTGAGACCTGAGAGGATCAAAGCCAGTTGAGATGTCAATAGTGGGAAAGGTGGCCAATGGTTTTTTTTTAAAAAAAAATTATTATTATTATTATTATTATTATTGAATTTATATACCACCCTATACCCGGAGGTCTCAGGGAGGTTCACCAGAACAAAATCAATATATAAAACCACAAAATATATAGAGTCATACCTCGGGTTACAGATGCTTCAGGTTGCGTTTTTTCAGGTTACGGACGCTCTGAAACCCGGGAAATACTGGAACGGGTTATTTCTGGGTTTCAGAGGTCGCGCATGCGCAGAAGCGCTAAATCGCGCTTTGCGCATGCGCAGAAGTGCTGAATAGCAACCCCTGCGTGCGCAGACACGCCGCTGTGGGTTGCGAACGCTATGGGTTGCAAACATGCATCCCGCACAGATTAAGTTTGCAACCCGAGCGTCCACTGTAAACAAAATGAAAACGACAACCCAATAACACACCCAGCCACCCACCCAGGTTGACACAGTATAAGGTTGCTGCTTCGGATCAAAGTTGCCCATGGATGTTTAAATGGGCTGGTGCCAGCTAGCAAGGGGAACTTCGGAAGTTTTGCTGTGTTGGATGTGCCACCAAGCTATAGGGCCCCTTTCCCCTGAACCCCTTTAGGCTCTCCTCTTTGGTGGCACTGTCACAACTGCTGGTGAGAAAGGCACCTTGTTTCATCTTCTTCTTCCTACTAAGAAGACTTGAGCGTTCTTGGCAGAGCAGAGGGAAGGAGGGTGGGTGGGTGGAGTGGTATCTGGAGACTGGATGCAACCCCGCAGCCCATGAAAGGCTAGTTCCTGCAAGCTCTGCCCACCGACTGACGCTAAAGATAATCTCTTCCTGTGAATTAGCAGTACGCAGGTTTTCGTTTTTTTCTCCTTTTCTACCCCCTGCCTGTTGCTGTCGTTGGAAGTGTCGTAAGCATGGCGAGGTTTAATTCCTGCTTTCGTACATGCCCTGCCTTCAAATCCTCCAGCCTTGAATGCCTTTGTTTGTTCCTTCCACCGCTCTGGTGGGGCACGGAATGATTGATGTTTCCATCTTCCCTACCACCTTGCTGTGCATGTGGAAAAGGAATGTGAACCAGGGCATTGCCCAAGGAGCCTGCCTGCTTCTTGCCAGCTCTTGATTGGAGTAATGCAAGCCTTGGAGGAAGTGGAAAGAAAAGCCAGCCCAGACCTCTTCTGTTTCCCACCAAGAGCTGCCAGTTATTATTGACTGAATTTATATACCACCCTATACCCGGAGGTCTCAGGGCGGTTCACAGAAAAGATCAACATAAAAACCACAATATATATAATCAAATTAAAAACAACAAACCAATAACGCCCCCCCCCAAAAGAGCCACATTTTAAAAGGGCATAGGATGTCAATCAGATCAACCAAAGGCCTGGTTAAAAAGGAATGTTTTCAACTATAATGAAGGCGCCAGGCGAACTTCCCTGGGAAGAGCATTCCACAGATGGGGAGCCACTGCAGAGAAGGCCCTGTTTTTGTGTTGCCTCCCTCCCGACCTCTTGAGGCAGTGGCACACTGAGAAGGGCCTCAGAAGATGATCTCAGGGTCTGGCTAGGTTCATATGGAATGAGACGGTTCTTGTGGTATTGTGGTCCTGAGCTGTTTAAGGCTTTATAGGTCAAAACCAGCACTTTGAATTGGGCCTGGAAATTAATTGGTAGCCAGTGCAGTTGGAGCAGGGTCAGTGTGATATGCTGAAACCGTCTTGCTTCGATCAGTAACCTGGCCGCTGAATTCTGCACTAGCTGAAGTTTCCGAACCGTCTTCAGAGGCAGCCCTACATATAAAGCACTTCAGTAATCTAACTTTGAGGTTACCAGAGTACAGGGTACCTTGGGTTAAGTACTCAATTCGTTCCGGAGGTCCGTTCTTAACCTGAAACTGTTCTTTACCTGAAGCACCACTTTATCTAATGGGACCTCCTGCTGCTGCCGTGCCGCCGGAGCATGATTTCTGTTCTCATCCTGAAACAAAGTTCTTAACCTGAATCACTATTTTTGGGTTAGCGGAGTATAGACAACAGTAGTTAGGCTATCCCTGTCCAGAAAGGGGCATAGCTGGGGCACCAGCTGAAGCTGATGGAACTGAGGCCACCTGAGCCTCGAGTGACAGCAAAGGATCTAGGAAAGGCATAGGCAACCTTTGGCCCTCCAGATGTTTTGGCGTACAACTCCCATGATCCCTAGCTAACAGGACTAATGGTCAGGGATGATGGGAATTGTAGTCCAAAACATCTGGAGGGCCGAAGGTTGCCTATGCCTGATCTAGGAGTACCCCCAAGCTACAAACCTGCTTCTTCAGAGGAAGTGTAACCCTGTCAAGAGCTGGCGACCTCCCACCCATCTGGTCTAGGGAACCACCCACTAACAGTGCCTAAGCCTTATCTGGATTGAGCTTCAGTTTCTTCTTCAAATGATCAAGCATCTGTGTCTTTAGAAACATATGCAGAAACCTGGCAGCTCATTCCCCACCCCACACCTTTATCTCCAAGGCAGGAGAAAGAAGTCCCCTGCTTTATTTCTGTACTAAGGTGCTTCTGTTAAAGCAGGGCAGGCCCTGCCATTAGGCAAGAGAGACAACCGCCGGAGAAACCCAAAGACAGGGGTGCAGAGCAGGGAGAAGGGGTTGGAAGACAAGAGCTCTGTGTGTCATGCGGCTTGCTTGCCATGCATCCTCCACATTATTATTCTGCTCCCAAGCAGTAAAACACAGCTGCCAGTCCAGTTGGCTTTTGTATGTGGAATGGGGCAGCGAAGAGTACATTTTGCCATTCCTTCAGGCAGCAAAAAGGTATTGGGCTGGCTTTGTGTTAAAGGCACAAGAGAAGGTAGGACTTTGGTTAAAAAAGAGCAGTAACTCTGAACTCAGTTGTGTGGTAGAAGTGAAATAAGTAAGAAAAATGGGGTCATCCCAGAACTGCGCATGTTGCAGTTTTATTTTTAATCCCTTTCCTAGCAATTTCAAACATGGGATTTGCCGAGTGGTTCATTGTTGAGCTGATGTTTTCTGTGAAATATCCACTGCATTTTTCGCTCCATAAGATGCACCTGACCATAAGACGCACCTAGTTTTTAGAGGGGGGAAAAATTCTTTAAAGGGAGTGCTGAGCAGAGCCTGTACGCATCCCAGGCTCTGCTCAGCGCTCCCTTTCACGAGCCACGTGAAGCGTGTGTGCGGCGCTTGCAGGGAGACGGGCAGCCCGTCAGTGACTGACACGTTGATCTACCCTAACCACATGGTAATTATTGTTTTGCAAACTTAATTTTTCTTCATTTTTAGTTTTGTAACCTAAATATTTGTATTTTTCAGATCAGACCATGGCTTCTTCAAGTAGGCAAAAATGTGTCAGTGTCCACTTATCCCCAGTATAAATATGACATATCGGCAAAAGTCAGAAATTGAAAGATAACTATAGCACGTACACGAAAATCGATTTCAGATTCGAAATCAGCATTGAAAGAACATATAACAGCAGCTGAAAAATCTCATGCAACAGAAAATGGAAAAAAAAATGTTCCCCAGTATATTGTGTATCCCAAGGGAATACATT